TTGATATGAGCAAAAAACAAAATATATAATCCGATATAATGATCTTATACTTTAAAGATAATTAATATATACTAATAACAAATTAAATACATTATTAACAAAAACTCATTATTTTAACAAAAATCCTAAACCCTAACAATTATACCCATTAACATACTACCTAAACACCCATTTAACAAGAAACAAACTATTTCATACGAACATACTACATAATTAACATAATTAAAACATAGAACAATTTAAATACATTATTAACAAGATACTAACTCATTTAATATAACAACTACAACTTATGAACAATATACGTAATTAAAAAAAATTCTCTAAATATCATAAACCCTAATTAGCATAAACCTTAATTTTTTAAACAAATATTAAACTACCAAACAAATATTCAAATAAAATAAATACATGAATTAATTAAATTTATTAAACTAATAATAATATTTATTAAACTAATAAATATTAAATATATTAAAAAATTAAAAAAAATAATTAAATAAAAAAACGGGCGCCACCCATCGGGTGGTTGGCGAGCATTTAAATGATCGCCAATCCGGACAAAGGTGGCGCCAAATCTGGCGCCACCACCTTCGCCGATGGCGAAGGCCGTTTCGCCTCCCTTTACAGGGAGGCGAGTTTATTACACGCGTGTGGCGTGATTCTCCTGCGCCAGCCATTAACGGTTGGCGCGGTCCTCTCTCGCCCCCTCTCTCTTTTTCGGAAAAAAAAAAACTTACTTCCATTTTGCAGGGGCATGTCGATCTTTCGTGGACACTCAAATGAAATAATAAGAGCATTCAACAGTTCGGCCCGCATCCCATTCGCTTTGCTAATCAATGTGATTACCGCCCTTGTCTCTTCTTCTTCTTACTTTTTTTTTTGGCGAAATTTGTACCCAGTCCTCCGATTGATTGCGGTTGTGAGAAATGGAGATCATGTTCCATGCATGCATATGGAGATTGGAGATATACATCTCTCCTCGAAAACCACACCAGGATTTTGGGCACTTAAAAAAGGGGATGGATTTTTAAAGCCACCCCCTTTAGTACTCAAAGCCACCTAAAAAATATTTGGACGATTTTGCCCCTGTAATTTATGACTTTAGAGAGAGAAACAAAATAAGTAACTCATAAGACAAAAAAAAAACTTAAAAAAAAAAAGACCGGACAAGAAAACCGTCCCGGTTGAACCGGGGACGCGCAACAAACACGTCCCGGTTCATGGCCGGACGCGCAACAAACCCGTCCCCATTCACGGCTGGACGCGCGGCACACACGTCCCGGTTGAACCGTGGACGCGCAACAAACGCGTCCGGTTCAATAACCGGGACGCGTTTTTTGCCCGTCCCCGGTTCAACCCGGACGCGTGTGTTGCGCGTCCGGCCATTGAACCCGGTCCAACCGAACGGGCCGGTTCGGTGAACAGTTTTTTTAAATTTTTTAATTTTTTAATTTTTTTAATTTTAATTCATGCATGTTATGTTAATTTAATTAAGTAGGAATATTATTAATTTATTTGTTAATTTAATTAGTTGAATTTTATTTATTTATTGCATGTTATGTTAATATAATTAAGTAATAATATTATTATTTTTATTTGTTAATTTGATTAGTTATGTTAAGTAATTTAATTAGTCGAATTTTATTTATTTATTTAGGTTTAATTAATTAGAAATAATATTTATTTCGGAGGGAATTAAATAATTAAAGAATTATGTGGAATAAGTATTTAATTAAGTATTGGAAATGTAATTAATTAAATATTTAATTAATCGCTAAATTTATGAATTCTAGCTATTTAGGTAGGTATTGGGAAATTTAATTTAGTAAATAATTTTGGATTAGTTGATTTTTGTATTTTTATAATTAATCTTTTTACTGTAAATGTATATTTTTTTATTATTTATTATAATTGTATATCTTTTTAAATGATTGGAATGTGTGTTTAATTTAATTAATCCAAAATACTGGGTATAAATTTAATTTATATGTGCACTTAGTTGATGGAAAGTGGCGCATTTTGGTGTATCCTGGTGAGTTTGGAATGCATAAGCATGAATTGTTTGACGAAGATCATCCCACGAAGGGCCTTAGCGATAGAGTGAAACAGCTTATACATGGTATGTCCAAATATGGGTGTAGACCAAAATACTCAATTATTTTACAAAATATATTAATTTAATTAATCATAAATTACATTACAAACAAATTAGATTAGCTTTACTAATCTACTATTAATTAAATTAAAAATATAACCTAAATACTTTAATAACTACTTAAATTAAGTAATTTAATTAATTAAACTAATTAGGTAGTGAACTAATCTACTATTAATTAAATTAGTCTTTTAAACTCAACTAATTTACAAACTAATTAAATTAAATTATTTACACAATTAAACTAAACAACCAACTATTACAACCAACTAATAGAGAACCTCAATCTAAATCATAAACTATTAATTAATAAATAACTACACTATAACCCTAATTATATTAATTAAACATAATTAAACACTAATAACGAATTAAACAAATTTTTTTTTAAAGGAAAAGCATTCTGGCCGCCGAACGGCCAGAGAAGCCGTCCGGCGGCACGACCGGGACGCGCAAGAAACGCGTCCGGTCGCGCCGCGGACGCCTTCCATGGCCGTCCGGCCACACAATAAGAAAAAAAAAAAGAAAAATTTTTACCGCGGACGGGCATGGAAGCCGCCCGGCGGGCTCGGCCGACGCGCGAAACGCGTCGGTTCAACCCGGACGGGCATTTTGCTCGTTCGGGTTGAACCGACGCGTTTCTTGCGCGTCCCGGCTCCTACGGACGGCTTCCTCGCCGTTCCCGGCGGCTAGAATTTTTTTTTTTTTCTACAATTCACAAAATTTTTTTTTAAAAAAAACGTATTCGTGATGAGATCGGCTCTTTCACGCTTTGATTCTTCTGTGTTACCATCAATTTTGGATCAAATTAGACTTCAAATTGGGGTTTAGAAGGAAGGTGACTTCAAGTTTTCTCTCTTTTTTCCTTTGGTTGAAGTTTGAAATGTCAAGGGCAAAATGGTCCAATTTTTTTTTAGGTGGCTTTGAGTAGTAAAGATGGTGGCTTCAAAAACTAACACCCTTGAAAAACAGTGTGTATAATGATTACCTGGACAGAGTGACAAGAAATGAGAAAAGTGGTCTTGGAACTTATCGAGTTTTCGGCGGCTAATTTTAAACCCCGACAAAAAAAAAAAAAAACCAAAAACAAACAGCATTGAAGCAATAATAAATACAGGTGGTTTTTTAATATACTGGCTCTAGTCTAAAATAAGTGTCGTTTTCGGATTCCTACTTATTTTTTATCAAAAATTTAAAAACATACCCTGAAAAGAAATAATATTATTAATGAGTATTTATTTTAATGAAATTAATTGAGAATATCTAATAATTTAACTTCCTTATTTAATATTTTTTAAAATTATATACAAACTTCATAATGACATTTATTTTGGAACGGAGTTAGTACATCCCGCCGCAAGACATACATATTTTAGATTCGGCTTCTAGACTGGTTTTGGATTTGATTGTTATGGGTTGACTGTCTCCGGAAACCCTAAAGTTAAACACATTGTGAGTTTTCTTTGCTAATTTCTCGTGGAGTTAGTTCTCCTGCCTATTATTATGATGATTATATGTAAACCTCCTATTGTAATCGAAAAAGGAAGCAGAATGATCGTAATTTCTTTATGTATTACCCAATTTGACACTGATGTGAAATAACAACCTGGCGCTATATATATATATATATATATGTATGTATTCATTTTAAGATTTCACCTTTTTTGGTACAATAAACAAGACAACAACCCATGAAATCATATTACAATGTTTTGTGAGCAAAAGACACCAATGTTAAATTTTTTCTTTAAGCACACGTTAATTATACTATAAATGTGAACTTCAAATATTGAACATAGAGAATAAGTATAACCATCGTAACATAGAGAATTTATTTATTTTTCTTGTACTTCCTTCCTCGGTGAGAAACAGGTTCGTCCAATGTAGTTAATTAATTGCCAAACATCCAAGGCAAGAATGGAAACAAAGTAATGAGAGTGGATGGGGATTCTTTTTCTTTTCAAAACTTAAGAAGAAATAGACAAAGAATGAACACAAAAACCAAAAAGAAGGGAGGAAGGGAGAAAAGGAAAGCAAAGAAAGAGAATAAGTTAAAGAAAATAGGAAAAGTGAGATGTCCAAGTAACAACCCCCCACAAGTTCTCTTTAAGCACAAAATAAAGCTGAATGTAATAATTTTTTAAAGCACTCCTTCCGGTTCTTATTATAAGATATTTTGATTTCATTATAAGTTTCATCTAGGATGTCTTTTTAATAGAAAATCTTAAAAACATATATTTCACGTTCTTTGTGTCCTACTCTTTATTATGAAATATTTTTAAGGTTTTATTTTTTCATCTAAAGGACGAAATCAAAATGCCTTATAATAAGGATTGGAGGGAGTACAAAACACGTTATTTCCTTTGGCCTCAAAATAAAAAGTCCATGTTTGTTGCTGTAGTAATAATTTCTGTTTTCTTTCCTTTTTTTTTTTTTGTAATAGTCGAGCTCTTAACCACTACTTAATTACACTGTTTTGCTAACCTCAGGCTCTGAGGGCCAATATTTGATTTCGCTCAGTGTTTGGAGGCTCCATCAGTGTGTGTGGGCCTTGGTCAAATGGACTGGTTAAGGACTCAAGTCACTTTGTGTCGTTCCTGTATCTAAGATAATTCACCGATCGCCCAGTTAAGCATTTCTTGAATAAATTCAATGACTAAAGCTAAAGCAAGAAACGAAATCATCAGGGTGCCTTTAAATTAATACTATATTGTAGTTACAAGACGAGACCAACTATTTTAAAAAGTAAAAAAAATAAAAATAAAATCCATTGTGGCCCATTGTTAAAGTAGCTGTATAGCAAAATTAAGCCCATTAAAAAGCAACCCCAGAAGAATGAGGTGGTTGGCCCAAGTCCATAGTATCTAGAGAGGTTTAAGAAGGGTCTTCGGTCGGTCGAAGTGAAATCTCGACACTCAGCTTCTAGGGTTTTCTACTTCTCTCTTTTCGAATTCTCTCGTCCAGAAAGAAAGAAACCAAAAGACAAAGCAAAGAAGATGAGGTAATTTCTGGTTGCCGGATTTACTCCTTGGTTTTTGTTTCACCGTTTTCCCATATCCAGTGCTATACCTTTGTGTAGTTTGTGTTGTTCAAGAAAATTTTGATTAAGGTTTTAACTCGGTTTTGGTTCTCAATTCATTTCGATGTGGGTTTTATTTGCTCTTTTTTTCCTCTGCACAAAGACACCGCTGTTGTGGGTTTCATTAGTTTGTTGATATCTTACGACCTTTATGATTTTTGGATGTGCTGGAATATTGAAATGGTAGGCTGCAACTAGTTATTTTATATTGAAGGTGGATGATTAGTTTCTTGTTTCGATTAAATTTGTCCTTGATCTTGAAATTAGGGTTTCCCCCAAACTTTTTCCCCAAAGGTATCATTTTCTTTTACGGATGGATAATACATAGATTGGGAAATTTACTCTATTTTATCAATCTGCAAGACACTGTTGGGTTATGGGTTCATGGTAGTTGATAGTTTATGGGTTCGTGGTAGTTGATGGTCACTGGTGATATATAAGCTGATAATATTTTCAGTGTTAAATTATGTTTTCCTTGAACTTGTGGGTGTTTCACCAATGATGTTCCCAGTTGACCAATCTAACATTTTTTATCAAATAGGAGTTGCTAGGTCTACTTGCAGTTTTGCTCTGTACACGTGTGTGTTGCTTGTTGGTAGCTAGTCGTTACTGATCAACTAATGTTGATATTATTACGCATTTAATAAGAATATTACTATCTGCCTTCCCCTTGAAATGATTGTTCTGTGCGATTATAGTTTTAAATTGATCCGTGTGGAAAAGAAATAGAGCCTAGAAGTGAGATGATCAATGACGACACTACTTCTCGTCTTTTTCCGCACATGTATTTTGTTTGTACTGCTCGACACTGGTAGCTATCATTGATGAGGGATCTTATTTTGTAGCCGACATCCTGAGGTGAAATGGGCCCAGAGGGAGGACAAGGTATATCTCACAGTGCTATTGCCAGATGCTAAAAATGCAAAGGTTAACCTTGACCCAGAAGGTATTTTTACGTTCTCTGCATCAGCTGGAGTTGAAGACCATGTTTATGAGCTGAAGCTTGAGCTTTTTGACAAGGTTAATGTAGAGGTGAGTGCTGCTGCCCGTATAGACTTTGTAGGGCCTGGCCTTTAGTAGCAATGATTTACTTTAATGCCACTTAACATTTTTGTCTGTGATCTTTCTTTTAATTGTCTGTTTGATTTGATATATACAAACGGCTACATATAGATGCATGGCTGTTGATCTTTCCATGAGATTTGTTGATGGATCCTTATTTTGTTTCCATGTATAGCAGATATATGATAATGATCTTAGCTTATATGCAAGAATTTCTATGATGCTTACAAGCTGTTGATATGTTTAGTTCAAAAGCAGGATTTCTTTGCTGCATTATACAGTTATTCATAATTTTATATTTACTATAGGAAAGCAAAATAAACATTGGTGTGCGAAATATATTCTGCGTGTTGGAGAAGGTCGAGAAGAAGTGGTGGAATAAATTATTACGTGGAGATGGAAAAACACCTCACTACGTCAAAGTAGATTGGGATAAGTGGGCAGACGAAGATGATGATGCTGGTATGTTGTATTTCTGCAGTGTCCTTTATTTTTTGGGATATTTTGTTTATTGTCATCAAACTAATGACATTATACTTTTTTTCCTCTATCCATTAGCTCCTGCTGACTTAGATTTGGGTGGAATGGATTTCTCGGTAAGGATATATCCGTCATTGTGGATTACTTGCATATTACGTGTTTTAAACATCCATTCTGATGTTTATCTCTCAACGTTTGCCTCAGAAATTTGGTGACATGGGTGGCATGGGCGGCATGGGCGGCCTCGGTGGAATGGGTGACATGGGTGGCCTTGGTGGCCTTGGTGGCATGGGAGGCCTTGGTGGAATGGATATGAGTGGCATGAATTTTGATGGTATGGGCGATGATGATGATAGTGAGGATGAAGGTAAGCAAACCTAATCTTTTTGGTGTTTTGTGGTTATGTACGTGTCCTTTTAATTGTTCCTGAAGTCTCGGGCCCGTTGCTATTAGGGATACAATCGTTTCTGTTTTGTTCATTTTCTTGATGGTTTTTTCACATTTTTGTATTAACAACTGTCCCATTCCAGCATACTTTTTTACAATACATCCTTTTACATTCCTAATAGAAAATACACCTAAAAACACCCTAGAACAACAATTTAAAAAATAAGTGCAACGTTATCTTGCATCAAGAGTGATATCCACCTCTTTAAATAAAGTAGTCCACGCGGTTTGTGAGAAATATCAATAATGTATGTATGTATCATCTGTCGTTACTTTTTAAATTTTAGCAGTGTAGATGTATGTTAATAATGCTAGTAATGAGGCATCATTTAACAGCATGTCCAGAATCTATTTTTGAGTTTAATTTCATTACGGTCAGGAAATTCCTTGTACAGTGGCTGCATTTGAAATATGCATTATATCTCAAAAGTATTATTACTGGATATATCTAAAGTGTAGGCTAGTGCTATTGCCATAGTAGAATGAGTTTATATAAGCGATTTTTTGCTATGTGGACTGTTGTACTAAATTGATTTTTACCCTGGTCTTTAAGTAATAAGTCCATTGATATCAACCCTATACATAAATCCCAAATGTTTGGGGGCTTGCCTGGTTGGGATTTGATGATTCTTGCTAGAATTTTTTCCTTTATTAATGTACTTTAGCTGTACTTATGCATCCCTTGTGTTTCAGTCACCGGAGATCCGATCTTATTGCTTCATTCATTGTTTTATACACACACCTAATGTTATAACATTTTACTGCAGGACAAGAGGTAACAAAGCCTGATGAGAAAGCTGAGAAGGCTCCAGAAGGGAAGACTGAAGAAGCTGCTGCCAGCTCCTGAGGATTTTCATCTAGGGTTTTTCTTAAGTAAAGGATGTTTGATGGATGGATGTATGCTTAGGATGCTTGTCTCAACAACAATTGAAGGTCTTGAATCCAGATGTTGATGTGACTATCATTGTCATTTAATTCCTTCAGTTTGGGCAGGAAACTGTAATTCTATTATCTATTATCTAAGATGCGAAGAGTGTTGTAACTTTAGCATCTTTATGGACGGAAAACGGCAAAGGGGAAACACAAAATTGCATGTAATTTTTGTCTGGGAACTTGGGTTGACATGATCGATTGAATGTTTTAGGTACCGTGATCTGAAACATATTGATCTTTTAACTTATAAATTTTCCCAGCTATTTTGGAAATGGGGACACCTGCTGGCTGAAACCTCCCGTTTATTGTTTTCGGAAGAGAGGTCTTAAATACAAACTACGGCAATATTAAAGAAAGATCTGTTTGCATTTTGTGCGCATGAAAGACTGATTTCTTCTGTAATACTACAAAGGACAAACAACAGAAATTCTCAAAAACAATCACCTCTCAAACTTTTCAAATTTTGAAGTGTTGTCAATTTGGGTTTTTTTTCTTTTGCCACTGTTTCCATTTAGGCTCCCCTCTCCACTCATTTCTTTGGTACGTGCGTCTCTTTTCCTTAATTTGAGTCTTTTGTTCTGCTTTCATTGTGCTTGGATATGTTGTTTCTCTCCCTGATTGATCGATGAATGGGAAATCTCTTTTTACATTCTTCAGCTTAGGGGGGGGGTATTTTATACTTAGGTTCTGGTTGTTGAAAGGGTTCTTGGTATCGCCATTTGAATGCGATTTTGCTAAGAAAAAAAAAGAGTTACACAAGCAATTCTTTCAGAGAACTGCAATGTACTTCGTGCTTTTTATCTCATGAGTTATTAGAGTTGTCAATGGAAAGGGCTTCTCTTTTGTCCTGTTCTTCCTTCCCCAAGGAACTCCTCAACTCAGGTTACAAGGCATCATCTCTGATAATACATTCATCTTTACATCCTTCGGTGATCCAGCAGAATGCACCTGTTGGCATGAAATCTTCCAGCTGTTCCTGGTTAAATTTCCATGTCTTGAACGACTCTCAGTGTTCGCTTGCTTAGATCTATATAATGTTGTAGTTTCTGGTCCATCTCTACTCTCTAGTATTGATGCACCTGGAGCTTAAGTTATGCATTCAGATGAAGTGTTTTAACGATTTTGAATTGCAATCTTGTTTCGCTTAGAATGTCGTATGTGGAAGGCCTAATTATTACTAGCGCAACCCATGCTAGAATGCCGTTTTATGTTACGAAGGTGTTCAAGGTCTCTGGTTAGCCAGGGATTGTTTCCTATTCCATCCTTTATTTCTCTTTTTCTATTCCTTTTTGGAAAAGCATTAAAAAAAAAAAACTCTGTTCTCTCTGTCTCTCTCCGGATATATATAGTCGCACTAATAGTATTCCTTCATTAATTATCGGCAGCTCTGTTTGCTTCATTGTAAATTTGTTAATTTGAGTCTCTATTAAATTGTTGTTGTAACTTGATTTTTGCCTTTTAACTAGCTTGATTTCAAGGCGAGGTTCATGGCTAAATCTGGTGAATTTGCCAGGCGTAATGATCATGAGGATGGGTGCGTTAAGGAACAAAGGAAGACTACAACTTGCGTGGAGGAGAATGTGCAAATTCCCAAGCACTTGGAATGGCTATTCCCTAGAGATAAAGGGTTCACAACCGTGGGATTCATCTTCAAAGGAGGGGTCTATTTTACTGCTGATCATCCCTACAAGTCATACGTCCCCAACATTGTTCCACTCAATTCTCGCACCTTTGCCACTCTTTCCGGAGGCTGCGAGATTTGGCTCAGGGTATTGCAACACAGGTGCCAACTCTGCGAACGCCGACGTGGAGGCAAAAGAATCTCCGTGTTGTAAGGTTTGTCACTGGATCGGGCGCCAAAGGTGCTATCGCAAGGTTTGTCACTGTCGGGCGCCAAAGGTGCTATTGCAGTTGTCGATTACTCGTTGCATGAGAAATTGAATGCGGGTGATGCAGTAGATACTGCAAAATCTGCGATTTGCTTTGGTGTACGCAAAGCTCTTGTAGCTGGTAGTTTTGTGAGTGTGTACCGTGCGGATCATACAGGGTTGACCAAGTTCATCTCTGGTGATTATGTCAGACAATGGATCGACAACAACTTACACGAGCAGCTTGGCTGCTAGCTCCTTTTTTTTTTCTTGTTTGTTCTGCTCTCTAGCTACCTACTGTATAGTATAGTTCATCTCCATGATCGGGATTATTATCTGGTTACTGAAGGGGAGGGTTCTTTGTAAAATTCCATGAACCACCACTTGTTTTATCAATTTGTTTCAGTTTTATGTTCTTTTGATGTAAGAAGTCCAAGCATCATATTCAGTTTTCCTTCCTTCTCTCTTTTTTTTTTTGGGTCAAAACTCAAAACATGAATGGCATTTGACACCAACTGTAAGCATCTAATGGCATTCTGCAGAGAACTGAAAAACGTGATGGAAAAAACCAACTACAATTGGATATTAAGACAGCAACCTGCTCAGTGATCAAACACAGAAAACTACCAATTTTCTTCAGTAGGAAGTAGATAGTTTACAATGCAAAAGAATGAGTGTGCTACCAATTATGCATTTCCCGAGCAATAAGCAAACAAAATGTGCAGAAAGCAATCAAAATCAGCACACAATCAGATAAAATGCCTAATTACACTACGTAGATAACTGCATCTTCCATTCCATCAGAAAACAGAATCAGCAGCCCAGAATACATATGTAACCATAACATTATACATTTCCATAGTCCACAAGGAAACTACGATTCATCAGTAACCATCTCCGAAATGAGACTACGATTCATTAGTAATCATAATTAGTTCAAGGATAACAAGATAACCAAAGGATAAACTACGCGCTAAATAATACTGTGGCTCAACTAGATTATCTGCAAAAGTGCCACAGCAAAAGCATCACAACTAGCAAATTCGATAAAACAGCCCTTGAGCACCAAACAAAAACCTATAAACCTTAGCTTCTCCCTTTGCATGTTTCGCAGTTTTCAACGCGGCAGCAAGATAAAAGTCGTCCTCAGTGCTGGAGTCACTGCCAAGAACACCTTTAGTACTAATATATTCTTCTATCAATAATACTGGCGACTTCATTGGCTACTAATACTACATGGAAGAAATGTTTGGGCAGACATCAACAAATTCCCGCAAATTAAACCACGTTAGTAGGATGTCTTGTGCCCAAGTCAATCGTTCTCTTGCCAAAATTATCTGCTTATATAGATTTGCTGTCTCGGAAGATTTGCCAATATCATCAAATGTACAAATTGTCCCACAAATCCTTGAGTGATGACTCGTCATTGGGTAGTTCTGGGAGAAGAAGACTCAGAGGAAGGATATTTTCAACATAGTAACTGATGTCAACACTTTGCACCTTGTCAAGCAGGAATTTAGGTATCTTCTTCTTAGTCCCGGCCTTGAGTCCCCTCAATTGCTTAATTTCATACTTCTTCTTCTCATTGTCCTTTTCTCCCAAATCACAAAAAATCAGAACATCAGCTTCATCATCCCTAGAATCAACTTCCAAATATCTCCATGGATTTTTCCTCCTTGATATGGATGATGTTATCAGGATCTTCTCACCCCCTGTGCCAACAATGCTGAGCTCTCGGCAGAAATGATGTTTTGGCAGCTCAATTATGGACTTTACCCAGGTATCATCACGCTTGTTTGTCAACATCCACAATGTTATTTCACCATAAACACCATCATCATGATCCTTGACCCATCCAGCCCAAGTGAAATTGCCTCCAACCTCTGTCATAATCTCAGAATCGAACTCTGGAGCATGTTTCGGAAGCTTGAGCAACTTAAACAGTTCGTCTGCAAAGTCAAAGTATTGCAGAACCCTTTCACCACCGGGGGAGAAGAATTTCAGTTCCTCCTCGTCAGCCCATTCGTTATCCCTCTTCTTAGTCCAGTATATTGCACCATCGGCATAAACAACAGTATATACATTTGAATTCAACATTGCAAGAGGATTGAACTCAGTAATACCAAACCGAGGTGAACTGGCAACTTCCCTCCAAGTAGGAGGCATGGTATCATCGGTGCTGCTCTTGATTAGAGTGATGACGAAAAACTTTCTTTTACGAATACAGAACAACAGTACTTTGTAATGGTTACTCACTGGATCAAATCCCAGGTAACAGGGCGAAAAAATACTACCTGGGCTGTACGACTTCCTGGGGAGAGCTCTCTTTTCCATAGTGGTGAGATTCAGCAGTTCAAGACGAAATCTGTACCAGGGCAATACACAGATGAGGCCGTTGACAATATTTGTAACAGGAAACCCATAATTTTTATGGTCCTGAAAGTGGTGGGTAGGAAGCTGAGTGGAGAAAACCACTCCATCACCATCAACAACAGGATTTGACGCCGGAAAGATGGCCTCGTGGATGGAATCAACAGAAAACAGGAGATGAGAGGAGGATTCCGGCCGGGTTTGGGAATTAGCGTAATGGGTTCTGGCGAAATCCCAGTTGTGTTGAATCAATGCGTACCACGATTTCCGGACGGATTTGAATCGCATAAGAGATTGCGCAGGAAGCCAATGTGAGCACGTGATTGAAGATTATATGGTCTGGCAGTTGAGACCATATTTTTTGGCTTAATTCCATTGATTCTGATTCCATCTTCTTCTGCTTCTTCTCAGCTGCCGCCACCGCCGCTGCTTTGAAAAAAATTTTTTTTTTACGGTGGCGAGTCCTTATATACTCCAAGGTCAAGGGAAATGTTTCTAACACGGCGTCGTATGAAGGGAAATTTAAAAATTAGGAAATATTGGTGACTTGGACCCTAAAAAAAATTACAAGGGCTTAAACCCCGGGATTCCATTAGAAGCAGCCGCCGGAGATATGGACATGGAGGTGGAACAACCGACGGCGCCAGAATCCGCTTCCGATTCCGGCGTAGGAGCAGCAGCGAAGCGCTTCGGCCTCAAAAGTGCTATACAAACTAACTTCGGCGAGGACTACGTATTTCAAATCGTTGCGAAGTACGTGAATCGTCATTCTCCGGTTTAAGTAAACTTTCTGATTTTTGTTGTTTTTTACGTGAAACTGAATAAAGAAACTAAATTAATGAATTGAACTGTAGGGATGATTGGTCATCGATGGCGGTGTCACTTTCTACAAACATTATGAAACTGTACTCGCCGGCCTCAGGGCAGTATATTGGGGAGCTGAGGGGCCACGCCGACGCTGTGAATCATATGTCCTTTCAAGTTCCGTCTTCTCCCAGTGTGCTGTGTTCTTCCGCTTCTGACGGTACTGTCAGATTTTGGGACACTAGGAACTTTCAGCAGGTATTTCTTTTCTCTGGTTTTTTTTTTTTTAACCCGGTTGTCTGATTGATCATACACCCGACGAGCTTTGAAATTCTCTCGTCGCCTTAACTGAAATCCCATGTACAATTGACCTAATAACAAAAGGAATGAAGAAGAAATCACCTGCCAATTTCTGAAGTGTCTGAATACCAACCAGTGCACTGATTGATGCTATATAGAAAGTCATCTATAATTTTGACTTGATTGATGTGTCATGGGCATGGTGGGAAAACTAGAAATCATTTTCTCTCAGTAGCTAATTTGTCCTGTAAAGACCTGTCAGTCACAAGAGGATTTGCGTGTTCATATGTGTGATTGTTTTTAGCTGCAAGAATGCAAGACAAGAACTCTTCATTTTGTTCTTTTGTTTTTTGTTTTTCCGCAATGGAATGCAGGTATCTATCTTAAATGCTGGCCCCTCAGAGGAAGTATTTAACTTCTCTTTTGGTGGAGCCGGTGATCATCTTCTGGCTGCTGGGTGCAAATCGCAGGTATATGTTTAGACTTGAAGCACGGGGTGTTATGTTCCGTGTACTTCCTTTCTTGCTGAACTTGATATGTTTAGCCAATTTTTCCTCTGTAGTTTTAAGTGTTGGCATTTCTGAGCTTTTATGAAATAATCATTAACTGTGTAGCGATTATTCATGTGCATATTGCGTTGCTGCAGGTTCGGTTATGGGATTGGAGGAACAGTAAAGAGGTTGCACGATTGGAGGAATCTCACACTGAGGATATTACTCAGGTAGCTTTTGATGCATGCTCCTCCCAATTTCATTTCATCTGCAATGCTGCAGTAAACCATTGATTATATATATGTGCTCTTGACTTGATACGGGAAGAAATAGAATGTTTCACTGAATGATTTTGCTTCAGTTAGTCGCAACCTTATCAAAACACCATGTCAAAGAATGCCGAGAATTAAGTTGAACTGTTTCGTACCTGACTGATGCATCGTCTTCTTTTGTAATGTATTAGTATGAATGTTGATCAACTGAGCTGATTTCTTTGCTAAAATCATTTCTGATCCATTTGGAAATGCTGATCAACTGAGAGCTGATTTATTTGATAAGTTCGGTCCTGAACTTTTCCATTGGATGAAACTGTGATGAGATTTTGTATTGATGTCAAATCATATCAGGTACACTTTGTTCCGGGACACCCAAACAAACTTCTTTCTGCTTCGGTTGATGGATTGATGTGTTTCTTTGACACAAGTGGAGCTATAAATGATGATGATAATTTAGAGTCGGTAAGTATGATCAAATCCACTCCTCTTTTTCTCCCCTCGTTTCTAAATTCAATCTGTTCTTTTGCCTGGGTAATGGCAATGGTAATTATAGTATGGTAACCCGAGAGCCATACTAAATGTTATTATATTGTAACTTTTGTTCTATTTTCCGTCTTTCCATAACGTTCCTCCTATTCAGCCACATTGTAAAAATTTTCATATTTTATAGGTGCTCAATGTGGGATCCTCTATTGGCAAAGTTGGCTTTTTTGGTGCTAATAGTCAAAAGATTTGGTGTTTGACACACATTGAAACTTTAAGGTTTGCAGCTTAATTTTCATTATCTTGAGTCAGCTTAGTATCTTTCTCATCACATTTTAACTGGATTTGAGGTTGTATGATATTTGTTTCTTTGTTGCTTCATTAGTGTTTGGGACTGGAAAGAATCAGTAATGGAAGTTAATTTTGAGGATGCTCGTTCGTTGGCTTCAGAGAGCTGGTCACAAGATCATGTATGTTACTTTACGTCATTTCTGAACCATTTAATTTGCAAAAAGCGGCAGCAGAGTTTTTCTTTAAAAAAAAAACTGTGAATATATGTTTCTGTCATTTCTCTCTTGTAATAAAATGGTTGCATACTTACTTTCTAGTAATCTATACGTATTTATCAGCTACAACTGCTAATCAGAGTGATGAGCGATTTTTGGTTTGGGGACAGGTTGACTACTTCGTCGATTGCCATTACTCATTGGAGGAAGATTGTCTATGGGCGATCGGTGGTACTAATGCTGGCACCTTAGGTTATTTCCCCTTGTATAGCAAAACTAGTGCGGGAGCCGCAGCCAGAATCGGTCCGGCAGAAGCCATTCTCATTGGAGGTCATGCTGGTGTTGTTAGGAGTGTATTGCCTCTGAGATCCCCTATGCAAAGAAAAGGCATTTTCGGATGGACAGGTGGTGAAGATGGCCGATTATGTTGTTGGTTATCGGACACATCATTTGATACCAATCGCTCTTTCATATCAAGTGCATTGGTTGCTAAGTCACAGAAGAACTGCAGGAAAAGCAGGCATAGTCCCTATTAATGCTTGTTGTAATTTGTTGTACCCAATCCTAGTTTTCAAATGGCAAAGAGAAATTATTCTTTATGAATGCTCTCTGTATTAACTTGTTTGGAATGCCATTGTATATGCTATTTGATACTGTACTTCTGGAACTGGAAGTAACAACTTTTTAAGTTTTCATTATGTAACCAAAACAAGAATTAAAATATAACACTTAGACAGCCCATCAACATGCAATCTGATCGTCCAATTAAACTGACCAAAACAAAAAATTCGTGTCATAGCTTGTCCAAACAATGTTCGTCCCAAACTTTTCTGTCAAAAAATCTTGGGCACAAAACAATAACAATAGGATAACAATAACAATACACCATCTAATCCAGCAAGCTTTTCTGTACATTCCTATTTAACTGTGAGTAAAAGAATGTTATGGATTGATTGCCAATTTAATGTTACAAATGTCTCAAGGTAAATACATTGAAAAATCAATACAAGGAGAAGAAATACTTCTAAACTGATACAGAAGGAAAAAAAAAAAAAAAAAAAAAGGAGTTAATTTTCCGATACAATACCAACTTCTGGCTTATCCTGCTCTCTACGAAATTCTATCCTATCCCATTGTCCAAATCTACATGAAATAACCAGATCCAAGACTAACTCCAACACCCTTATGAATGATACAAATTGAAAAGGAAAAAAAAAAGGTGCTTATTCAGAATTTTCTTTAAAAGAATATACACAGATGTAAAGAGATTAAGGAGAGGGGTGGGCAATAATAGTAAGGCAAGGCTGCAAAAACTTTTCCTAATCCCGGACCCCATAATATCCATTTTCCTAGCAAAACAGACTCTGTAATTGGGAGAAGCAGAACCTGAAAGATTCTTTCTCCAGGATTTCAGTCCCTGGGGCTGGGGATGTATGGTGTGGGGACCAATAAATAAATGACTCTATACACACACAAAAAAAAGGGGACAAAAATCTACATGAAGTAACTAAGGGATCTCTTCTTCCTTGAACCGCCTTCTCCATAGAGTTCATTCCATTGAACAAGCTCATTCATATTTGCAGACTCTGAAGACACGCTAGCACATACCTACATTCAAAGGTGTGATATCAAAAGGAAGAACACAATTTTGTGGTGTGAAGCAACTCCACAAGAACACACCTAATCTCTGACATTAAGCAGTGAAAAGCAATCATATCCACAGCAATAACAAAGCTTTCATCCCCCACAGTAGTCAGGAGGTTGCTTGTAGAGCTGTTTCATAAACTTTTCTCTACTTTTGAAAACTATTGACCTTAGAAACTAGCAGCATACACTACTAAACTACTGATAATATTGAGAGAGGAGATTGGGGAAGGATCAGTCCCCTCTATTTCATGCAAACTCACCTGCTCATGTGCATACTTGAAATCCTCCATGCTGAGTGGTCTGACATCTGAACTGCTATACAATGGGGGTAAAGGCCTATTCTCAGACAATGCCAATGATTTCTCCTACAAAAACCACACCAAATCCTCAATTTTGCACCAGATGTTTGCACTTTTTTTCATAAATCCGTAATGAGGCAACCAAATAAAAATAGGTAAACTTGAACAAAGATCCCGTCACACATAAAACAGAGAAAAGGAGGAAAAATATAAAAAGCGATTCTACAATAACCAGTTTGACATACTTAGCACTTAGCAGTACAAAAGCAAAAATGAATGCCATTAAGGGTCAGGTATATCATCAAGCTTACCTTTTTCTCTTTCTCCAAAATTTCTCTAATCGGACAATGAGCTGCTGTTACACACAAGTTCTGGAAACAAAACAAAGATAGTTCAGAGGTTGGGGAGTCCTCAAAACAGGAAATGAAAATGAGAAAGGATAAACCAGAGGAAGAGCAGTCAAAACAGGGGCTGCAGAGGAAATTTATTTAACAAACCTTTAAATCACTTCCGGAATATCCTTCGGTCATATTAGCAATTGCTTCCAGATCTACATTGGGCGATAATTCTTCTTTAGACAATATTACTTTCAGAATCTTCTCCCGGTTAGGTGCATCGGGTAAATTTACCATCAACCTAATAAAAGGAAAGACAGATGTCATCTGTAAGCTATCTTTACAAGAGAAAGTAGAGAATACATTTAAATTGTATAAGACTAACCTCCGAGGAAGCCTCCTGATGACAGCCTCGTCAAGGTCAAAAGGTCTGTTGGTAGCACAAAGTACTAGTACCCGTTCCTTATCTTTCGTTCTCAGACCATCCCAATTCACCATGAACTCATTCTTCATTTTGCGCATTGCTTCATGTTCTCCGGGATTTTCCCGCCTTCCTAACATGCTGTCGACCTATAACATGGAGATAAAAATCTTTTTAGGAACGATCAAGGTAAAAACGAAAGAGATTGAAAACAAACATTGAAGCAGGATAACAAGTGCCAAGAGCTATTTTGTTAATTTATTTACAAATTGCATATATAGTATCAAACAAATAAGACGAGAGAGAATTCGAGAGATGCTCGTAGCTATAATCAAGTTCCACCGCAGTCACGCAAACTACATACACGCTCACAAAGCAACAAAACAGAACCATCAATGGAAATGTGAGATGACCCATTTAACTAACCTCATCAACAAACACAACACTCGGAGCAATTTTACTAGCCAAGGTAAAGACCGCCTTCACATACTTCTCCCCCTCACCAAACCACTGCAAGAAGACGACATTGTGAGAGGGAAAAAGATATTAACAAGAAAACCCGGCAAGTCTGGCTGATAGATGGAAGTACCTTCGAAGTGATGCTTGACATCGAAATATTAATGAAGTTTGCACCAGCTTCTGTGGCAACAGCTTTGGCAAGCATTGTTTTACCCGTACCAGGAGGTCCAAATAGCAATATTCCTTTGCAAGGCTGTCAGAAAATCAGATTATTCAGAAATCCATTATTGATTCGACATACGAATTATGTCAAACAAAAGCACTGCTTTCATCTATAAAGGGCATTCAATGTGGACCTTTGTCAGCTGTCCTTTACAGAATAACTCCGGTCTCTGTAGAGGTAGCATAACCAACTCTTTCAGAGTTTCCTTCACATTTTCCAGCGCTCCAATGTCTTCAAAAGTAACTCCAATATCAGTTGGTGGTATAACCTCACCAAGGAGTCTCTTCTCAAATTCATTCTCGGTAACAATATCCTATAAGCTATGCTTGTTAGTACAGAGACTATTATCAAACACACCAACTTGAAATTGGAATAATGATCGATGACTTCTACCTTGAGAGATTTCTTTGAACTCTTCGTTTCATTCTGAAGACCCTGCAGGAGGTCGAGCCCATATTGAATGCTGTAAAGGGCACGGAAAAAACACTACACGTTATTTTGCTGCACTGCATTATCTACTCTACTATCTTTCAACTGATTGATGAATGTACTAAGACTACCTTTCACTGCTTATAGAAAGTTTTTTGTCTTTCCCAAGAGCTTCAGAAGAATGCATAAAGTGATGACTTACAGCCCAACCGATAATCTTCTCCACATCTATCAGAATAAGAAAGGTTAGTTAATAAACACTTCCTTCGAGTTGACTGTCTCCAGCACCACACAAAAATTAATTTGAAACTACTTACTTTCAATTGTCAGTGCTTGATCTTTGATGCACAGTTCATCAAGGTTGGTGCACTCTATCCGAACTCGATTTAGTACCTGAAACGATTACATGAAAGTTTTGTAAGCTAATAATCCAAAAAAGTAATACAAATGGATTTTAGAGTAAATAATCTATTAGAAAACAAAGTAAACAGTGGATTGTGCTTGAATACCAGAAAAAAAATAATCAGGAATATTCAATGAGCAAAACTGGAAAGTTAAGGTTGAAGCCATTACTAACCGTCCGAATACTAACAATGTTTGACTGTGACTTTAATGTTTCAATATCACGGTCCAATAGCCGTTTCCAATCAGACAGCAATGCTTCATCCTGTCATGAGTGCTTCAAAGTTAAATATCAAATAAATTCAAGTAAGAGCATCAGCATTTCTTTAAAACCACATACTAATAAGAAATACCTGAGGAAGCTGTATCGTCACTTTATTAGGAAAAACTCGGGAAAGCTGCTTAACTATCTTCGGAGTTTCTTTGCTTTTATCATGCAATTTACCAAGACTATCCTGGAAAAGGAAACAACTACTTCGAAGAAAAGGCCATATCCAAATGTAACAAAAAAGATTCTTGGCATGAGGGTAACAAACACTGACAAAAGATGCAGCAAAAAGGCAATCTAAGGGGACATCCAAAACTTTCCAGGGTAAAAATAGATAGGCAAGGAAGCAGCTCATTACAAAAGAACAATTGCAGCAAGATAATTAAAACGGGGTAACAGAACCTAATCAAAACCAAAAATATACAGCAAGAAGAAGCAGGCAAGATTTCTTTCCAATGATAGGTGAATGTTAACATGGGAACACACATCTTGAAAGGATAGCTACAGGATAGTTTGACTCATAAGAAATGCCATACCGGAAAGGTCAAATCAAGCAGTGCTGTCTGATTGCTCGAAAGCTTAGTAAAAAGAAGACCACCAGGATGGGACTGGAAAAAGCAGAGATTAATAGGATCAGATGCAATCAAATTGACAACTGATCTCAGAATGCAATTAAATTCAACAGGGAAAACTCACTTTCTCCTTCCGACTATCTGTTTGCGTGTGCGAAAGTATGACAACTACATTCTTCGGCAATCTTTCAAGTTTATATTTAAAGGTTCCAAGTGCATCATTACTCCCAGTCATAGACTTTTCAGTTTCTTTCACAAAAATAATTAATGAACCACTTTTACTTTCTTTGGACGCCACCTAAAAATACAGGAGACATCCAATATTAATATATTATACACAATGCATCCCGTATGCCAGGATATATATATATATATATATATATATATATATATAGAACAAAAGGTATAACACCTCCAAGAGTTCACTGATAGCAAACTTGTCAATGTCATCAGAGTTATCAAGCTGAAGCAGGTTGGCTGCATAAAACAACGAAAGTTTAATTATTGAAAGAAAATGAGATGGAACAAATAATGGAACCTAATCGGCTGAATCCAAAGAACGTAGAAAAGAAAAACAAACCAGCACAGTAGAAACCGTGATCTCCTTCACAGCAGCCCCCAAGATCGTCTCCATCTGGTATTGATCTATCAAATCTCACCCCAACTTTTGAAGAACCGTTTTCCTCAAATGCCACAACCACCTTGCCTTTGTAACCAGGTATGGGACCCCTACAACATTTATCACAAACCATAACCTCATAAATCCACACAACAAAAAGGATTAAAAAAGCATTAAGGAATACAAGCCAACATAAGCAAATGTAAAACTAGCTCGCTAGGATAAAAAGTGAACAAATTTATGTCACTGAAGTAGAAATAAGGATAACCTTTGATCAGAACAGGACTACTGGGTAAGTTCTGAAAACAGTTCAACAGCAATTCATATTCAAACAAAATTTTGCAGTATAAAATATCACATCAAAGAACAGATATGCCCCGTTCCAACATGTACCTAGCACAGTTTCCTATATTGATGTGAAATACAACAAAAGTGGCATAGTTGTAAATTGAAACCTAATAGCAAAATAGCCAAACAACAACGAAAGAACCATGGAAGGACTTCAGTACTTGTAAAAGTTTACCTGGATGGAGTTTGTGCGCCACTGCCACCAACATACTTCACCCTGTCACCTGGCCAAAAAAACAAATTCAATATTCAGCTCATTATGATTCAGTCTTCAGAGACTAGTAACCCAAATATATTAGAAGACAGTTCTCATACATTGCAGAAGACGGCAAAAAAGATTGAATAAATGCAAATAAAGGTACCTTGCTTGAAAGTATAGGTCTTCGATGTTGCAGTAGATGCCTCCTGCTTTGGCTGTGCCTGTGAGCTTACTGTAGAACCCCCAGTAATGTCAGCCTCAACACTTGAAGCTGGTTTCTTCCACTGTAATCCAGCCGTCTGAGCAGCCCGTTTAGCAAAAACGCTAACTTTTGCAGGCTTTGAAATTTCTTTTACAGGATCGACCTCCTTACTTATTGATTCCTGAATAGATATCAAATCAAATTTTGATATTAAAGTAATGGTTGATAAAAGATAAACCAGAACATTCAAGCAGAAATGTTTTAGTTTCTTACACCAGGCAACATGAGTGAATCAATTATGAGCAGTTTAGCACCAAAATGTTTTGCCAGTGCTTTTGTTAATGTCTCCTGATAAATATCCGACCCTACAAGGAGAGGGAAAGTGCAATTGTCAAACAGGCATGAGAAAATAGCAAATGCAAAGACAACTTAATAAACAACAACGAGAATATACCTGCAGGACCAGACAACAATATTCTGGGACATACGGTGGGAAGTTCTGCAGTGTATTTAGAAAATTGGTTGCTCCTTAAAGGTATGTAAGTAGAAGCGATCAGAACATTCTTCGTCGTCTCACTAAAAAAGAACAATATAAGAGGCCACATTAAACTAAAGTTGAAGGTAAGAAGAATATGGTAGAACCCATATTAAACAGAAAAGAGCCAGGAGGAAGGAAAGCCAAAGAATCCAAAAACATTCATCGTATGTGGTTAAAACAAATCAAAAAGAGCTAAGAACCATGTCACCCTTAAATTAAGAAGCTTCTTAGTTTCTTTGCCCTTGCAGTTATAAATTAGTATAATATGCCAAAACATTTAAGTAGCGATTGAAAACAATAGTACCCAGAAAAGGTTCAACTCGTTATCACAAGAATCTACTGACCGGAAAACTGCCAAATATAATAGAATAGCCACTAGTTAGAAAGGAAAATCAATCCATCCAATATTCACTTAATAAGTTAATGATCAGGCCACATAACTCTTACAACTGATCTCCATGTGAAATAGTTTAAGGTGAGACACGTAAAGGTCTAAAAATACTCCCAAACATTGAAATCAAAATATCACCTCAAGTAGTACGGAAAATTTTCGAATGAGACTTCTATACTGTTCGGATCAATTATCCTTTGCTGTAGCAAATCTTTAAATGCTTGTCGCCTGGTTGATGATAGGGGATCTAAGTCCCTTACTCCGTAATGGTCATTAGCATGTTTGCTTAAGCCGCTGCTTAAACCAAGGTCGGGAGCAGATTGAACAAAAAGTTTCAGAAGTGAACTTATATTTTTCGATGCTGTTGCTACCTTCCCAATGTCTGGATCAACAGATTCCATTCCCCCAAAGTCAAGATTCAGGTTCTCACCGGCAGCATTGGAGGATGGAACATTTGTCTCGTCGCCCAAGTTAGGACTAGTGTTATCACCAGCACTATCTTTCATTTCTGCATCAACAATACGGTTATCTGATAATTCACATACAGAAGGAACTGTAGGTGTCTCTGCACCATTTTGTGCGTCCTCATCAGTTGCAGATGAAGGTGGAACGGAAGATAGCTCTTTCGTCGGATTGGATAAAGATGCTAGAGTAGATGCCACTGCAACAGTAGCTGAATCTCTCGACCTGGCCTCCCAATGCAACCCCGTGACAGCTGCATCGTGAGATTCTAATATGTTGACAGATGGGGGAATCTCAGTATCCGATGATTCATCACCATTTAGTTGCTGGAAGATCTGTTTTTCCTTTAAGGAAACACTTGCATCTCCTCGGTTAATGTATATAGGAACATGAATTTTAAGAACTGAGAAATAAAGGAAATAAGAAAGCTATATTTGCTGGAAGAAGAAAAGCAAAAAATGTAAAAGTATTACTCACATTACTGAATGCACCTCTTAAACAACAACTTTCCCACAGTAAATTGAAACTTATAAAAGAACAAGGCTCAAACTGATACACTCATTGTTCAACAATATCTTACAAAATTTTACTCCAAAACACCCTCAGCGAGATTTTTAGAAAAGTCAAGTTTCACCAAGGATATCGTTGACGTCAATATCAGTCAGCAAATTGAATTTTAAGACAACAGATTATATTTCAATTACTAACGATAATATGAATGACAAAGCAGCAACACACAATGAGGTAAAAAATATCATTTCTTGTCTTCCTTTTCTCTCTACTAAACAGCATAAGTACATACATTATGAGTGTGAAAAAGGATACATAAGCATGTTTCCCAGATGAGCTAAAAGCCACTTCATCGCCTCCTTTTAGTGGCACGGTAGAGTTTTGTGGGTATATCTTGCCATTAACTTGGACAGAACCTTTTTTCCCAGTAATTTCAAGCATGGTGACGGGACATCCATTCTGTTCATGATTATGGAAGAAACAAAATTGAAATTGACAACAGTACATCAACATAGCAATAGACATTTATGGTTACAAAAGATGTATGATTCTGGAATATGGAACACTTTTTACCTCGGAATCCTGGAGTTTCAGAATGCATAGAGATTTACTAACGGATGGGTCTCCAACATACAAGTCGCACTCAGGGCCCTTCCCAACAGTGAAAGTTGCACTATTCATGACAACATTATGATTCTGGAGGAAATACATAAAATGTAAAGGCAAAAAGTAAATATCTCCCAACATATTTAGAAGTCAAATCTTAAACAAATACTTGAAATCATTAATGCCGATAATTCCAACAAGATTATTTATAAGCACAGAAATCTCTAAGTACATGCATGCACATATACTACTTCAGGCTTAACATGAGAGATGAACTGTCAACAACAATGCAGTGTTTGTTTAACGCATTATGAGGGGTGGGCTACACGTAAAAATATGTTGACTGCTCTCTCAAAGCAATCATTAAATTTGTATAAGTCATGTCCGTCTCAGTAGTTTCTTCCATATACTCTCTACTCCCTCCCCCCTCACCCTCTTAATTTGAGTTTATGATTTTATGGTTTCTATTTGTCTTACTGAAAAAAATGAAAATGCACAAGTCATGCACCTATTTTCCAACACAAAAAACAATGGTAACTTCAAAAACTAATAATTAGTTCCTCACCCTTAAAGATTCTCTGTAAACAAAGTACAAACACAGTTCTCTACATGATAACAAACACCTACTGTAAATAACCAGAATTCGAACTTGGCATCAGACACTAACAAAAACGGTTGGCATAAGTGATACCTATACCTGAGAACACCTAGAGAGAAGCTTCCCCCAAGCAACCCCATTAGTATCAGAAGATTTCGACTGCTTTTTCTTGCCACGGCTTTTTGATTTCCCCTTCCCTATATTAACATTAGAATCACCTGAGAAAGATAAGATCATCATCAAGAAAGTGAACAGCCAAACAAAAAAAGGGGAAAAAAAATACACGAACTAACGTAAAAGAACGGCCTTTTAGCAAGCCAAGAACATGAGGAACAAAAAGATCGTACCTTCAACGCAACCCTCCAGTGAATTATCCGACATCAGCTTCAAATCATTGACAGCATCCGTCAGATCAGCCGACGACCGAAACTCTTGGTCGGCCGGATTATCCCTTCCGGAGTCCTTCCCGGAACTTGTATTCCCCTCCTGCGGCACTTCATTAGTCGACGAAGACTCCTCCGCCGCCGCCTAAATTCCCAAACCAAACAAATCGAATTAAGCCCAATTCCAATCACATGCAATAAAAATTAAAATAAAATTCAACCCAAAAAATTCAATGGTAATGAGAATTTGGGAACCCTAAAACGAAAATTAACCTTGGATCGTTTGCCGTTGGGGGGAGGAGAAGATGAAGCGGAAGGGGTCTTGCGCTTGGAGGAAGAAGAAGAAGAAGCACCTCTTCTGGTTTCCACCATGATTATTCAATAAAATTATTATTATCTCGTCCACCGCTGCCCGGTTTGAATTTTCCGGCAAGAAATCGGTGAATTGAATCGGTACGATACAATTGGGATTGAATGATTATAATTAATTTATAAAAAAAAGAAAAATTAACAGAGGAGAAAAGGAAAATGGTGATGATTGCGGGAGAGATCAGTAATGGTCGACTAAAAAGAAAAGAGACAAAAAGCTCGGAGGCTTCTTCACTTGAAAAATACAGCTGCCTATTTATATGCAACTCCGGTTTAAATGAAATATTAATATAGAGTTACAAGTACTCCCTCCGTTCCAAAATTATTGTCCAGGTTGCCAAAAAAGTTTTGTCTCAAAATTATTGTCCAATTTGACTTTTTGTATGAGTTAAGTTAAACATTTACCCTCTTACCACCGGATCCAGAATCATCATAGGTCCTCTGCTTCGCCTCTCTTTCTCGTTTTTGATATAGATTAGGCCCAACTACAACCGTCGCCGCCGCAGAGTTACCGCCAACTTGAAGGAAAAGCTACCGGATAAAATTATTAGTCTCGCCGGAAGATGATGATAGCCCTAACTCATTAACGAGTGAATTCAAAAGGCCAGTCAGCAATGCTGACTTTCTGAAAAGGTTGACGACATATTGGACAACAGCATGACGAGATTCTACCTATAGAGAAATCAACGAATCAAAAACCCACTTCGCCAATTCCTCCATTATTTCCCTCTCCCTAATACTTTTAATTTGCAATTCACGAAATTGAATCAAAGAAACCGCCATCACCACCCTCTGGATTCAACTCGGCGGATCACTTCGTCTTTCCGCCGTCTTCCAGCGAAGAATCCCCGCTACCACACTGCAATTCTCTCTAAGATTGAGCAAACTTTTCACGAAGAATTCAAAGTTCCCGAAATTTGTTGTATGGTTAAACCAATTACTATGTATGTAGGGGTATACTTGGAAGTTTATATCAAACTTGGTTGAATTTGACCAAAATTAAATTTTTGTATCTTAACAAAACATGACATTAATTTTGGGACGGAGGGAGTAGTGATTTTCTATCCAGTCAACAAAATAAAAAACTTTTTCCTTTTTTTTTAGGATAGTTTTTTCTATCCTAAATTCCTAATTGGAGTTGATTTTTGACCAAGATATGGTGGAAGGAAACATATCGGTAAATATTTGTAGGAATTTTGATTATGTTGACCTCAAAAAAAACATAATAATAAAAAAATTATTATATCCTTGACAGCTACCATTAAAATTTTTTGAGTCATTATTCTAAATATTTCAACTTTGACTTTTGATAATTTCACATGGTAAATAAATTTGATGTATGAACCTACAGTAGTTGTTTATTTTCTAAAGTTAAGTTATCTAATTTCTAAATTTTAGAACTTCTTTTTGTCTCGAAATAATTATTTATATTAGTTTTTTTTTAAAGCTTATGTAATTTGAGCTAAATGTGGACAGTCATTCCGTGATGGCTGAAAGAACGTATTATGTTAAAGTAAAATACCTGCTAAAGGTCTGGTTGAATTTAGATGGAAATAAAACCTAGCCTAATTCTATGAATTATATAATAATTTGATTATGGAAATATGTGTGTATATTGATAGAATATACTTGAATTCTGAATTATAACAATACGTGATGTGTGGTGTACTGATCTTTCCACTTGAATTTCCTAATTTTCGATATTTGATTATTACTTTAGCATTTAAATTTAACCAAATGTTTTCATGGATTAGAGGCTTTGATATTTGATGTTCAAAAAAATTTGAAAAATTAAGAGGAGATTGATGTAGTATTTAAGTTAAGAGTGAAAAATAACTATTTCTTTTGTTAAAAAAAAAACTAACTTATATTAATTTATTGAAAATAATTCGATAAGGATTGATGACAATTAAAAAACGCAGTCAAACATATAGTATAATTTATTACTAGATACATATCTAAGCGTTGCTTGGCTCGTTTACACACAATATTATAAAACTAAATATGAATGATAATTGTTTCGAGTAATTTTAAAAAGAATATATATATATATATATAATTAGGTCCTTCTAAAAACAACATAAAGATTAATTATACTACAATATGAAATGTTTTTGTTTGGTATTAAATAAATATGAAATGTTTAAAATTAATTATAATAGAAGATTTATATATTGAGAATGAGAAGTTGGTTCAGTGGTAACACCACCATTGTTCCAAGAAGAGGTCATGAGTTCAATCCCCCACTCCAACAAAGGTAAGAGGTTGGCTCATGTCTTACCCATTGGCACTTCTTGGGATTTGTTATGACAAATCCACTGACGACCTTTTCATACCAGGGACTTGACTAGGGTGGTTTACCTCCCACTGCAAACAACAAATCCACTGACGACCTTTCCATTTCATACCAGGGACTTGACTAGGGTGGTTTACCTCCCACTGTGGTTTGCAGGCTATTACAGTGGACGTGGATTTATCCATCTCTGGTGGGGTTCCTAGCATTATCAAAAAAAAAGAAAAGATTTATATATATTTTTTAAAAAAAAAATTGTGAAAACCATAATTTGGTCATATATGTGTGCTCTTTTTTTTTTATCCCCATTTTGAATGGTAATATTTTAATTAGAAATAATATGAGAGACATTTGTGTCATTAATGTTCAATTAATTATAGTTAAATATTGGAGAAATTAATTATTCTTTTCTACAAAACTACGCCATTTTTGTTGGGCGATAAATGGTGGAATGTGAACACAACATATTAGCATGAACTCTCATTTAGGGCCCGTTTGATAAAACTTAATTTGGGTCTGACGTTTGAAATCTGAAGACTGAATCATAAGTATTAAACTGATTAAGTTTGTCGTGTTTGATAAAAATCAAAATCTAAACACTGAATGAAATGCCTGAAATCTGAAGTCTGAACACTGAAATTTAAAGTATTTCGACTTATGAAACTATGATAATAAAAATAATAATATTATTATTAAATAATGTAATAAAAATATTTATTTTATTATGTTATTATTTTTCAGTTAATAATAATGTCATATTTTATCATTGTCAAAAAAATTTATATTTTATGGTAAATATATATTGATCATGAAATTTAATAGATTTTAATTTTTATATAAAAATAAATATTTTTTAAATAAAAAATAATTTACATAAATTTAAATTTAAAACTAGACATCATGATTAATAAAAATATTTCAAGATAAAATATCAAAAGTATAAATATAAAAATAAATAAATAGAAAAAAATCGTCTCAAGAATTCAGTTCAGACATAAGTGATTGACCTATCATTTATTTTTAGGCTCACATTTGTACTAGTATTTCAGATCCACTTAATTTATTAAGACATCCTACTTTGAGTTATCAAACGCACTTAAAATTTAAGTCCTTAATACATTAAGTTCTTAATCAATTAAGTTGTTATGATACTGTATTATCAAACAGTGCTAATCAATTAAGTACTTAATTAATAAGTTTAAGTACTTAATTGATTTATCAAACAGGATCTTAGACTTCTGTTTGTATTATTACGGTTTCTAAAACTACATGAACTTGGTTCGATCATTGGTGCCAAATATTGAATTCGATAAAATTTACACTACAAATCATTTACGAATACGAAAAAAAATTATTGGAAAAAATGGATCAAACCAAATTACTAAGGGTATGTTTGTTTCATTTTTTAGTGTATGTTTTTAGGTTTTTTTTTATCGGGAATGTAAAAAGGTCCATTAAAAATATAAAAAGATATATTAGAATGGGATAGTTAATATTTTATTATTATGAAAAAACCATCCAAAAAACAAAATAAACAAAGCCTAAGAAAGCCTGCTATTAGTAACTCGGATCGACATAGCCTGGTATTTATTGGATATTGGCAGAGGATACTTGAGATGTGGAATGCCATTTCATGAAATAATGGGTCTGTTTGAAAAGAAATGAAACCCAATGGATTTTAAATTAAACAATTAACACTCACTTAAATGGGTTTATTTATATTAATTATTAAACTAGTGTCACATGCTGTGTAACATAAAAATATCACCAAGGACACCTAATAAGGCAGTACAATCATGTTCGCCAATCACGATAACAGGTGACCTATTAAAGAATGACAAAGGAAGATAAATTTATAGGATTTGTGGCAAAAATTTGGGACTCTTCTGTTTTAGAAGCGGAGTTTTAGACTTCACTTTTTGGATTGAGGATTACTGGAGATCTAAGTTTCCAAAAAATACAACTACATCCGGTCCGGACAACCAACAAGCTATTAATCTCCTAAATGAAAAAAGCCTAACATATACTTCGAGTTCGAGCAATGTCCTTCACAGAATTATGACATGTTTGAAGCATCATTGAACGTTAGATGTCTCTCATATAATAAAAAACCCTATTAATGCATCATCAGATTCTTTAGCTAAAATATGTTTTACCAAAAGGGTTATGGTAGAAGGTAGGAACTATCTACGGTTAAAGGTTCGAGTTTTGCCATGGCTATGAATGGACTTTAAATTTTTTGTTCAACTCTTTCACTTATTTAGGTGCCCGCCATGAACGAGAGAGATAGGTTAATGTTGTCGACAGTATGCAATATATGAAAAAAAAAATAAATTTACATTTGTATTTTGGGTTATATATTTTGTTAATACCCCTTGTTACAACTCTAGAAAATATAACAATAAATTAACCTAGTTTAACTCTGTCTCTATGAGTTGTTTTTGTAATTAAATTTTAGCTAATTTAGTATATAAAAGAATAAATTGTCAAAGATTATGTGTCATTTGAATGCCACAATCGTTCAAAGACAAAAAGATTTCCGTTCATACTTTTATTTACACTCTTTGTAACACTATTTAAATAGTTAACACGGAAACAATTATTTACTCAAATGAGTTTGTAACATTTATTATCAATTGTTTAACTTATAATACAAATTTGTCACAAAAAAGTCCTCATACCTTTTCAAAATATAAAGAATGAGTTCCAATAAAAATACTTAGAAGCAACCATATTTTTACAGTTCACCCCTATTATTCAGCAAATTTTTGTACTTTAGTTTGGCATGCATTTATTAAATACAGTCATCCTTTACCCAAAAAAAAAAAAAAAAAAAAACTAAACGATAGCCATCCCACTATTGAAAGCAAATTCACCATTTCAGAATTTATATGCATAAGTAATTAATTATAAATATCTGCCGACTGCATAAAAATCTAACAAATTGTAGGTTTTTTTTTTCCCCCTCACCAAAAAAAGAAAAATCTAAGGGAAAAAAAGAAACCCCAAAACCCCCAAAATTCTCATCGTCTAGCTCGCTCTCTTCCCATATAACAAGATCTTTCTTTTATCTGCCTCTCTTTTATCTTCTGAGAAACCTTATCACTTCACTTCTCCCCGTTTTTCCTCAGTCTCATTCTTCTTCTTCTTCTTCGTCTTCTCCTTATCAATCCAAAACTTAAAACCCTTTGCCCCTTTTCCCCCAAACGCGCGCCATGGACTTGAAGGAAGCGACGCCGTCTTCTCCCGCCATCGCCACCGATAATTCCTCAGGTTCCCCTAACGACTCTTCTTATGGAATTGAAACTACTACTGTTTTTCCTAAAGTTAGTAATTTGAATACTACTAATTCTGAAGAAGAAGAAGAAGAAAATGATAGTAGCGTTAATAATTTTGTTAGTAGTAATGGTAAACTCAGTTATGCTTCTGTTGTTGCTTCCGGCGGTGCTGCAGAAGCGGCGGCGAAGGAGGTTGTTGAGGAGGACGAGGAGGAGGGTTTTGTGAGTGGTGAGGAAGAGTTTGAAGTGGCACCGGAGAAGCCCCCAATCGCTGATGTTGACGATAAGGCTGGGGCCAAGGTGGGTGAGTCACCGATATCGTTGAAAGACGATGGGGTTATTGATGATGACGAAAAGGGCGCTTCTAAAGACGAAGTCTTGGTGGGTGGGAAGGAGGCGGTCCTTGTCGGAGATAAGGTGGAGGGTGATGAGGAGCCCGCGGCGGTGCCTTCTGGCGGTGGGTTGAGTGGGGACAAGGCTGTGGGACCCGCAGAGAACGGTGTAATTCCGGGTTCTGATGGGGATTTTGATGGGAATTCGGGTGGAAGTGGGGAGGGTATAGTTCAAAATGAAAAGGGTCCTGTTGAGGGAGAGAAGTCTGCTGAAGGGGACAATGTTGTGGAAGCTATTAATGTTGATGTCAAGGTGACTGAACCTGGGGTGGCTGTTGTTGGGGATACTTCGGCCCTTATAGATGAACATACTGAGGTTCAGGGTGATGAAAAAATTGAAAATGTTGTGGAAGAAGAGGGGAAACCCGGTGGAAAAGATGATGACAAAATTGAAGATGGTGTGGAAGGCGAGGGGAAACCCGGAGAAAAAGGTGGGCTGGAAGTTGTTACTCCTGAAGGAGATTCTACAGTGGAAGCTATTAATGTTGACGCTAGTGCGACTGAACCCAGTGTCGCTTTTGTTAGGGAGACCGCTCTTCAGAATGAGCCTCCGAGCAGTGAGAGCGAGGATCATCCTGCTGCGGACATGGGTGATAGGAAAAGTGTAATTGTTGAAGAAGATGAGGGGCAACCTGATGAAGAAGGAGATGCTGTTGTGGAAGCTATTAATGTTGATGTGAGTGTGGTTGAACCTGGGGTGGCTGTTGTGGGGGAGGTGGCTACCAAAGACAGAGAAGTAGAGGTTCCAGGTTCTGAGGATCATACCCTGGTTGATGCCTCAAATGTTGCAAATGGCTTTCAAACACTGAACCAAGAGGATATTGATGGCCCCCCAGGCACTGAAAGTGAGCTGTCAAATGTGAATAAGGGGAAAGGGGCTGTCTCTGACAACTATGAAAATGTTGTAGAGGGAGATGAAAATCTGGTGGATGATGAACTTGCAGTTGTTGGCACTCAGAATGAAGGAAGAGATGGAGGTGATGAAGCCAAGATTCAATTTGGTGAGGTTGACGACTTTGATGAAGGTTCACTTTCTGATGGGGAGATGATCTTTGGAAGCTCCGAAGCTGCTAAACAGTTCATTGAGGAGTTGGAACGAGGATCTGCCAGTGCAGATGGCTCCCGTGATCCAAGAATTGATGGTCAAATTGCAACAGACTCTGAGGAAGATGTTGACACTGATGAAGAAGGCGAAGGGAAGGAGTTATTTGATTCTGCTGCCTTGGCAGCCCTCTTGAAAGCTGCAACTGGTGCTGACCCCGACGGTGGCGGCAATATAACAATAACGTCTCAAGATGGTTCTAGGCTTTTCTCAGTTGAGCGGCCTGCTGGTCTTGGATCTTCCATCCGGCCTTTCCGCTCTGCAGTCCACCAGCAGCCAAGGCGGCCCAACATTTTTGCCCCTTCAGCCCTATCAAACAATGGAGATTCTGACAGTAACTTGAGTGATGAAGAGAAGAAAAAATTGGAGAAGTTGCAACAGATACGAGTGAAATTCTTGAGGCTCGTTCACCGGTTAGGCCTTTCTCCAGAGGAATCTGTTGCAGCCCAAGTCCTGTATCGTATGTCTATTGTTGCAGGAAGGCAAACTGGGCAAATTTTTAATGCCGAGGCTGCGAAAACGAGGGCTATGGAGCTGGAAGCAGAAGGGAAAGAGGATTTGGATTTTTCCTTGAACATCCTAGTTCTTGGCAAATGTGGGGTGGGGAAGAGCTCCACAATTAATGCAGTTTTTGGTGAGAAGAAAGCTGAAATTGATGCTTTTCAACCTGGTACTGGTACCGTGAGAGAATTTACTGGAGTTGTTGATGGAGTGAAGATCAGAATATATGATACACCTGGGCTCAAAACTTCGGTTATGGAACAGTCTTTCAACCGCAGTATCCTTTCTTCGGTGAAGAAATTCACTAAGAAAAACCCACCTGATATTATTCTTTATGTGGATAGACTGGATGCTCAAACTCGGGATCTCAACGATCTGCCACTTCTAAGGACTATCACTAGTGTTCTTGGAACCTCTATCTGGCGAAATGCGATAGTGACCTTGACACATGCTGCCTCTGCACCTCCAGATGGGCCTACTGGTTCCCCTCTGAGTTATGAGGTGTTTGTTACCCAGAGATCGCATGTTGTTCAGCAGTCAATTGGGCAAGCTGTAGGCGATCTCCGTATGATGACTCCTAGTATGATGAATCCTGTTTCGCTCATTGAAAACCATCCTTCTTGCAGGAAGAACAGGGAAGGGCATAAGGTGCTCCCTAATGGCCAAACTTGGAGGCCCCAGCTATTGTTGTTGTGCTATTCTATGAAGATTTTGTCAGAAGCGAGTTCCTTGTCGAAGCCTCAGGATCCGTTTGATCACCGTAGGCTGTTTGGATTCCGGGGTCGCTCACCACCTCTTCCGTATATGCTGTCTTCGATGTTGCAGTCACGACAACACCCCAAGCTTCCTAGTGAGCAGGGAGTGGATAGTGTGGATTCTGATGTAGACCTGGATGATTTGTCAGATGTGGAAAATGATGAAGAAGATGAGTATGATCAGCTTCCTCCATTTAAGCCTCTTAGGAAAGCTCAAATTGCTAAGCTTGACAAAGAGCAAAAAAAGGCATACTTTGAAGAGTTTGACTATAGGGTGAAGCTCCTTCAAAAGAAGCAGTGGAAAGAGGAATTGAGGAGAATTAAAATGATGAAAACAAAGGGAAAGGATATTGGAGTTGAGTATGGTTTGGCCGAAGAGGATGCAGATTCAGGTGCTGCAGCGCCCGTGGCAGTTCCATTACCAGACATGGTGCTACCTCCTTCTTTTGACAGCGATAATCCTGGGTACAGATACCGGTTCTTAGAGCCCACTTCGCAGTTTCTAGCCCGACCGGTTCTGGATACACATGGTTGGGACCATGATTGCGGCTATGATGGAGTCAATGTTGAGCATTCTCTGGCTATTGCCAATCAATTTCCAGCAGCCTTGACTTTTCAAATCACAAAAGACAAAAAAGATTTCAGCATTAGTCTGGATTCATCTGTTTCTACAAAGCATGGTGAGAATGGTTCGAGCATGGCAGGGTTCGACATCCAAAGTATTGGAAAGCAGCTCGCCTATGTTGTCCGGGGCGAGACTAAGTTCAAAAACTTGAAGAAGAACAAGACAGCTGGTGGGATATCTGTTACTTTCTTAGGGGAAAATGTGGTTCCTGGATTGAAGCTGGAGGACCAGATTACTTTGGGGAAACAGTATGTGTTGGTTGGCAGCGCCGGGGCGGTTAGGTCACAGAATGACACAGCTCTTGGAGCCAACTTTGAATTGCAGAGGAGGGAGAATGATTTTCCAATTGGTCAGGTCCAGTCTACAGTCAGCATGTCTGTCGTGAAATGGAGAGGTGACACAGCTCTAGGGTTCAACGGGCTAACTCAGGTCTCCATTGGGCGAAACTCAAAAATTGCTGTCCGGGCTGGAATCAACAATAAGATGAGTGGACAGATCACTGTCAGGACAAGCAATTCAGACAATCTTTCTCTGGCACTCGCCGCGCTCATACCCACCGCGATTTCCATCTACAAGAAACTCTGGCCGGGCGCTGTTACTGACAAGTACTCCCTGTACTAGTCCTGTCGTTTTCTTTTCTTTTTGGGGGGTAAAAATTGAGTCTTCCTTAGCTGATTCTGTCTTTTCCAGCTATACAATGTTATTAGATGATCAAGAACAGAATTTTTGCTTGCGCGATTAGATGTACCGTTTAAGATGTGAGTTCCTGAATTTTTGTACCTGAATTTCTTATGAAGTTTGCATTGATTTGGCTTTAGCCTTTCTGTCTATCTTGTTCATCTTCTTTTTCTTCTCAAGTGTAGTATCGTATGATGATGTGGCGTACTTGACTGTTAGATGAAGTAATACTAAATGCTCCACTTTGCGAATTTGATCTATTTATTAACAGTATAACGGACTAAGCAGCGCAGTCGTATTGTGATCCCAAAAGAGCCACTAGTCTCTGTCCATATTGCAAATGAATCAATAGTCAGAACTTGATACATTCATTACCAGTAGTTGAAACTAACACTTGTAACCAATTAACTACTGATGAAATCAAATTGGCTGGAATCAAGGGTATACACGAGCAGATCACCAGGCCAACATCGATTAAGTTTTTCGCAAGTAAATCCCGGAAGTTGTCTTGTTAGATCCGGTTAGGTAAATTTTATACACGAAACAACTTCTAAAGAACAATAGGCAAGCTGTTTGAGAAACTGATTACCCTGAAGTGCGAAAAAGAGCAACGGGAAAGCAGTTTTGAGGACACAGCTCGGTTAACCTGAAGATCTACTTCGAGAAATTAATACTGTGCAGTTCACTGAGCGAGCCCACCAATGTTATTAAGTGTGGATCAATGGTAAGGATGTAACTACATTAAGAGAGTGTTAGGGAATTACAAGTTTGTTCATACCAGATACGAGAACGTTGCCATTTGCAAACTGAAATCACCAATAAACACACTGAAAAAATGAACAAAATTCCTGAACTTTTCACCTTGAACGAAAAAATTCCCACTGAGTAATTAAATCACGTTCAGTTTAGGATTAGATAACAGCAGAAGGTGCTACAAATTACAATGCGTAACATCAAGTGAGCCAGCAAACGGGAATCTCTATCAGCTTGAGACCGGCAGGCCTTCCCCATTGGTCGAAATAGTGTGGCCAGTCTCGGCTCCCTGAAAAACTTTCCCTATCCTCTCAATCGGCACTTTGGGAAGGTAATGAGACGCCGTATAACCCTTGTCATTCCCATAAGCCAGAGCCTCATTGTATTTCTCGCACCAATGAGCTACCGTTGGAACCACTATCTGAGCCACTTGAGGGAACAGTGGAAGACGATTCAGCGACCTCCAAGCCGAGACAGCATACTGCTCGGCTACTGGCTCATATTTTTTATACATTTCTTTGGCCGTGGGCTCGTAGGTCTTGTACACTGTCTTCCCAATATTTGTAGCTGTGTCCACCACGCCAGCGCGTCGCACTTCTGATGCCACATCTCGGACCACCTCTGGAGCTTTCTGAGCTGCCACCAGTAATTTTTGAGAGGCCATCTTCACCCCGGATGGCACCCGGTGGTCCAGCTCGTGTATGGATTCGTCCACCTGAGAAAGAGAAAAAGGTTAGTGACATCAAACCTTAGCGAGAGGTTAGGTAAAAAATATCAATCACTTTGTAAGATTGGTGACGAATAATCAAAGATCTTCCTCAACGAACTAGCAGTTAACAAATCAATGACCGAAAATTGACAAGAAAGTGATACATACTACATGAAATATCCCTTTACACTTATCCTCGAAAGTTACTTTCCTCTGTCCAAGAATAACAGTAATGAATTCGTAGGAGCCATTGAGGCGCAGAACACTACTTGGTTCCAACACCAAACGAAACATTTTCAACTCTGTGTTTCATTTTTCACTAAGTTTTTTCAGAATTAAATATTAATAATTGTCCCATCCCGACATACTTTTTTTTACATTTCTAATAGGAAAAAAAAACAAATTAAAAAAATTGATCAAACATAGACTGTATCAATTGTGCATGAAATTAAATTTCACACTGCTTCCCCCTCAAAATGATTGCAAATTACTGTGTCAATTATTTTTGTCGGCTAATCAGGAAATTCCACAGAAATTGACTGTTCAAGCAGAGAAGAAAAACAATTGTCATCCACTCATTCTGCAGTAACAAAAGTTTCAACATTAATCAATTATGGCCGCTTTCTCTAAAGTGAGGGCAGTAAAGTCAGCCGACAACATTTCTCACGTGAGAAGTGTACTAAACAGAGAATAATACGAATAAAGAAATGAAATCAGGAGAGGAAAATCTGTCATGGGTGGGATTCATCAGCGTACCTTGCGATCGACGAACCTGAGAAGGTCGAAGGGAACATGGCGGAATTTCTGGTAAACCGGACCGATGACGGCTTTGACAGTACCTTCGACGGTCTGAACACCGGTTCGCAACGGACCGGAGTTCTGTTTGGCGTAGTCGTAGAGGGACGAGGAACAAACCACCAAGTAAATCGCCGCGGCTTGGACGAAATCCAGATACTTGAGTTCCCCTGATCCCGCCGCCGCCACCACCACCTTCTTCTCGTCCCCTGATTCAACCTACATATAAATTACCATGAATTAGTAAAAATTGCAGTAAAAGGATCACCTGTTTCAATTTCATAATAATAATTACACGTTCATAGAAACATTTCAGAAAACAAGTTTTAACATCACGGGGAGGGGAGGAAGAAAAACGGAAGCTCACCGTCGTGGTGGTGGCGGTGGACGGAGGCGGTGGTGGTGACTGTTTGGGTTCAGAATCGGCCATTTGAGATCGGAGGGGGGTTAGAGTGACAGTAAGATTACAGTGAAGAATAAAGAGAGTGTGGAAGGAATTGATTGGATGGGAATTTGGTAACGGCAGCGCCGATATTTTTTATAGAGAGGGGAATGGGGTTCTTTTGGGATCACGATCTTCCTCTCCTGAGGTCCCCTTTTTAAAGCTGTGCGATTAACAGAGTTGAGTGACGACATCCTCCTCCATCCCGCGCGTGAATGACCAAATCTCCCGGGAATCTCCCCATTATTAGGGAGAAGTTTTTATGTACTACACTACATTATTAATGAATGAATTCTTTTGCTAACAAATAAGTAATCTTCTTAAAAAAAAAAAAAAGAAGAAAATCATACAATTATATTTACTGTATATTTTCATTGCTATACGAAACTTGAAATTTATCAAGATTTGTATCCTATAATAAAATATGGTGATGTGAAATCTAATATGAATCACCCATTAGAGAATCTAGAACAATTGCAATCTAATTGAATGCCACATTATCATTTTGTCATATACCACCTTTTTTTTTAACTTTTTTTTTCTCTAATAGTTAAACACTGATACACACATTTAATATGCCAGTTAAAAAGTATAAACAATAATAAAAAAGAAAAAAATGAAAGAAAAGGAAAATGTGGAATAAGCTTTTCTTTTTATTGACTTATTAAAATGCTTTCGGTCCGTAATAGTCAGATTCAATCGCTTGAATCTATTTTTACAATTTTTAAACTCACTCCAATGATAAATGTCCATAAAATACTGATATTGCACTGGAATTAAACCATTACCAGAGATGCCCTTATGACAATTCAATTTGACAGATGCTACACAATACCAATGTGTTCTTCTAAAAAAATTATGAAAACATTTCACTTGTATTTAGACTTTTTGTACGACATTTTAACAAATGACTAAATATATGCATGAGAAAAGATTTTATTAGCGTTGTGAAGGGGTTCTAGGGAATTCGGGTATTAGAAGATTATATTAAAAGAGTATAAACTAATCGTTTATTTGAAATATTAGTATATTACGTGTATTCTAAAAAACTTAGAAAAAAAAATTAAGTTTATATTAAACAGAGTCAAAATAGTTAAGAGCAATGGTAGAATGAACGCTCACAAATATCCCACGCGCAGAGATGTGAAGTTGCAAGAAACAGATCAAAGCATGGGCTCGATTGGGCTAAATCTTGCCGGCACACTTATCAAGGATGAGTCTCTCTCTTGCGGTACAAAATTGAGAATTTATTTGAATTCGTTTTTTTGGCACTACATATTTTTTTGTTTAATTTAATTTATCAATTATAATCATTTAATTTTTCGCGTAACATCTATATATTCTAGTCTCTTCCGGAGCTAAGAATTGGCCCTACTTGTAGACATCATCCACTAAGAGGAGTCTAGGACCCGTAATCTTCTAGAAACTAATCCATGATTATTTTTTGGGTAATGATATTACCAACACAAATATTAGCCTCCATAACAACATCTTAGTATTCTTCCAAAACTGCCCTTACTTCAGTCAAATGGAAAATTCCTTCCCATCTTATATAAATCTAAAATTTCTCAGTTCTAATTTTAATCCATTACTCTCGCTTATCATTCTCACTAGCTGCTGCGTCCTGATCCAACAAGTCACTGATGTTCATAAGCCAACAAATATTCTTTATTTTTACTTTTTTACGCATATATTTGCCTATAAATCTTCACATTTATTATCTTTGTTTCGATGATATATATACTCAGTCAATAACCTATATAAAGATACAAATAATCGGTATTACAACACCTTCGTGGGTCTGAATTAGGGTAACAAATGAACTACAGGAAATCCTGATAAACTACTAATTCAATGTGATTTGTAGATCTTTTGTTCAGAGATTATGGAGTTAATGGATTAAATTATAATTGATAGTTTATTTTAGTAAATCGTGGTGACCATGAATATTGGGTTTATGGGTTTAATGCGAGTGTAGTAATTATTACAAGCAATGGCACTATGGTGGGCAATAAACCTCGGATCACCATGGCTGCACTTCCATATATACGCCGCTTGGCAACGGCTTCTGAATCGTCTCCGACATCTGGACTTATGGGAAAAAAAGTTGACAAAAGATTAAAGCAAGGAGGCTTAGAAAGGATGTAGGTTATTGGTGATGGGGCTAAAAAGATTCACGAGGATGAGGATCATTAGATTATTGGAGGCGAGTTTGATTTAGTTCTCGGAGTTCCAACGTGGGCAGCGTTAATGGCGATAAGCGGATAGGTTGGGTTCACTAGGCACTAAGGAATGAAAAGTTTTCTGTTTGACTCAAATGAGGGTACTTTTGAAATAATATGAATAATTTGCTCTGGAGGTTAATTCTTATGCTGACAATATCGCTGACCTTATTTTTTGTTATGCTCTTAAGTGAAAACACAAAAGAGGAAATAATTTATCAAAAACAAAAGAGGACGTAAATGACGGATTTAAGAATGTTTTGTAAAGATTACAAGATCATATAAGTGATATACTCTCACGTCCAAAATTATTTCCAGTTTATATTTTGAGTTGTAGTACAACATGGAAATAGTAGTAGTTTACAAGATTATTATGAAAAGGAAAAAATCAAGCAAATATGTTCAAACAATAGCAATTTTTAACTCTCAGCGTGCACAAATAAAAAGAGTAGCTTGATTTTAATTTGATGTAACTCACGTAGATTGATAGGACTAAATGCACTATTATTATTGCAGAAAAGGTGGAGCGATACTCATCAATGTCTGTGTGCAAAAATAATTTAGAAATGCAAAAATAAAAGTTTTTTTCATCTCAAAAAGAGAAAGGGAAAAAAGTCCGTTTGGGTTTGGGTTCGTCAACTAACGGCGTTAAGTGGACTGGTCAATTTGACATGTACTTTTGGCGGACTTTTTAACATCGTTAGTTCACTGCGCTAATCTAGAGAGGTGAACCGAACATCGGAAAATGGGCAACGATGATCTGAACGGCGATGCAGAAGAAGAAGAAGTAGTAAAGGCACTTCTCCGGGACGCTTTCGGAGAATCCTCCTCATCATCGTCAGCTGAAGACGACGAAGATGTAAAGAACCCTGGAGGAGGAGCAGCATTAATCCCTAATTGGGAAAAAATCAGGGAGATCGATGGGTTATGGATATGCAAAGACTTCCTATCTCCCGACCAACAATCTTCTTTGCTCTCTTCAATAAACAAAGGTATAAATCTCTCTCTCGCTCTCTCCATGTAATTTAATTTTCCACTTCATTGAGGGAAGAAATTAGGGCGATTATATAAGCCGACGATTTGTTTTGTGATTGTGTGTATAATTTTTGGTTGCAGAAGGATGGCTGAACGACGCCTCTAGCAACCAGGTTGGTTAATTTGTATTTCTGTTCACGCAACAATTGAATGGAATTGTAGGATTGCAAGTTTAATTTTTTATAGTGTGCTTTGATTAGTCTTTGTGGATTTTTTAGTTCTTTACTTTGGTCGGATGAAGGCTATGAGATTTGGAGATCTTCCCAGGTGGGCTGTTGAACTTTCGGATTCGATACGGGAGGCTGTTTTCTTCAGTCATGGTCTCACGGAATCAGCAGGCGTAGCAAATTGTGATCCAAGTGAAGAAGGGTCTCCCTTTCCATCAGATTTGCTGTGGAGGGAACCACTGTTTGATCAACTTATTATGAACACATATGAACCAGGCGAGGTCTGTAGTAGCATTCCTTCTTCAATTTTTCCAGAAAGTAGTTCCGTCTCTGCTCCAACCGCCTGTTTTGAGTGTTCTGTTTGTTAGCAAATGCATAGATTACCTGTTGGCAAATTTTGATCTTATTCTGGAAGTGGAAACTCTGTTGAACTAATAAATGTTGAGGAAAAAAAAGAAAAGGAACTAAAAATGACCTGCATAATTGATAAGATGCGAGTAAGCATATGATCAATGTAGGGCATAAAAGCAAAAGGAAGTGAGAGAAACTTACTATACATTGTTATTCTCTAATTAGTATAAAACATGTTTCAAGTGGTGCTTGGTAACTTTCTGCTTAATTGTTTTGGACTACATTCATATATTTATTACTTGCCTAATGCAGGGGATCTGCGCTCATGTGGATCTTATGCGGTTTGAAGACGGAATTGCCATAGTTTCTTTGGAATCATCCTGTATCATGCATTTTACTCCAGCTGACAACCGTGACTCGAGTAATTCCCATAGTGAAAAGATTCCGGTGTATCTAAACGAAGGATCGCTTGTGTTGATGAGTGGAAAGGCACGGTACCACTGGAAGCACGAGATTAATAGGAAGCCTGGGTTTCAGGTATGGAAAGGAAGAGAAATTGATCAGAGGAAGCGAACCTCCATAACTTTGAGGAAGCTTTGTCCCACCGCTGCATCATGAAAACATGTAATGATCATCTTCCCTGTCCGCTTCATTTTTTGGTATTTGAAATTCAAATGTCATTGCCAGGTAGTATTTGTTTCGAAGATTTTTGCGTCATTTACACATACCAAATTATATGAATGTCGAAGCCAGTGTGAACAACACACACAAATTGATTAAACAAGAGTAGTTCTTTTTTACCAAAAGTGAAAAAAATAAAATAAAAATCTAGGCACACATATACTTACTATTACATTACAATATGCTTAGGAAAACCATAATAAAATTCTTCAACCAAAAAAAGTGGGATAACACCTAACTAATTGATTTCTCAATGGTAAACAAGCTTAAAGTTTACTAGTGACAACATGAGTGGCCATAACAAACAAGGCTTAACTAAATCCCCAGCAATTGGATTTATTGTTTTGAAGCTCCTCATGCACCCAACCAGAAGTCCAAAGACAGCAGCACAAACCACCAAGCCGAGCTTATTCGCCCCGGCCCTAAACACAATCGGATCCCACGATAAGCCTGAAGCAACCGCACCCAAACACAGAAGCAAAGCCGTGGGATTCCGATGAAACCCACCCTCAACCCAAACCAACCAGGCAGACAGCCCGATGAGAGATGAAGCAACCAAACAAGCCGAGTGCAAAGCCCAAAGCGGCGGATACCAAAAGGGCTTCTCCATGGTAGCGTACTTGATATTGGAACCGAACAGGGCAATGTCCAGAAGAGTCAGAGAAAGCGGGAGGCCAACGGCAAGGCCCAGTGATCGGAGCCCACGCTTGGCCATGACACTCCTCTTTTGTCCCTTCATGTGTGCGGGATCTTGGGCTTCTTTGTGTTCTTGTTCTGTAGTAGTGGCGGTGGTTCTGTGTTTGAGCTGTTGATCTTCTGAAGAAGAAACAGAAGCCATGATGATGATGATGATGTTGTTGTTGATGATGGATCGATAGATGATTATTGATTGAATGAAATGTGAGTTTTGGGGAGGTTTTGGCAAACAGTACGAGGAAGAAGTGGAAAGATCAAAGGTTGGGAGGGAATTGAGGAGAGTGTTTGACGATTTTTATGAGAGAAAAGATGTGATTTTTGAGGGAGATGGGAAGTTTCTTTTTGGAGGGGATTAAGGAGGACACATGCCCGGACAGATGTTTGAAATGTGTGGGTTGATATAACACGTGGGGAAAAGTACTGCCAGCATTGCAGCTTCTTCAGGATTTGGTCGTCATCTCTTTCTGGTTACTTTCCTGAAATTTTCATACCTTTTGCTGATGAGTCAGTGTGGATTGTAATGCGGGATGATGATAACTTGTTTTCCAGGGGTGGTAACAACTGATTAAGATTTAAAATCACGATGGAGTGAGTAATTGTGATCTCTCAACAAAGAACAACTGTTACACTCGAACCGTCAGGAAGAATGTTCATGTTATTATCATCTATTTTAATTTTAATTGCGGTCATTCTCTGAGGTGTGGTCGTAATCGTGATTCCTTTCCTAATATTCTCTGCTATACACTTCATTTTAATGAGCCATCAATTTCAAAGCCTTCCCACCTCCACTACAATACAACTTCCGCAGTACCTAAACCTTGAACTATGGGATTCATGGAATTAAGACCAAAACATGAATCACAACCGGCCAAATGTCCTCAATGAATGGTAAATGTATAAGGTATCTAGATATAAGTGTGAAATTTTGCCGCACTTCCTTCGTCCCAAAATTATTGTGCAATATGAATAGTCATTCTTAATATAATTCTAGAACAGAGAGAATATTTTGTTTCAATATATATCGTATATGGTGAAGAGTTTTTAGAACAAATTTCAACAACTCAAATTGATTAGGTAAGTATTAATGATCGAAAAAATTACATTTAAAAATTTTTTCGGTGTATTACTCTCTCCGGTCCTTAATATAAGACATTTTGATATTGTCTTAGATTTTACTTTGTATGCATTTTTAATTGACGAAAAAATCTTAAAAATATATTTTCACATTCGTTGTGTTCTCTTGATTGTTATGAAATATTTCTAAGGTTTTTTGGCCAATTAAAAGTACGTATTAAGTTAAACTTAGGACAAATCAAAATGCGTTATATTAAAGACCGGAAAGAGTATTATTAATCAATGACGCAATTAAATATGAACATTCTATTTGTAAGTTGTTGAAAACTCTACGTGAAGTAAATTGATAAAAATTACTAGTTCCTTTTCATCTATATATATATATATATATGGAGAAGAGAAAAAATTCATTAGCTTGTTTGATAAAAATTAATGTTTGATTCTGAATATTTAATACTGAATTCATTGTATAGTTGTTGAATAAATAATAACTTAAATTTTTAAATATTTTGTACTGCAATTTAAGCCCCACTTAATTTATTCATTTCCTGTTATCATACATATTATCCAAAAAAAAAAATAAAAATTGCTCAATAAAATAATTTTAACAATAAGTAGTGTTATGAAACAATCACGACGCTTATTACTACCACGACGCTTATTTCCCATGAAGAAAACCAACAAAAACACAAAAAGAGTCAAATGAGAGACTAATTAGGAATTGAGTCGTACACAAGTGATAAGGGCGTTATACCTTTAACCGCGAGGTTGAGGGTTCGATTCCTACCGCAGACGCGGGAAGCAGGTATCTGACCAGCAGCCAACTTATTCCCTTTCTCAGTAGGCTCTACCCCGTTGTAATAGCTTAGGTACTTCCGAAGCACTATTAGGTGTAGCCTAAAAAAAAAAAAAAAAAAGAAAAAAGAAAAAGGAAAAAAAGAGACTAATTGAAACGGCGGCGTATAGCTGCTTCAGGCACAAAATTGCATACCAACGTCGGAAATCTCCTACCAGAACAAAAAACAGAGCCGCGTCATCCGAACTCAAATACTTCGATTCTACGAGGAGAAGCTCCCCAATCCTCACATGGCTGCGCGATCAGTCGCCGCCAAGCGGAAGCCCCACCGGAAACATGGATCAACCATTGCCAAACTTTTCAACAACCCAAAGGTGGCCTTCGCCGTCGCTTTGCTCCTCGCCGATGCCGCGATCGTTGCCCTAATCATTGCCTACATTCCATGTAATCACTGATCGAACTTCTATCTCAGTCCGTTACTTATGTAAAAAGTTGCATTTAAACATACTTAATCTGAATATTTTTTGATTTTTTTTATATCTATATCAGATACGAAGATTGATTGGGATGCTTACATGTCCCAGGTCAGTGAGTTCAACTTCTCAATTTACTCTCTACTTTAATTTTCTTTGGCTTCCTTTAAAAGTTTGAGCTAAATGCAGCACAATATTCGAAATGAATGAACTGATTTTGATTAGAAACGAACGAATGAAATGAGTCACAGGTCAGTGGGTTTCTGGAAGGGGAGAGGGATTACGGCAATTTAAAAGGAGACACCGGCCCTCTTGTTTACCCTGCTGGATTTCTTTATGTATATTCGGCCATTCAATATGTTACTGGCGGCCAAGTTTTCCCTGCCCAGGTACATCAATTTCCTTCTAATCAAATTGTTCCTTGCAACGATTGGAAAATTCTTTACTGGACAATAAACCTTCCTTTAGCAGAATTTCCATTAATGTTCAGCTAGTAAGGAGTCGCCTCAATCAGTTCGAAATTTACACATTTTCTCATTTAGTTTTATCTTTTTTTACTTCTTTGTACACGTGTTTTAGGCTAATACAATGAAGGCACTTGATGGATTATAGCTGATCCATGTACATATGAGCAATGACCAAATGAATGCAAGATATATTAAATTTAGATGACTAATTGATCCCATGTAGTCGCATAAAGGGCGGGATTGTTGTTATTAACTGGACTTGAAACTGTCATTATTTAGAAAGTATGTTCTGATTGAAACATTGGTGATTTTATGATGTATCTCCTTGGCTGCATGGTGTGGATTGATGCATTATTGTTGTTGACTATAATTGGTGTTAGAATGAGTGTTTAGTGAAGTGCCGGTTGAAGGATTCATGTTATTATGCTTACCCCTTTCCATTTTTCTGCAGATTCTCTTTGGCATTTTGTACATTGTGAATCTTGGAATTGTGTTGGCCATCTATGTCAAGACCAATGCGGTATGAAGCTGACTCTCCTTTTATTTTGCAAGATTTTGGGTAACTCGAAGGTGTATCTTCCTTAAGTTGTATGGGGTCTCGTTAGGAATAGATTTGATCTAATTTTGCATTAGATTCTGGCAGGAGTGAAATATTGCGTTATCTATGCAAGTACTTATTTCTCACATCATTTGGGTAGCATTTCTCCAGCTTTTACCTTGAATTATTTGTTTGCTTAGAAGATATGTACATAGGCCTAATCTTTCTGGGAAGAACGTTTGTTAATCAATGTTCTGTTTGGCAACTAATTCTAGGGTCTTAAATCAGTCATGTTACTATTGCTTGCAGATTTTGCTTCTAAATGGTTTCCGTTTCTTCCAATGTCTGTAATTTTCTTTCTTTGTTCAATATTTTATGCTTTTTTTTTTTTGCAGGTTCCTTGGTGGGCACTTTCCTTGCTCTCTTTATCGAAGAGAGTTCATTCCATTTTTGTTCTTCGCTTGTTTAATGACTGCTTTGCCATGACTTTTCTTCATGCTGCTTTACTCTTACTTCTTCAACAGAAGTGGCATTTAGGTCTCATCATTTTCAGGTGTGTTTGCAGTTTGTTGTGCGATGATCAGTTTACAGATTTCATTGGTTTATCGCTTGACACACCTAATTGTTTATGATGGGATGGTTGATTTCTTGTTAGTACAGCGCAGCAGTGTCTATAAAGATGAATGTGCTTCTTTATGCTCCTCCATTGCTTATCATTATGTTGCAGGTATATTTATTTGTTCAGTTTTATAACCATGGATCTGACTGCAGCATCATTTACTTGATGCTAATGCTGCATTGATGAAACTTGGAAATACAGGCTATGGATGTATTTGGAGTAATATCTGCTTTAGCTGGTGCAGCTCTAGTGCAGGTGCTCATGCTGTATTTATGTCACTCATTTTACTGTTTGAATCTGATAATTTATGTAGACCTCGGTTATCTCGATATCCTAACATTTGCTCACTGTTTGCCATGCTAGGTGAGTTGGATTTTGTATTTTGATTCCACGAATGGAGGCCTCTCCAGCTGAAATCTGCATATGCTTTTGCTTCACTGTGAGATGATTCTGCAGATACTATTGGGGCTGCCGTTTTTGTTAACACATCCCATGGCTTATCTATCAAATGCTTTTAATCTTGGGCGTGTCTTCATCCATTTCTGGTACTTTCTTTACTTCAACAAACTCTTCAACAAAGGAAGGAATCAGCATGCCCTTGATTCATACTGCATTTTGAGACTTATATTTTACAACTTTTCAATATATATATATATGTGTCTGTGTGTGTGTGTCTGTGTGTGTGTGTGTGTTATGGGTTTCTCCTTTTTGTGGTATTCAATCACTCACTTTCAGAGTGATTGTTGGTTTCAGGGTGTCCTAGTTGCTATGGTTTTAATCTGTCTCTGGTGGTGCATATATCAGAGCTGTATGTTGCATGTCTCTGCTCTACCAATGCGCTTATTGATACTAGCTTTATTGATTACAGGTCTGTCAACTTCAAATTTGTTCCTGAAGAAATTTTTGTGTCTAGACAGTTTGCTATTGCTCTACTGGTTGCTCATCTTGGTTTGCTTATTGCTTTTGCCCATTTTAAATGGTGCAGGTGAGTGAAGATTCTTTTATATCGGAATTTCTGATTTCCATTTATGGGCAAAAAATAGGTTGATGGTTTTCGCTTTTGGTATATGATGGAAAAAAAAAGAAGCCAAGCTGATTTATTCGGATGATACTTGTACGTTTCAAAGTTGAAGCTTTTTTCTGATTTGAAACTCTTACATCGACAGGCAAGTAGGAGGATTACCTTCTCTATTACGGCTGAGAATTTCTGATCTATGTTCCTTCTCTTCTAGAAAGTTTTACAGTATCAGCTCAACCTTGAAGTCTATCAGAACAGAATGTACGTGAAACCTGTCGTTTTTACACACACGTCTTCCATATTTTGTCTTCTTGAAAGTGTGCTCAGTGCTGCTTTTATTGAAATTTCAGATGTTTAACTTGGATTTTCTTACCTTGAATTTTCATGCAGATATTGCGACAACCATGTTTGTGGGGAATTTCATTGGCATTATATGTGCAAGATCCCTGCACTATCAATTTTATTCCTGGTGAGCCCTGGATGTTTTTGTTTTCTGGTCTTATTTTGCCTTGCTCTTGGTGGCATGTCATTGAAGAACTTTCATTCCTTGAGGCTTTAGGCCACATTTTTAACCTCGCCATGTTAGGACTCAAAAGAGCTCAATTCAGAAAGCCCATTAGTTACTTGACTTATTTTTCTGTACACCCTCCTTTTAGATACTATCAAAGGTTAGTTACAGGGATGTATACAATAAACTGAGTTCTTGTTGTATGTTACGTGTGTGTTGTATTCCAACTTGGTAGCATATGGTTGTGATTATTTATTGAGAGGTTTATTTGCAGGTACTTCTACAGTCTGCCATATTTACTGTGGAAAACGTCCTTTCCGACATTCATTCGGTATGTTGATCTAAGTGGTGAAAAAGCAACTTGTTTTTCTATTCCTGATCAATGTCATCCACTTTAGGAGTTAATCCCATTCTTTTTGTGCAGGTTAATTTTGTTTGCGGTGGTGGAATTGTGCTGGAATGTGTATCCGTCCAACATCTATTCATCTGGGCTTCTGTTGGCTGCCCACTTAGTTATATTAGGTGGCCTCTGGACCTCTTCAGCTGGAAATCCTTATGTTGATAATGCAAAACATGATGGATCAACAATTAAAGCCAAATCTAGGTGAAACACAGGGCTATAAAGATATCTTATGGTTTGAAATTTTGTAGAACCTAGAAGAATTGTCTTTGGGAGAGGAATTGGGAGGTATGTTATGGATACTTGTTAGCATAGTTCATTGGATCACGGTCTGATCGAGTTGAGTTCATTAGACTGAATTAGTAGGATTGTAGAAGTGATTAAGATCTGTAATGATGAATTGATACGTGTAGGTTTTCCATATCTGTGTGCTAGGTTTAACACTTTCCTAATGAGTAGTAAGTCAGGCTGCATTATTCTACAGAGACTCGCAAGTCCTTGATTCAATCCCATATACTATATGATACTTTTAAGTCTAAAATGTACTTTTACATGAGAAAGGCAAAATTATCATGTGGGATCGACTTCCACATTACATTATACATTTATCATCATGGCATTTTTTTCTATCCGTTACTTTCATCTGTTTAGAGTATTACTAAAAGTGAAAATTCAAATAAAATAATCATCTCGGGGGGAGGGAGTAGTAGTTATGGATTGACGGTTTGCATTGTTTGATACCTATAATGAAAATTTTATTGTTTTTTGAATAATTCATATTTTATAATGTGGATTATTTTTCTGAGATAAAAGAAGAGTATAAATTATAGGGAAGAGGAGAGATTTTTCTTTTAGTTGTGTTCGTAATTTGAGTTTCGGTTTTGGAGGACTTTTGGCCGACCCTAGAGAGAATTGTTTTGAAATTTGAGGAAATGTCATGCGATCCTAATGACATCAGCGAGGGCTAAAAGCGTCAGCACAGGTACGGAATTCGCCCAAACCGGGCCGGAGCGACAAAATTTGAAAATCAAAATATATATTTCATTTCGGCCCCAAACCGATTTAAATTCAAATTGAATTGCCGGTGACTTAAGAAAATCAAATTCGCAGAGAAACTAAACCCTAAAGCTCATCCAGCTCCGGCGACTACACACTGTAATTTGACGGAATCAAGGTGTCGGAGAAACGCAAAAGCTAAGCAAACATTCAGCTGCCTGATATGGTGAGGATCATCGTCAATTCCTCCCCCTCTATCACTCCGGTCGTTTGTCGAATTTGTTTCCAACTTTTAATCTATGTGAATGCGGAGCGTTGCCTTTGCTCCTCTCCTTCTCTTCGTTTCATCGCTTGTTTTTCTTTTGGCTGTGAATCGTTTCTTTTACATATGTAATGGCGTTTCCCTTTGTCGCTTCGTTTATTATTATTATTTTTTGGCTGAATTATGTTTCATTGGGATCCCTACTTCTTTTTGCTTTTAATTGAATTGCCAGCTTTCGTTGAATCATGTGTACTTCAATCCATGGTTTATGCAGCATTGGCAAGCCAGTCCCAAACAGAAAAAAAGAGGGATAATGGCATCAATGTTGGTCTTTCATGCTATAGATCCTGTAAGAAATTTGTTTTTTTTTTGTTTTTTTGGATAGAATTCAATGACTGTGTATTGATCTGTATAGCGAACATTGAACAGTGGGATAAAGTGTGTTTACTGCTTAGGAAACCTTGTCAATTAGTATTTGAACGAATTATGCTATATCGGGGCATGGAAGTGAGTTGATGTGGCTTAGGAGATTGTGTTAATTTGTTGTAGCTAGGAGATCATTGTTTTTGCAAAACACATTGGTAGAAATCATGTCATTAGTTCTTTTCATAAAATACAAGGGTTGGGTATGAACTTCAATCTTCATATCTTCTTTTTCAAGGCAAATTGATGTCTCTGGAGGTTAAATTAGATATAAACGGAAATTTTATGATTCTTTGTTGGTGTGAAAGGGTTTCAATTTCTGGGTGAGTTCTTAGGCCAGCCACGGCACCATATTTGAACCAATTAGGAAATGACAGCTTACATGAAGCTTTCTTATTCTATACCACTTTGAAAAACAAGAAATTTGTTATGAGGATGTAATGTGTCCATTAGTAGGGAATATTAACAAAAGTACTAGTAGTGGGGAATGTTTTTGGTTTACTTAGGTTTTGTTTTGTAGCATCAATATTCTGTTCTTTTTGGGTCCAGTACATAACCCACCACTAAACCGCTCCTTCAATATGACTGTTGACTTGAATTTGATTTCTTCGGTTTGCATTTTCATTGTTTAAATCAGTTGCTTTCGTGGCAATTATGGCAGGATAAGCAAAACTCTGGAGGTACAAACCAAAGCACTGCTGATATGACTGCCTTTGTGAGTTTCTACATCCCTATTTTTGTTGTTTTAGCAAAAAACATGAAGACATATTCCTGTGTTGAAACAATTTGCAATCTATACTTGATGTGGTGTATAACTTCAAAAACTAATAAAACAGCTGGATATTCTCTTCTTGCAGTCGGACTGTGTTAACTAATCATAATTTTCCTTGTATATGTAGGTGCAAAGTCTTTTGGAAAAAATGGTGTGTTGCAAATCTCTGATCCTGTATATCATGATTTCTTGTGATTAGTGGTATTCCTCTTGGGTGGTTCAGTGTCGGTGGCTGATTGTGGCTTATTGTTGTTACTTTCTTTTGCAGCAAGCTAGGTTCAACACGATGTCTGAAATTATTGTTTCGAAGAATATCCTTTTTAACTTTTATCTTGTGCTTTATTCAATATCTTTTTGTGATAATTTAATCCACGTACACAACTTAGGTTGATTGTTATGTTATATCAAGCTTTAACATGTCTTCAATAAGATTTTAGCACAAAACTATTTCCAAAAAGGAAAAATTCCAGGACAAAACCATTACAGTTCAGTTTTGATATATGTTGATCTCCTTAACTGGAATATACTTGATGAAATGGGGAGTCGAATCAATGAACTGGAGGGAAGCATTAATGAGCTAAGAACCGAAATGGGGCAAGAAGGCTCTCCATCTCCTCTGGCCCTGAAGCAGAAATCTGATGAAGCAAATTCTGAGGAAGGGACTGCAACAGTATCATAGGTGTTCTCAGGCTAAATAGAGTTGATGCAGGAGCCAGTGGGTGGACGGTGCTTCTCTATCTGAAATCCATTTTTGGCTGCTGCTGTTAACATACTGTGTTCTTTCTCTTGCGGACAAATGCTTTTTTCTTTCTGCTATCCAACATGATTCTATTTGTGTTCAGCTTATCTTGCTCTATAGGCACTAAAATGTTTTCCAGATTTGTTGGACAATCCGGCGTTGATTTGTCAAGTACAAAGGTTCTTCTATCTCCCTTGGAAAGATGGACAATCAATTACTTGTATGCTTGTTGATCATCTTTTAAGAGAATTATATTGATGTTTCAGGGTGTCAATGTGTCGATTCATATGACTCTTGTTATATACTCTCTCGGTCCCGAAATTAATGTTCAATTTGGGTTTTCATTTATAGTACAAAAGGAACTAAAAGTGAAATTCCAAAATGAATAATAATTTTGGGACAGAAGGAGTATATAACTATATATCAACCTTAACAATTGGTAGCTACCAAGAGGCTTTTCTTTTTATAGAACACCTAAGCTCTTGACATAATTGAGGTTTATTATGGGGGAAGGGCAAATTGAAGAAGAGAAGGTGAGAGCCTTGGACAATAACAGGTCATCACTTCATTCCTAACATGATATCTGCTTTGCTTTACCCCATGGTATGAGAAGTCATCAAAGGCAGCTGAATTGTTAACATAGTGCTCTTTCTCTGTGGAAATTCAACAAACCACTCTTCAAACCCAAAAATAAGTAAATTGACGAATAAAATCAGAAGTTGAAAACCCTGATGACTTTCGCAACTTGCAAGAGTATTGTGGGTGTGTGAATTTGTGATCAGATTCCAAGTACAAACCAGGCAGGATTCCGACACATACTGTTGATTGGAAGTAGGGATGATTCATTTCTTCCTCACATGCCCCGCCTATAACGCTATTCTCGTCCCCAGAAAATTGTGCTTTTTTTTTAAAAAAAAAAACAAACTGAAATGGATTCAAAATATAATGTTATTTTTTTGTGTGTGGTTAATGATTCAAAATAAAAATTAAAATACAGTGCTCCATTGTTATTTTTGAAGATCTCGAGTCGCATTTTCTTTTTACTCTTTCTATAGTACCACCCTAGTAATTGCTTCCGACTGAAAAAGATTGGTGGAGGGGATGCAAACCAAACAAATGGTGGTAATAAAGGATAATAAGGCAACCAAAAAAAAAAGAAAAAAGAAGAGATTATTAAGAAGAGGAATCTAATGTGAAAATCTTGAAGTAAAGACGACCTTTTTATCAACTGTCGGGAACAGCAAAAACACCAACAACCACATTATTATTCTCAGATTAAGTCACGCTCGTAAAACACCATAAAATTCATCATGAACGAGATACGAGTGTTCAATTATAAAATACTCCAGTACTAGGAAATAGCACAAAATTAAGTAGTGAAATAAATGCATTTTTATTGGAAAATGATCTGTCTTCTGAATTTTACGCCATGTTTACATGACAAAAGACCCTACAAGTTGACAATAATTACGATCACGGGTATTTTCTACGTAAATTTATGGAACATTTTCAATTTTGAATTTCATCATGCATCTTAAGTAACATATTCAAGTTGAAGTTTAAACTACAAGCACTGAAGTTAAATAAATAAATAAAAACCCTATATATTAATTAATCTTGTAGAAGATTGCTCAAAATGCAAACAAGAGAGACACGTTTAATGAATTTCATACTACAAATCTTTTTCACTGTAAATTAAATATGCATTACAAATAACTGAAGAATATATCTATATATCTTAGTTGATCAGTACTTGGAAATGGATGAAATAGTAAAAGATAGTATCAGCTCCGGCAACGAGTGATGGCGGTGCAGCCGCGGGTGTAAGGGTTAGCTTCGGCGCCGGGGAGGCAGTTGTAGTAGGAAGCACCCCGGCGGGAGCACGGCACCGAGTTGCTCCGCAGTGCACCGTAGCTTATGTAAGTCGTCCCCCTCGTCCCCAACACGCGCCGCTGCTGGCTATCCGTACTCATCCACGTCATCTCCGAGTACTCCCCGCCGGCCACCGCCAGACACTCCGCCGCTGACGAGCCTTTACACCACAAGGACGACTTGGTACCGGTACCGGCAGCTTGTGGCGCCATTGAGATAACCACCAGTATCATCATCATTACTAGTAGGGATAGGAATGTATGAAACAAAGCTACTTTGGCCATTTTTTATTTTTGGGTTGGAGAAATGGTAGTTTTGCTCTTGCCTTGAGCTAGCTTCTCTTCAGTTCTTATAATGAAGGGGGGAGTTAAGGGGGGGGGTACCTAGGACTGTATTATATAAGTAATACTTATATATGACATGAATTTTGGTGGTGAGTAGTGATTACACATTTGGTAATATTTATTTTAATTATCATTTTGTACTTGGTAGTACATATATATATATATTGTAATATTTATGGGGTTATTTTTAATTTAATATATAATGGAAGATTTCAGAAGTAATTAAGAGCTTGATGACCGACTTCACAAGTTCCTGACTTTGAACCATTTGTTCTTTAGTGTTTTAGTTTAATGAACAGAAAACGATGGAATAAATAACAAACAGTGAAACGTATTTCTGATGATGAAGTAGTGTCTATTAATTTGAAGAAGAATAAGTAAACTTGGGCTTTACAAATGTTGTATTTTTGAGAATGTCTAGGTTTTGGATAAGAAAATGGAAAGTTTGGTTGTTATTAGAGGAAATTCTGTATAAGCAAAGAAAATGTTGCCCTAGTTTCTTCTCCCTTTTTATATCTTTGCGCTGTCATTCTTCTTTTTCAAACGCTCCAGAATCTTTATTCATCTCCATCATTATTTCTTTATCCATAGATTGAGATAAAATCCATTATTGGGTGATTAGATATTGATCTTTTCAAAACCTAACTTAGAAAATGATGCTCTTCTTCTGGATTTTTTGCCTTTGTTCATTTATCCATCCGGAAAGCGACTCCGTTAAAAGTTCAATTTCAATGCGGTAATTATGCAGATTCATTAGTTGCGAGGAAATTCTCAACCCACCCAACTTTTTTTTTTTACTGAGCTTTTACCCCTTAGTTTCCCCCCCTCTCTTCTTTGCAGTTTGTATATCTTAATCGATTAACTGCTTGAAAAACTGTCTTCGGGTTCTAGTTAATTCTAACTCCTAACAAAAATTAGTGTTTTGGCCTGAAATAACATTTTATTTACACAAAATCATATCCAGTATATAAATGCAGCCTCATGTCTTTGGGAAAGATGACAATTACATATAGTCTTCTATTTATGAATCATTCAATGAGATACTGTTACTCACAGATAACCTGTTTCTTACATTTGCACAAGTTGTTCAACCCAATCATAAGTTCATTATCTTTCTAAACAAGGTTTACTACAACATTACAGTCAGATGGGATGATATTGGTGCTTGTTAAATGAATCCAAATAGGAAGCTATGATGAAGTAACTATATGCTGAGAATACAAAAAGAAAGAGTTCAGGATATTACAAGTATTAACCTCTCGGCGTCGCCATTGATCAATACACAATTTATGTTATCTTTCCAGTTTGCTTAAAAGTGCTTCCATTTCTGGCAACTCCTGCACGATTTGTTGCCAATCTGGCATTCCCTGATTGGAAGAAAACACAAAAAGAAAACTATAAAAAACATTCTGAGAAAGCTTGGTTGGAGAACTGCTCCAAGTTTCTAGTTAATCATCAGATTGAGCTGCAGATGATGAAATATCTGAATGTTAAAAAATTTTCTTCGAAAAAATAAAGGGATATGGTTTCAACACTGAGGGAGCAAAGTACGAATCCACTTCCACCAGGGATATAAAGATGGGAAGCACCGAAGAAGAGAGTGGGAGTTATGCCTTTTATTCATACCTTTCCTGATCGTCGAATACGACCATCTAGTCGAAGTATAATGTAAACATCTTCACCAGGAGTAACACCTTCTGACTTCTGCTGATCTTTGATCCACCTGGACGAAATTTAAAGGAGAAAAGTAAGCTGGGATCAGTGACGGTAGAACTGCTAATATAAGACAGCAATTGATCATAAAAAAAAAAGACAGAAGACAGGTTTTTCCAAGAATAGAGAGTTAGTCAGAGAGCGGAGCAACCTTTCCCACTCGGCAGGCGATACCACCTCAGCCTTGAAACGGATCTCTGCCCTTAATTTTGATTTGGCAACTATAGATTGTGCTTTTTTGTCAAAATCGTCCTAAAATATGACAATGTCAAAGAGGATGGAATTAAAATCTGCTCACGAAATGGCTTATTATCCAAGGATAGGATCCTAATCTGGAAACATCCAATTTACCCCAATAGATGGAAGAGAAGTGGAGGCTTTCTGAGGGAGACCGAATCCTTTCTTCTCCACTTGTTTTTCACCAGCTTGACCCCAAATAACTGGAACGAGGATAACCCCTCTTCTGACCAGCTCGGTCCGGAATCTTTCGGCCTTCTGGAGGGCTAAGGAAACAGTCTCCTTACTCCCAGCCAGAATAACCTACAGCCAAGCAATCATTACTGAAATCATCAGACAAAATTTTGGCGGCAAATATAGGATTCAAGTTAGCTGGATGGATGGGACACTTATGAAGTCCATATTGGTAAGGTATCAGAAATTGTTCCATGACTTACTGGCCTTGCATTGTCCCGCAATTGCACGAGCTCAACAACCCTATTAGTTGAGAGACGCAAAGGAAGCCTTGAGAGGGTCTCATTGCGGGAGATTTGTGCAAGTTGCTCCTCCTCTTTTTTGTTGTCCCAAATAAACAAAGCAACTAGAACAATTATACCTGTAAAACACTGATCAAAAGCTTAATCATTTCAGGAATAATTTTTTTTCCTTGAGCACATTAACTGAGTTACTGAGAGCACACATAAGTAAAGAAGTAAACAATAACGATGCAATGACAAAGGAATTGGAGCAAAAAAGGACCCTGCTTACCACTAAGATTTATTCCAGCATTTCCTACAGTTTCCCAGACGTCTGGGGCTCCATCACCACCATTAATTGCCCGGTATAGCCTGGGTATGGTGAAAAACAACGATATTCCAGCAGCTGCACTAAATGCCACATAAAAGAATCTACGAATACCCCGGAATGGTGCTTGAACTTCACTAATGAGTTTAAGGTCTCTGCGGAAACCGTAGCCGATATCCTCCCCACCTAGCCTAGCCTGCAAGAATTACATCAGAATCCCAATTTGAGTTGCATCTGACTCTCGTACAATGTGGTTGCAAATTTGGCAGAAGAATCAGAGTACGACGACTCAGAAGTATACCTCTTCTTGCAATTCCTTAAATTCTGGCGAAGCTCTGAAAGCAGCCAAGTCTGGGTCATTCAGAATTGTGCCAAACTTGAGGTTATACTCTCTCAAAGCAGTACGTAAACAGTCTGCCGCTTTCTTGACTTCCCCTCTTCCTCAAACCGTGCACAAGAAATTAATAAATTTTCAAAAGCTCCACAATAACTCCACACATGAAGTGAGCTATAAAATTTGCAACTCAACTGAAGATGCAAAATGACTAGTGAAGGGAACAATTCAATTACACAAAGGAAAGTTGCACAAGAATAATTCAGGCCCCAGGCCACAGCTGGCTGAAATATGAAGAATGTGTGGAATGCCAACTGAATGAGCTAAACACGCTTCCACATTTGTCCATAATATCCAAGAATCTAGCCAATACAACACTGATGAAAGAAAAGGAGGAGCTTGTACCTGTAGGCATGACAGCATGCTTTGTTGTAAAGAGCAGCTTGAGACTCCACATCATTAGGATTAAGAGTAAGGGCTGTGTCGAACTGTAACAGAGCATCTCTAACCTGAAAATTCCATCAAATTGGGAACACAATCACATACATAATGCCACAGCTCAGGAAGACTACACTCTAGGGCATGTACAATGACAACTAAGCTTTATTCGACTATGCTGGGTCAGCTCAGAACACATAACCCAAACACAGAAATTGTCCTATTATCATACTACACTGGAGGTTCTACACAATTTTATAGCAGGATTAGGATATATTTGTCAAAGAGCATCATCCTTGGCACGGGAGCAAGAACATGCAAGAAAAAACACTTTGCTTAGATAAGTCCCTGACTATCAATATTCAATAGGATCAAGTGCAGGAGCAGCCTCCCTGAACAGTTAAACACACTAAATTCTTTTCACGGTGATCGTCTACTTAGCTAATCATGCTTCTTAAACAAAATCAATGAGGCCAATTGTAAACTACGGACATTATGGACAAATGAAAAGGCATTCAGTCAACAAAAAATGACCATTTTATTTTAACAAACTAGGAACTATTAGTTTCATATTGAGGGAAAGATAGAAGCTCTTTTATCCCTGTTGAAACATGAAAAGGTGAACCATTTCCGGTGATTGCCGACAACAAGACTGATCTTCCATCACACAGAAAAAACAAAAGTATAAGTAGACACGGTAATGGACAAGAGGAGAAACGAAATATACCCGTCCTTTGGAGAAAAGGGATAGTCCCAAATTAATGCAAGACTCCGCAGTGGCCGGTTCAGTCACTTCCGGCGAGGAAGGCGTGGCGGCTCCTCCACCACCTCCTCCGGCAGAGGAAGAAGATTGACAAATAACCAGTAAGGGAGAAGATTGAGTAGCAGTTCTTTCTGAGACAGACAAATTCCGAGTCCAGATTGGTGTCGTTTTGCTGGAGAATTGAACCCACGAAGAATGTGGCGGTGAATGGAAGAAGAAGGAACAGTGAGCTGAACTCGCCACAGCCATTGATGGCTGCAATATTCCCCTGAAAAAATTATAAAAAAAAAAAAAAAAAGAAAGAAAGAGAATAAAAATGTTTATCCGTTTCTGCTTATTTTGATGTTGATCATCATTCTGATGGACGCCGTCCAACGGGCTTATAACTCTCGAAAAGAGATGATATAGGCCCAAATATGTGCGGGCTTCTTATTCAAGGTAACTGTTTGGACTGGATATCTTTTTGCTGCTCTTTCACATTTTTATGGAGTTTATCAATTGTTATTTTAGAGCATCTCTAATCATTACATTATAATTTACACCAAATTTAGTGTAAAAAGAAAATATTTTAAGGATCTTTTTATGTCTTCACACTCGAACTTTGATGCACCAAATTTCTAAAAGTTCTAGTCTAAATTTTATTTTCATAGTTAAAAATCTTATAGTTTGGTGATAATTTTATGATACATGTTATTTTGTAAATGTTTTAATTTAATTGTAAACATATCAGATTTTTCATATTGGATTTTAATAATCACTAAAATTAATTTTTTGAAAATATATAAATATTATAGTCAATATGAGTCTTATTTTGAAAATCTCAACAAGAATTTTAATATGATAGAGATTTCATAATACTATTCATTTTACAAGTTTAATCACATAGAAAAATTATCTATTTAGAGGAAAGTAAAAGATAGTGTGCAAAAATGGTGCAACTGACAATTTACACCAAATTTGATGCAACACTATTCATTGCATCAAAATGATGCACTGATTTAATGTATTTGTTGGAGTTGCTATTATTAGTTGAAAAATTATTGTATATATCACTAAGCAAATTGGATGAATTAATAGCACGAGATTATGAATGGGTCCAAATCCTAAGAAATCATCCAGCGCGGGTGATTAACCTTGAATATTTTTCCTTTAAATGCAATATATAAGGGAGGATACTGAATTTTCACAAATCATTTCATACTCTACAGTTTGTTGATATCTTAGATGTTTCCTCTATGGACGTACAAGATTTCCTGGTGGTCTTTTTTTTTTTTTTCTTGACAAATTTCCTCTTGGTCTCGTGATGTACGTAGTTCAAACAATTTGATGATTCCTTTATGGGAGTTAAAGACTTCAAATTTTTATATTGGTCCACAAAAAGTCCTACATATTTTAACTTATTTTTGTCCCATTAAAATAAATTATGTTCTATAATATATAATATATAATATATATATATATATATATATATATATATACTAGTGATGTCTGGTACGCAATGTGCGGCCCTGGCCCAATATAACTATAGATCTTAGAAATATTTGTATCTGAAAAAAAAAATATTTTGTATTTGGCCCGATATATTTTAGAAATATTTGAAGAATTTTAGAAATATTTTATAAGTGTGATGTTTGTATTTGGCAAAAAAATAAATTATATTTGGCCCAATACGTTTTAGAAATGTTTGAAGATTTTAGAAATATTTTATAAGTGTTACTTCTTAAATATAAATAAACTTGATCAAATATATGTCTTGAAGTAAATGCTAGACAAAATATAAAAGTATCCTAATAAGTTTAAATATTAGTAAGATAATTTATTGATGTTCTCCATTGCTTGTGCCAAATCAATACTTAGTTTTGGAGATTTATAATAGCTTTGTAGTTAGCTTCCTCCAAATGGTATACGCTTAAATGTTGGAACTATTTCTTTCAAAAGTTTATAGTTAGTAAAATATCAAAAATATGATTTTGAAACTGGTTAATTGTTGAAACCGGTTGATCACAAATATGAGATTCAAAATAATGTAAATTTGCATAGGTTTCAAGATATAGCAAAAAAGAACTCACCTCACTATGGCAAATAAAAATAAAAAAAGGTAAAAGATAGCCCATTAAAATTTGAGAATTTTTTTTTCTGTAGGTAAAAATGATGTATAAAAACACAAATAAACGTAGAAACATCATTCCTTCCCTCTCCACCTCCACCTCAAATTCATAAAAGGATTCCCCATAAATTAGTTAAAAGAAGCGACCTGAACTATTTATATGATGAGGAACTAAAAAAAGTCCAAAAACTAAATCTAAAAAAGTATATTCTTGAAACCCCGAACACAAAAAAAAGACGTGCTTCATTTGCAAATAAAATAATAATAATAATAATAATATTAATAATATTAATAATAATAATAATAATAATAATAATTGGTCAACTGGGAGTATGAAACAAAATCAAAAGCAATTAAACAAAGAAAAAACATACTTTATAATTGGCCATATACAAAAAAAAACATGAGACTCCATAATTAAAAAAAGAAAACCACTCTAATTGAATGAAACATAAAAAATAAATTTTAAAAACTACACTTTGTAACAAAAACCCAATCAATCAATTCAATCTAAACATAACTAAAATCATATAAAAATTCTAGGCTTACTAACCAAATAAGAAATCACATCATACTACCTGACAACGGCTACGGTAGCTGTAACGGATGGATGCATAAAAATAATAGTAATCACACTATTCTTGAACGGGAGAAACAAAAAATAATAAAAGTCAAACTAATGATCTGTAGAAATAAAATCATTTAAATTTTAATACCTGTAATGGCACCACCACAACGGCCGAAGCAAGATCAATGTGAATTTTATTTTTTTCCTTTGTATTTATATAGAGAGTTAAAGAGAATATTTTTTGAAATTGAAATTTTATCCGATTAAGATGTAATTGATCATCACTAATGAAAAGATTGAACATGCTAATAGGAAAGGAGTATATTTCACCATATATTCTCAATTGATGATTGATGAGGAATTTGTCTTTTTTTTTTTAATTGTGAAGAAAGAATTGATTAAGGAGTCGATTGTCGTGGAGATGAGGATGAGGATTTGGGTTTTTTTATGAACCCGTGATTTTTTATTTTTTTTTTTGACGAAAATAGGAGGTGGAAGTGAATTTAGACTGCATTTGCCTTTTAAATTTAGGAGATGTGGTAATAAAAATTTATTTTAAAAATATGATGTTAAAATGCCACATGACAAATGATGGTGCTTTCTCTTAAGTGTGGTTTTTGTTTCTAATATAGTAAGATATATATATATATATATGTATTACGAAATTCTATGCATTGGTTATCGTTCATACGCTTCTCCTATTGTACATGATACACAGTAGGTATCATCACATCTTTAATTTCCCACAGAAACCACAGAAAAATGAGAGATTGACAAAATCTTAAATGGTAAATTGGTAATAGATGGTCCTTACAAATAAACTCCACTTTGTACTCTTTCTTCTAATAGTTCACTCATAAAAGAATTCACCTAAAATTTAATGTGGATTTTTTTTTTGGGACAGAAATAATAACATAATGCTCAGGAAATTCTCATGACATATTATTAGTATTGAAGTTGCATCATCTGTGACCCAATTTAATACCCTGGCAAGTTGCCTATTATTTTTAGTGCAATATTTGGATAAAAAATATTATTATTGTGCCTCAGTTTGTTCGGCCAAATGTAGATGAATAATATGGTTATTATTGGGTAGCCACGCATATCCCACGTCTTCCTGTGTGTTCTTTTGGTGCAAAACTAATGGTCGACCAAGTTGAACAAAAGGTGAAGGATATTATTGGTTTCCAAAAATTTAGCATTTTAATTTCGATGGCTACCCAAGGATATTATTGGTTTCCAAAAATTTAGCATTTTAATTTCGATGGCTACCCTCACTGCAATACATTGTGTGCTTTATATTTTCTTTTCTGTAATTGTTTTTGGGCAATGGTTTGTAACTTTTTCTGCTGCGTATGAACTTAACTTGACAAGATATTCGTTCAATACAATGAAATACTAATTCTCATAATGTCTACTCTTTCTATTTTCAAAAAAATAATAATTATTTTTTTTTGAGACAAATGAATTGCGAGAGTATAATCTCACCAGTAACGATACAACTAATTGATTTCACCTTTAAACATGACTCAATTGTCGATACCACTTGCTTATACGTTCTCTAGTGGGGAAGCTATAGTGGAAAGTACTGGACGTACTGAATTAAAGTGCAAGGGGAAGTGCACTTGCCAAAATGCTTGATTTGATATAAAATCTTCCGATGATTTTTTTTTTTTTTTTTTGGTTGAAAGGTCTTCAAAGTTTAATTTCCTCAACAGTGGCAACAAGAATTTTTATGCATTTTATTCTTTGGATTGCCTCATAGTGGGTACTGCTGGGAAGTACTGCCAAGTAGTTGAAGCGCGCATCGGCATCCATCCAACGCTTTCTTTTAACTTTTTGTGATGATTTGATAAGTTCTTTCTATTGACAAGAAGTTTTAACATAGTCTCGTACTCTCATTATTGTACCTGAAATGAATTTCATGTGCGTTTAATTTCATCAATAGTGCCAAGAATGTGGTATATTTGGTTCCTAATGATCAACAATATATTTTAGTTTTCTTTCCAATATATATATATATATATATATATATATTTTAGTTATTTAGCCGCCTCCTCTCTCCCCTCTCTCCCTCTCTCAATCCATCTCCAAAAAAACCAATCTTCTCCCTCTTCTCATCATGAGAGAATGGGAGGAAATAATTTTATTCTAGTTTTATAAGTATAGTTTTAGTTTTATCATTTAATAAACGGGATTATTTCTCTCTTTTTCATTGAAATTTTGTTCCTTCAATAAATTATAGTCTATTGAGAGGATAACGTTCTTTTCGTTATAGTTCCTCCTGTAGATTATTGGTGGAGGGTAGGGTTTATTTGTTGATGGCAGGGTTCGTGACCTTGTTGGTGATTTTCGCAGATTTGTTGTGTATCGTTCGAAAAGATTCAGTCAATATAAATCTATTTATTAAATTATAAATTGAGGCTTTCATATGATAACCAATGATATATCTTTAACCGGATTTAGAATCCGGTACATGATATGTCCAGCATTGACTAGAATTATAGGCTGTTTTTTTGTAACGTCAAATGGAATTGGACAATTTCTAACAAAATAATGAAAGTATGTTTTTTCTAAAAAAAAAAAAGAAAGTATATTTGGTTCCTTGTGGGCTACTTTGCTATCCACCTGCCTTTTCGATAAAAAGAAGAAGAATGTGGTACCTATCCGACCATAAATTGCAAGACCTTGTTCCCGATAACCGCTTATTTTTTTTCGTGAGGAAAACAGATTATTAGATTATTGGAAATGATTAGCATCCAGAGCAACCACATGAGCAGAAATTATCAGATAGTTGGATCCAGATTCATAACGAACATGCATATCTTCTTTGTTTGCGAGGAGAACCATCTGTTTGCACCAGAAATAATGAGCGCAGAATCTCCTTGGATCGTGATATCAAAAAGACCGATGCATATGCATAACATTAATGCCGCCCGAAGAGCTAGTGCTTCAGCCAAGTAACTTTCGGGAAATTTCTTGTATAATTAGAAAGCCATGCACAAAAATAACATTGAAGAATTTCTAGTACGTAATATCAACCCTAGAAACTTATAAGTACATACGTTGGAGACTAAAATTTACAAGATTAAGAGGAAATTGTGTCTTACATCATTCGCCATATCTGAAAGTTCACTACAACGCCTTTGAAAATAAACATGGATGACGCCATGTTTGCATTAACGGGTGAGGAATATAGCAAAAGAAATGATGCTGAATGAGACTAGGACTAGACACATCCAAGTGCATATGTTTGTACTACTAAGGATGGAAGAAAAGTTAATGGAGAACATCATGATTTGGATCACAGGCATGCGATGTCTTTCCTTTGCAGAAAAAAGCTTCATCTGCTTTCATCACCATTATATCAAATGTGATGTTGGAAAGTTTCTCTGTTTTCTTCCTTCCATTTTGATGCATGCCATGCCAGACATTATTTCCATGTATTATTGTATGGCAACATTTGTCAAACCAGGAGAAGCCAACAAAAAAATCCATCAAACAATGGCAGATGCGGCGGACAAAAACCTGAGCAGGGATTTGATGGGATTCACAACCCATTTCATTATTTTGTGAACCCCAAATTTACCACTTCTTTTGACTGTTGGATAAGGCTCATTGGTAGGGATATCATCAGGACCAAAACTTCTAAAATACTAAACTATCACTTGGGGCATATCCAAGACAATCTTCTTGTCATCATCAGATTGATCTTGTGACCGCTTTTACATAAAATACTCGTTACCCGAAGCTATTCATGCACATCAATGTATGGTTCAAACCCAAAAATGACCGAAGGACGGACTAATGGAATTAATACATAGGCACTATTGACAGTTTTGACGTATTAGAAAAGGCTTAAGAGGGCCGGAATATGCACAGTTATGTGTCTTGTTGGGGCTTATCCAAAGCAATCTTCTTTTCGTAATAATGATGAATGAGAGGGGGAGAGGGATGGCTTGTACATCATGAACTTTATCAATATCACTAAAGAAAGCCCTATAACATTTTAGAAGGCAGGCGAATGAATAAAACATTAATAAGTCAATAAAATTCTAGTCCTACTTGAGGCAAAGGTTAAGCATCTATTCTTGAAGTTGAGAGTTTGAACATATTAGCATCCTTACAACCTTCTGCAGCCTAGTAAAATAAATATAAATAAATATTTAAATAATAAGACAAGAGGTGAGAACCATGTTTAAAGCAACAAGAAGCCCAAAGATCTTTACCACTAACCATTAGTAGCTTAAGTCCATCCATTCTGATTCATATTTATGGCATCTCTAAAGCATATTGAATCTAGAGTTGTACTTGTATGGCATCTGTTACAGACATATTTTGGTGGTGGTTAAATTTGATACATTACTAAGAGACATATATAGATGGATAACCAGTTACTAAACCACCAAAATCCCATCAAAAATAAGAAAACAGGACAAGAATGATTCTACGCGTACTAATCTTAGTAAATCAAATCCCATTTGGAAAAAGTCTACTCATAATATTCCTCTTAATCCAATCAAGTTGTCATAATGTGGATGTATGTTTGAAGAATATAACTTTAAGCAAAATCTAACGGCCCTGTTGTTGATAAATAATGTCTTCTTTATGATTGATTAGCTTGTGCATGCATGGCAGAAAACTTTTGAGCAAATACAGCATTTATGAATACCCTTTTGATGCCCCAACAAGAAAACTAGAAGTTTCAGTCGGCTTGTTATATCATGGGTGTACAGATCAGTACTAGTGCAACAAAACTTTGTCAGCCACAGGTGTTGTTGTCATAGAAAAAGGTTAAAAAGAGGCATTGTAAGAATTTTGTTAATGTATTACACGTCACTTGTAAAGGGGTATTCTGATAGCCTGATTCCAACACGAATAGTGAAAAAATGTGGAGGTTACCGGAAACTGATTTGTAAAGAAAATGTTTTCCAGTAAAAATAGCATCTGATTTTGCATTTTGTTGTATAGGAGGAAAAAGGTTAAGTTGAATAAGCCATAAGTTTTTGTGGGAACATTTAAAGTTATTTCAGAACGTAAGAATGTAAACACAACTTGAATATGTTTTAGTCTGATACATAAAAGGACTCAGATGCATAGAAAGTCTTGCATTTATGGATCTAAATGCCGGAATAAAAATACAATACCTATAGAGTCTATTCTCTAAGAGGATTCAACTCCAGCTTATCACAAGTTAGAGGTATGGGAACGATTTAAATGAAATTGTGCATCACTGCTTTCACACATAAAAGAGAGAATAGAATATAGATAGCTTGGAGCTTCACTTGATTATTGAGTAGTTTGTACCTTTCAAATTGAATTTTCAATGAGTTATTTGTACATGATTAATAGTTCAAACTTAAAAAAGATTTAATTCATTCTTTTATTTTATAAGGTTGTCATCAAGAATATACTGGAGGACACCAATATCAAGAGTCACTTAAAACACACTTCCCTAGAGTGGAATCTTACGCAGAAAATCCTGCCTTTGATAACGATTTACCTCCACCTCTCCCCCACCCCCACCCCCCCCCAAAAAAAACCCAAATGCAAGGTTCCTTCACTATAATTTTTGCAAAAGGGAGGATTTTACTTCACTAATTCAGAGAGAGAGAGAGAGAGAGAGAGAGAGAGAGAGAGAGAGAGAGAGAATTTGTCCTAACAGTGCCAAAGAGTGCAGTTTGAAGAATACCTAATTACCTATCAACTGGAACCCTTGACAACATCAACTGTTTCAGACTAGGCAAAACCTAGGTAGAGAGCATTTTTTAAGGATATAGTTTCAAGAAAAAGAAAATAATTGGACCCCACAGCTGAAGTAAGCCAAAAGACTCAAAAAAAAAAAAAAAAAAAAGAAAGAAAGAAAGAAAGAAAGAAAGAAAGTAATTCTTGTACCCTCGGAAGAGGTCTTTATATAGCCTCGAGCAGCTCAGTGCTTATTATATTTGAGAAGGGAGTTCATTTTTTATATCAGAGCTCAGAGTCTCAAACTGCATCAATTCTTCTTCAGCTCTCCTAGATCATTCTATAACATACTACCATAACTTATCACGAACTCCCAAATTTCAGAAATATAAACCTACATAAACACATTTTTATGGACGGTAAGAAATTAGAGTACAAAGGGGAGGAAGCATTGAAGGAGCTTGAAAAGCTGACAGAAAATGCTGCTCAAGTTCAAGAAGATATACTGATAAAAATCTTGACTCAGAATAGGGGAACTGAGTATTTACGGAAGTACCTGGCCTCTGATGAAAAGGGCTTGAATTTCGATGTGGCGCAATACAAACGTTGTATGCCAGTAATAACTTACAAGGATATCTGCCCCTACATCCAAAGAATCGCTCATGGAGAAGCCCCCAATCTTCTCACTTCTCAACCTGTATCCGAAATGCTATGCAGGTCAGTTCATGCTTATAGTTTGTTCTTCACATGAACATAAATTTAACCAGGAGTCATACTCATGCACACGTGATTAATAACATGCATTAATGTTACAATATCTGCAGCTCAGGCACGTCTGCTGGAGAACCCAAGCTAATGCCATCAACTGAAGAAGATCTCGATCGCCGAACCTTTCTTTATAATCTTATCATGCCCATTATGAACCAGTGAGACAGAATTCAATTTGTTTTATATTCCATACTCTCTCCCCACTCCTGACATCAAGTTGATTATTTTCTTTCCATGTAACGTGATCAAAGGGGAAATTAAGTATTAAGCTTGACTAACATTAATAGTCCAAATTGACTAGGTACATAAGTGGGCTTGATGAAGGTAAAGCCATGTACCTGTACTTTGTCAAGGCAGAAACATCAACTCCATGTGGTTTACCGGCTAGGACTGTCCTAACCAGCTACTACAAGAGCCAACATTTCAAGAATCGCAGCCATGATCCTTACAATGACCTGACCAGCCCCAATGCGGCCATCCTTTGTAATGACAGCAACCAAAGCATGTATTGTCAGCTACTTGCCGGACTCATGCACCGCCACCAAGTTCTCCGCCTCGGAGCCGTATTTGCATCTGCATTTCTCCGAGCCATCACCTTCCTGGAGCGAAATTGGCCTAAATTGTGCTGTGATATCAGCACTGGAAAACTTGATCCCATGATCACTGACCCCGAGTGCCAAGCGGCCATGGACAGCATGCTCTCCTCACCCCAGCCTCATCTGGCTGATGAGATTGACAGGATTTGCAGAAGAAGCCGATCGTGGAGGGGAATATTATGCCGGCTTTGGCCAAAAGCCAAGTACATTGAGGCTGTCGTCACAGGGTCCATGTCACAATATATTCCATCCCTGGAATATTACAGCGATGGGAAATTGCCTTTGGTGTGTACTATGTATGCTTCCTCGGAATGTTACTTTGGAGTTAACCTGAAACCATTGTGCAATCCTTCAGATGTTTCGTTCACATTGTTGCCTAACATGGCGTACTTCGAATTCATCCCCATCAATGAGAACGGAACATGGTCAATTGACCTGAATGATGAAGAAGAAGCGCCCCCAAACAAGCTTGTTGACCTAGTTCATGTGCGAATCGGATCATACTATGAACTGGTGGTTACAACGTTTGCAGGCAAGCAATTCTTCTTTGATTCTCTAGCATTCCAAGCCTTTGATCTTTAAGCTTCTTTATAAACTGACCATGATTTAATCAACTGAATTGACCATTTCAAAGCTTTTAACCATTAGCACCTGCACATGTTTTTCCTGAAGCTTGTGAATGAATGATTTATGACATATAGTATGCTCAAGAGTCAGATGGCATACCTAGTCTTATGATTTTCTTTGATGATATCTTAGCAGGATTATATAGGTACCGGATTGGTGACGTGCTCCAAGTGACTGGATTCCACAATCAAGCCCCACAATTCCGATTCATCTGCAGGAGAAACGTCGTCCTCAGTATTGACAACGACAAAACTAATGAAGAAGACCTACACAAGAGTATCATTGCAGCAAAAAAACTTCTGGAGCCCTTCAATGCTTTACTCATGGAATACACTAGCTATGCTGATACATCCACCATACCAGGCCACTATGTTATTTTCTGGGAAATTGCCAACAACAGCAAGGGAATGGTAGACAAAGTAATACCTGTAGTTGATCCAGTGGTTCTTCAAGAATGTTGTGGTGTCATGGAACAAAAGCTTGACTACACTTACAGGCGATGCCGCACTCTTGACAAATCCATTGGTCCCCTCGAGATACGAGTCGTGGAGGCTGGAACTTTTGAGCTGTTGATGGACATGTTCATTAACCAAGGAGCTTCTATTAATCAGTACAAAACTCCCAGGTGCATCAAATCTAAAGCTGCCCTCAAACTCCTCAACTCTAATGTGAGGGCTTCCTATTTTAGTCCAAGGGATCCTATCTGGAATGCCTGAACCTTGCACCACCTGAAGACCTCCAACTTAAACACCTACATAACTCATTCTTCCAACCTCTTTTGATGACAGAAACTTTGCAGAGCATAACTAACTCGCAAGCAGCAGTTAGAACAAGCTCCACATTGACCTTTTCATTCCAATTAACTATGGAACTTACTTTCCCTTGGTATTGCAACCTTCCAGCAAACCAGTCCTGTCTGTTATCTGCTCTTCCTATTTTTAACAGATCAAAACTTTAACTTTAATCTGGTTTCTTCTGATACACTTTGCTTCAAATTTCGAGTGAATTCTTCTTATCCAATTATCCATATTGCAATTAATAATCTTCACAAGAGCAAAGGATATTTTTTATATATTTTTTCATAAGCTGTGCCCAGGGCCCATAAGGGCATTCTAAACTGAATTCTTCTGAAGGTCTTAAGTATTGTTTGTCAATGATAAACATCAAATAAGAACACAATATGACATTTCCAGTTCTTGCAGTTGATGCTAAAAGAATAACAAAAAAAGTAAATGAAAGCGTTATGACCTAGGTACCATGAAGTGCAACTGGAATAAAAAAAGGCAATGACTGTTAGATCCACATTGGAAAAGCTTTTAAACATCAATACAATGAGCAACAGATTGCTCCGAAAGCATTTAAGAAAATAATAGGAGCTAAGTAAGAAAACATGATACAAGCACCTCTCTCCTCAAAGGGCCAAATGGTGAAGAATAACATACACAAAACCAACTAATGCTCAATCACCCGCTTAGCTCCCTCTAGGGTATTTTTGAGTAGCATCGCCACCGTCATTGGTCCAACACCTCCAGGAACTGGAGTAATGCGCCCAGCAACTTTACTTGCTTCATTATAATCAACATCTCCAACGAGCCTATAGCCCGACTTCTTAGTTCGATCATCTACAGCATTTGTCCCCACATCAATAACAGCGGCACCAGGTTTGATCCAACTGCCTTTAATCTGAGATATAATTAAACCAAGAAGAACAATAATTTCATGTTTTGAAATCTGACTAAGAATGTCTCTCAGAATCTATGTAACATATTATCAAGTTGGCTTTTACAAAGGGCAAGGTTAAGAAAGAATGTTAAATAAAATAAAATAAAAAAAAAAGAGCCATTGAAAAATTCTGTAAATTAAACACAGATTCTGAACGACAATCTAGGTGAATGTTATTGCTCAACCAAAGTTGAACGAAAACCTTTAGATATATCTCCCTTACCATCAAACAGAGGGTTGACAGCTAATACTACACATTTGGTGGAAGAGTTCATGTCAGGGGAAAGGGAAAATAATCAGACAGATGCATACCATCATTGCTTGTCCTGCAGCCGCTATAACAATGTCTGCTTCACGAATCAATTTCTCTGGTTCCTGACTACGTGAATGAACCACAGTTACAGTGGCATCCTCCTTGAGTAGTAGTAGAGAGACAGGTAATCCAACTATATTGCTTCGACCAACTACAACAGCTTTTTTACCCTTAATGCTGACGCCACTTCGCTTCAGAAGCTCAATACAGCCCTGCTTATAAGAAACAGCTCCATACTCATTTCCATGTCAAAGCTAAGAAATTGATACGTTGGCGTAGAAGTTTTAAACAAAGTGTAAACGAATTCACGATACTAATAGTCAGACGTGTTGCCTTGGGAGTGCAAGGTAGGAATAGAGGTTCTCTGCCTTTCATCGCAAGCTTCCCTATGTTCAATGGGTGAAAGCCATCAACATCTTTCTCCAAGCTAATTTCACCCAATACTTTCTCTTCATTGATATGCTTCGGCAGCGGAAGCTGAACTAGTATCCCTGCAAAATCCAAACGCAGAATCAACAAGTTTGACATATTGCAGCAGTACATTCCCTATCAAAGTATAAAAGCAAACACAATAAAGCATTAATCACCGCCATGTTCAAGTCAGTAAAATGGATCATATCTTGATCAAAGCACACCTTACATATTCATGATCAAAAGGTAAAATGCAGTCCTTGCATTTTGAAAAATCACTCTTTTGGTACACCACATATCAAGTGGGAGAAGGCATAAATCAAAAGTTTTAGGCCATTGATTTCCTACAAATCAAAACACCAGCAACGGAACGCATATGAATACCCTTCATGCCTTTCAATTTTGCTTTGAACTCACAAGGGTCCCAAAAGCTAAATCTCATTCAAAGTAGTACAATATAACAAAACATACAGCAACGTTATAAGGTTGATGGCCGTTTTTTGTTTGTTTAATGTATAAGGAATAATAATTCACTTTTGATTTCACAAAGTATGATGAAATAAATGTGGTGATTTAATCAACCATCCAATTAAAATAGAAATGAAGGACATCTTATAAGGTTGTTGTGAAACCAAGTAACTGCCTAACTAAACTAACAACTAACTGACCGTGAACTTCAGGATTTGCATTCAACTCGTGAACTTTGCTAATCAAATCCGATTCGGACACGTCCTCAGGGAGGTCAACGTCGATAGACTTGATGCCGACCTCGGCGCAGGCCTTTCTCTTCATACTGACATAGCTCTGAGAATCCTTCCGATTCCCTACAATCACCACCGCCAATCCAGGGACCTATTAAACCATCAGTTTCTAAGTATTTCCAGCGCAATTCAGCAAAAATTCACTAAATAGCAAAAATCATTTTCTCGGGAAAAAAAGCAAAGAGTAGAGACAAAGAACAAGCAGTAGAAAGAAAAAATTGGAAGGAGTGGAGTACCTTGGCGTATTTCTGAGAGAGGAGACGCACTTCGTCAGCAATTTCAGATCGGATAGTCTGGGCGATCGCTTTGCCGTCGATGACGGTGGCCTTGTGATCCGACGATGACGCCATTTTTTCTGATGATGATGATTTTTTACTGGTTGACAGAGCTAAGGACTAAGTAGGCTGCTGCTAGTCAGTGGCAGTTGATATAAAGAGGTTGGGTTTCGGCCTTGATTTTGATGGGCCTATGCGACACTGCTGGTCATCCCTAGCTTTCAGTTCTGGGTCATGCGGACCAGGCCCATTTTGATTCGCGCCATCGTTTTGTCCATGTTTTTCTGTGATTTTTTTTTGTTTATCATTTATTTATTTCGTCGCCTCAATTATTATTATTTAAAAAAAAAATTATCAATCGTGGAGATCATATATGTAGTAAAAATCCAAATTAAACAATCATTTTAAGACGTAGAGTTTAATAACTACTAAGGTTCTAGTTGGTCATATTTCATGTATATAATATAGACTGAGAGCGTGACTCTCTTTCAAATATGTCAATCCGTATCTTAAATATAAGTATAGTAAAATAAACAAGTTTTGTGCTCAGAAATAGAGATGAATTTGAAACCCTGAATGACAAGTGTAATTTGTAAAACGCGTTCAGAGTAAAATATATATCATTAGTAGAAGACTTGAAGTACAGTATCACTAAATTCGGATGCAAAGTTAGGATCTGGATCTGTCCTTGATATACTACGAGTGCAGGGATAAATTAGCCGTATGAGACATTGCAGCTCAAGGACAAGGCAACTTGCATTATTTATTAACCAAAAAAAAAAAGGGGCCTTTACATCGATAATACTATGTATGAATGTGTCGATTCTCATTTTGAGTTCAATAATATTACCAAACCAAAAAGAGAGGAAAAGAAAAATGTTTAGACTTACAACTGACGAGTCCATCAAAGACCAGTTATTCCACTGATCCGCATAATTGCAGTCGAAACTCCTGGATAACATTATTTATAATTTACTACTAACATTTATTTACTACTACTATGTAAGAATAAAACAGGCAGCATTAGAACGCTTGTTTTTTTGTTCCAGTTCCAAGTTATTTCTGGATCTTTGGCTAAATGGAATCACATAATGTATTTACATACTTCCAATCATCTTCATTTTCCTCTTCTCTGGAATCATGTATACAGCTAAGTTTTTAAGACGATTGGAAGGCCTTAGACTTCAATGATTTTCATCATCAGATTCTAATCTGCAACGGTTCAAAAATCCACCAATTTTAGAGGCTAAAGAAGGGCCACTTTTTTCATGTGTGGCTCCAGGACCCCAAGAACATCATGGTCCTGATGGGGTCTTCAATCATCCCTGATCGCTCGTTCCGTCTTTCGATTTCCCTGGAAATGTAATTCCTGTCTTGATTTCCAGCCACAGCAACCATGGCTGTCTCATAAACTTTCTTCAGCTTCTCTCCTATGATCATTGGCCTTTTCTGTTCCCGACAGTTCATCAAAACAGAGTCTTGATGGTGATGATGATCGCCGGAGAACTGTTGAGGTTTCATCTTCAATCAAGTTTCTGCTGTTACACAACAAGAATAACAACACTAGAAGTGGAGTAAACTGAAGAAGGCCTGAGTACACATTTATAGACCATTCCTTTCCAGACAAGATATGTAGCATTACACTCTTTATTATTATTCTGGAATAAAGAACAAAAACTTTTCTATTTCCTTTTATGCAATTGGGGTCCCAGGTTGTGGTTGACAGCAAAAAAGGGGATGACTCCACCAAGGTTAATGAAAGAAAAAGGGGAAAGTGATTTAGTAGCCAATAATACCAAAGTTAAATGCCCCTCTGCAGTGAATCTTTCAATCATTTTCTTTTTCCATCAAATTTAACAGTGATAAGAGAAGCAATAACTTAGCTAGAGTGACCAAATTTTCCCTTCTTCCTTCTAGAATGTAACTGCTTTATGCACAAAATGTTCCTCTTGAATCTGATAGAAGATCATATTTCTGTAGATAAGGAATCAGATCCATAAAAAAAGAATCTAACATCAAATATAGGCATAAGAGCAGTATCTTTCTTTTGATATGGCTGTTTATAATAGGATAAGAGTGTCTTCTCCTTTATACATATAAGAGCATTTAGACTAACTGATGTGTATGGTACAAATGGAACCTAATCTTACATGCCTATACTGTATCCAAGGATAAATACGTAATCGCGGTTTGAACACAAAACTGTGGAACAATTTATTACAGACTATACAAAAACAACAAATCATTTCCTTTAAACATACTAACAAAGAAGCAAACACATCCTTAGATAAAGATCATAATGCTCAATACCATGATAGAGGCAATGACAATAACAAAGTTCAAATGACTTTGGATAAATCTTTGGAGCATGACTTGCCCCAAAGAGTAGTAAAGTGGCAAGATCCTTAAATCAATACATCATATAATGCAATGGACCTTTACCTATGAGTCCAATTCTTAGAATCAAGGGCAGTTTTATAGAATCCATTACAGAGAGAAACATAAAGAACGAATAGACAGGTGGTGAAAGAAGCTGTAAAAGGAACCTTACCATGAGAAAAGGACACATGAAATCAAGGGCAGATATCAGATATGAACCAGATTAGATCACTCAAAATAATATCAGATATGAGCCAGATTAGATCACTCAAACTAATATCAGATATGAGTGTTTTTTAACATGATATAAGCTATAAGTCGTATGATAAGAGGATGTGAACTATTATACTTCATTGGTCAAGGGACAAAATTAATTGATCAACTATACTTCTGAAAATCCAGCTAACCATTTACACATTCATTCAGGTCTAAAATATATGTCTCTTTACCAAAGCAGAATGCACCGCATTTCCCCATAGTCTTGCACAGATCCAACCAAGCATCTCATAGCAAAATTTTCCTGCAGGTGATGACACCAGCAAGAATCGACACAAATGCCAAAAAAGCGCCCTGTCTCGAGAGGGCGAATTCAGTCCATGTCAAGGGCTTTGTCACCTGAAGCAACACTTTCTGAAACTCTTCGTTGAGTTCTGCCAGTGATCCTGTGTTGTCAATTACGAAATCTGCTTTGGTTCTTTTGAGATCAAGTGACATTTGAGCATTTATTCTGCTTGCAGCATCATCCTCCGTCGTTCCATCTCTAGCCATAAGGCGTTTCAGCTGAGTCTCGGGATCAACCCAAACAACAACGATGGGCTTTGTCCACTTGTCCATTTTGGCCTCAAACAATAAAGGCACATCAAGCACAATAATCTTGCATCCCTTCAACCACAACTTCAAAACTTCCTTTAAAATGCCTGATGAAATATACGGAGCTAGTAACCTACATAAACAAGCCAAACTCTAAGGGAACAAATAGATTGTCATACAAATAGGCGCTTCAAAATCATCTTAACCGCAAATTGTAACATATGTTGTTCGCAATATCAACAAATGGAAAATTTTCAGCAGGGCTTTCTAAGTTTAACAAGTAAAAACGCAAAATCCGGACCGATTCTAGTGCATAATCATCTTCTTTACCTGTTAAGAAGCTGACGTTTTTCAGGATCAGAGAACACAATGCGGCCTAATTTGGGGCGGTCAACCTCCCCATCCGGCAGTAGGATATCCGGACCAAACGCCGCCACAACCTTTTTCCAACCACCAGTACCTTTCTTCAAGACATCCTGCAATCCGGGGAACCCGCCAAAAATTAAATCCTTTTTAATCAAAATTTCAACATCATACCCCTTAATTACTTAATTTGCTGAAAGCGAGACTTCAACGAATTCGAAAACTTTCAACAAATTAAAACTACAGCAAAAATGAAGTCGAGATTGGACTTACACGAGCAACGACATCGGCATCGACAACGGGGATTCCGTGAGACTTGAAAAGGTTTGAAACAGTACTCTTCCCTGAACCAATCCCACCAGTCAGCCCCACCATCCTCATTGCTCTTCTTGGTTTTAAGGATAGTGAAGTGTTGTACTAGGGTTTAGTCTGGAATTAAAATGAGAGCAGGGTTTCAGTTGGCGTAAGGAGCTACAGCGAGTGATGCCTGAGAACAGGAAAAGGGTGCTGAAAGATCGATCGAAAAAAAAAATTAAAAAAAAAAAAGATCAATTAAGTCGGCAAAAGTTTTCAAATTTTCTTTTTGAGTTACCAGCACGCGAGGCGCATCTGGTGTAGTGGTATCATAGTACCCTCCCACGGTACTGACCGGGGTTCGATTCCCCGGATGCGCACTCTGTTTTTCCTCTCTCTCTCTCTCTTTTTTCTTTTTTTTCTTTTTTTTTTTTCCTTTTTTTCTTTTCTCTTTTTTCTTTTTTGGTTTCTGTATGGTGCAATTGTACTTTTAATTATAATTTTATCCAGATCGCAAAAATAGTTGTGTTATTATTATTTTTTTTTTCTTTGGATAACTTATTAGCAAGTGATAAACTGAGAGCTCTGTTACTAGATAAACTTTTGTTTTATTTGCATGGGATCGCACTAAACTTTTGTTTTGTGCATTGACTGTTTGAGTGACAGGAGATGTACCCTAATAACATGTTTTATTAGCGTCGGAGCCTCAATATATCTAATAGCAGAATCATGTGTGTTACACCGTCGCCCCACTAATTTTGATCCTACAGAGGCTTTGCGGGAAAATTGGCTATCCGTAAATAAACAAGAATGACCCGGATTCATTAACAATTTGGTGAATGAAAACTAAAAAAGCTTCAATTTGCCATCTTCGTCAACGAGCCCAGAAATCCTTTCCGCTGCAACGCGCAATGTGTCCTCACTCTTGCAGAATGCAAACCGGATGTATCGATTTCTGTAGCAAAGTTCAGACGATGATAAGGAACTTCCATGGAAAAATCCACATCCAGGTACAGCTACCACTCCTGCTTTTCTTATCATTTCCTCGACAAGTTCAACCTGATAACATTTGAACGTGAGAAGTGTTATATAGTATCTGCCCTAGTAGCAAGTTGAAAGCAAGTAAACAGAGAGAGTTTCTAGGCATACAAAATCCAAAACAAACATGTGCATCAACTTTGCTTAGTATAAGTATCCTTGTACTACTCCAGCAAGATGAGTTGAGTTGCTGAGAATTAAACGGGTCACGTTGCATTGCCAATCGCAATATGTAGATTCTCAGGAAGTATTAAGTAGGGCTCTCCCCTTTGTAACTTTTTCTAATGCAAAATTGGGATATAATGGTTGTGTTACTACTGCCCTATTTCAATATTATAGACTGGATAGATAAAAAATTGTCTTCAAAATCAAAATATGATGCAACTAGAAGGCAAAAGGTACCAACATCAGTTAAAGTGCAGCTACTGGGGAGTTCTGCAAACACGAAAAAAGAACCCATTGGTTTGAAATGCACGGGGAAGCCAACCTTGGCTAGCAACTCGACAACAAAGTCTCTTTTTGATTCATAATCCTGACCAAAGTAGAAAGAAAATAAACCGATTAACAATGTATATATTCAGGACATATGGAGAAGTGAGCTGGCTTGGACAAGTAGCTAACCTTTCTCAATGTTTTGAAGAATTCAGGAGGACTTCTCAAAGCAGTCAAGGCTGCTTCCTGGAAAGGCGCAGGAGCAGAATCTGTAATTTTTACATGGATGTTCCGGATTGCTGATGCAATGCCTGCCGAGGCTATTGCCCATCCAATTCTCCAGCCTGCTTAAGCACCTTATGGCAGTCAGTTTAACTCAAACTTGCAATCAACTCGTGTTACACATACCAAAAACTTGAAAGTCTCACCCCAGGAATTAAACTCCAGCAAAAAACAACAGCAAGCACAAATATACATGTCGAAAGGTGGGATATCAAAAATTGACCTGTTACGCTAAAAGTTTTTGACAAGGATGACGTGATAATAGTCCGCTTTTGCATGCCTGGGATTGAGGCAAGTGATATGTGTTTTTCCTTCTCAAAAGTCACATGCTCATAAACCTGAAAGAAGTAACAGCAAGTGTGAATCAACATACCAAGTTATTTGCTTTTGAAACTAATTACTTCCAACGTATGTCATTGTAAATGTAGAAAAGGAAACCCATGCATCTATAGGAAATCTAGTTATAAAGAAAGACAAAAATAAAAAACAGCAATCCAGTTCATCACTGTGAAACCAAATGATCAACATTAGCAGGGAATGTCATCCAATAGTGGTTCCATAGACAAACTACCATATTCAAATTCCATCTTAAAGTGCATCAGGCTTTTGAGAGATGCTTCCACATTTTTCCTTGCAGGTTTAATAACTTATAGACCTCAATTTCATCGGCACTAGGGTATCTTAGGAGAATGGAGGAGGAATGCATGGATTAGGAATGCAAGTATAACAATATCCGCAGAATCTGGAATACCTATACTGGTAATATATGAAGGACGCTCAGATCAAGCAAATCATAGATAAATACATATCGTACTTCATCTGTCACGGCTAGAATATCCCAGGTTGTGCAAGCTCCTGCGATTATCTCAAGCTCATTCTTGCTAAAAACTTTCCCTGTTGGATTGTGAGGGCTGTGCCGCCTCATATCAGTAGTCTACTAGTAAAATGAGTAATGTGCATGATTAATACATAGTAATCCTCAGAAATATCATCTCATAATTCATACGAGATTTGGACTGCAAAATTTGGTGACATGTGGTTTTAATCGGGAATATAATATACCTGTTAAGCACTAGTGCTTTTGTCCTGCCAGTAAATGCCTTGTTGAGTTTGTCAGCATCAAGCTTCCAGTGAGGAGGATCGAGGGAAACATAAACCTGTAGTAATTTTCCCGGCATGAGCATTACCATCTATGTATATCGAAGCGAGAGGCTCAATAATAAAAATTGAGTAAACGTACAGGGACTCCTCCAGCCAATCTAATACACGTTTCGTATGTCTCAAACGAAGGATCAAACAGTATAACTTCATCACCCTGATCAATTACTGAGACAAAAACCAAACTCAAACAAACGTAACCAAAAAATCAATCCACAGAGACAGCTCTAACATATGAGAAATGAAACCAACAAGATAGTGTTGAAACGTACAAAGACATACTGCATATACATACAGATACAGTAGTTACAGCTTGTAGAAAATAGAGAATTACAGGAGCTAAGTGGGGAGAGGGAATTGAGAAACATACTAGCGAAGATTGAGGCTGCAAAAGCCTCCGTCTGACCACAACATATAGCAATATCCGTGGAAGGATCAAATTCGAGGCCTTGAGCTTCTCTCATTTGAGTAGCAACACAGTCGCAGAGTCCCTGAACATGCCTTCATACATTCAATCCATCGATTTAATCATACGCCCAACAGGATGGATGCCAAATGAATGAGCTGAAAATGGAAGTATAGGAAACATATAGGTATGTATGTAGGGTTTATACCTGTACTGGTTGAAGTCGGAATGTATGGCGGAAACGGCGGCGTTTTTAACGTGGGAAGGAGCAGGGAAGTCCGGGAAGCCTTCGGCGAGATTGATGGCATTGCTGCACCGTTCAGCCAGGAAGGATAGCTGCTGAATGGGAGATGATGTTAGGGTCTTCGCCACTGATGATAGCTTCTTCTCCATTTTTTGCGTTTCGTGCTCCCGGCGAAACCAAAATCCAGCTTTATCTCAAATTCTGGAAATTATACTGATCAATAAAGAAAAGAATTTTAACTACTACTAGTATTTTATTTTATTTTTATTTTTTTTAAGGGGGAAAAAGGGAAGGAAATTGGAAAAGGGAATGTCCAGTACGGTCTTACCTATCGTTATCCAGTCCAGTTGCCATAAAAAAGGAAATAAGGCCCGATATAATTTCCATTTGCACAAAAACATCCAAAGCCCACCTCATTTTTTATTTTCCATATAGGCGATATTTATTTTATTTCAACAATAATAATGAATTAATTTTGCCCCACGAAAACAAAGCGGTTTTCTGGAATTCTAATCCCGCCCGCCCCAAATTCTTCCCCGGAAGGATCTTGTCACATATTCTCTCCAGTGGTACTACTACTAGTCACTGTGTGACTGTGTGAGAGAGGGAAAAAAAGGTTTCCTAAATCGTATTCCTTTTTTACTCCACCCCACACAGCAAACCAACTCAACCGCACTAATTCTTCCATTTCCATTCGGTTTTCCTCATCCGATCAACGACCGCTGATCGGAGTTGTAATCGGGACGGATATCATTTGCTGCGGAAGCTAGGGTTTGTAATTGGCGATCGAGGTTGAACCAAAGAAGCCATGTCGCTGAGGCCAAACGCTAGAAGTGAGGCTCGACGGAACAGGTATAAGGTGGCTGTGGATGCCGAGGAGGGTCGCCGTAGGAGAGAAGATGGAATGATCGAGATCCGGAAGAACAGAAGAGAAGAGAACTTGTTGAAGAAGCGTCGGGAGGGTCTTCCGGCTAATCAGCAATTTCCAGCCCCACTCAACAACCCTCAACTTGACAAGGTCTCTGTCCTCCCTCACTTAGCTCTATTCCCCCCTTTCATTTTCGTTTTTCATTATCTTCCCGTACTTTAGAATTTCTCTCGTCCTTGTTTCTTTGTGGAATTCCTTGTTTCTTTAGAATTTTTTCTTACTTCAAGATAGCTTTTGGAGTTGATATCAACAGCCTGCCAAATTAACACATTCTGACGCCGGGCCTTTTCAGAATGACTGAAAGGATGAATCATATTGTGATTAGTAAAGCATTCTGTAGAAGTGGGGACTTTTGCCTGCATAAATTTAGTTTAGGAATCATATATTTCTCAGAAGATAGAATCTTATCTTAGATCTCTAAAACGTGTTTCTTATTCGAGTCTCCTTGTTGCTATTATCCCTTTTGCTATCTCTGGTTCAAATTTGTTGGTTTCTGGCTATTCTTTTTGTAATGTGAATTTTCTTTCAGTTAGAGACTCTTCCAGCTTTGGTAGCCGGGATTTGTTCAAATGACCGCACCTTGCAACTGGAAGCCACCACTCAATTCCGAAAGCTCCTTTCGATTGGTATGTTTCTACCTCTTACTTCTTTTTTTCGCTTCTTTTTGAAATGTTAAAAGTTTCTTTAATGTTTGTGTTTTTCCCTAGTGTTTCATTTGACAAGTTCTTTCCCCTCCTAGAGCGCAATCCGCCCATTGACGAAGTTATTAAATCCGGCGTTGTTCCCTGGTTTGTTCAGTTTCTGGCTAGAGATGACTATCCGCAGCTTCAGGTATGTGTTTGGTGTGACAGATATTCTGCTTGTGCAATAAGTCAAACATGTTCAATATGATACTAGTTCCTGATTGCTTGGGGTTACTCTACAGTTTGAGGCAGCTTGGGCTCTCACAAATATTGCATCAGGGACATCTGATAACACCAAGGTCGTGATTGACCATGGTGCTGTTCCAATCTTTGTAAGATTGCTTAGTTCTCCTAGTGATGACGTTCGTGAACAGGTAGATTCCTCAGTTATTCATTTTGAGTTTTGATGTTGTACTTGTTATAGGGTCATGGCTCCACTTGCTGCCTGTTACTTGCTGTTTTAACTCTAGTTTGATACAGACTATGTGGTATTTTGTCGGGTTATGCAGGCAGTTTGGGCTTTAGGTAATGTTGCCGGGGATTCTCCAAAGTGTCGTGACCTTGTTCTCAGCCAAGGAGCATTAATGGCATTGTTGGCTCAATTTAATGAGCATGCAAAGCTGTCCATGTTGCGTAATGCAACATGGACATTGTCAAACTTCTGTAGGGGAAAGCCACAGCCTCATTTTGAGCAGGTTAGACATTTTTAAGTTATGTAGCTATTTCTGAATGAAGCCAGCCTATCATAATCTTTTTTTTTTGAGCTTCTGACGGTTGTTGGACATTTTCGAGCAGACAAAACCTGCCCTACCCACTTTGGCTCGACTTATACATTCCAACGATGAAGAAGTTTTGACAGATGCATGTTGGGCACTTTCATATCTCTCTGATGGTACTAATGACAAAATCCAAGCTGTTATTGATGCTGGTGTTTGCCCTCGTCTTGTTGAGCTTCTCCTGTTAGTGATCAGAACTTTTTTTTTCCATCGCCAGCAACTGTTTTTGGAGTTTCTTTTTTTGATTTCAAAGGTTTGACAACTCTTTGCTAACTGTTCGTGGGAATATTTTGATTCATTTTCAGTCATCATTCGCCCTCTGTTCTTATTCCTGCGTTGCGCACTGTTGGTAACATTGTCACTGGTGATGATATGCAGACCCAGGTATTAAAAACCCCTTTCTTACTCTGTTGCCTGGATTAAAGTGACATTTACTTCATTTTGAACTATTACATGTTTATCTAGCAGTTTTTTAGGTTTAACTTTAAAAGGTTGCATTCTATTTAGATACTACTTTTCTGGGAAAACCTTTCAGTGATTAACTTGGTGCTTTTTCGGGGGGAGAATTTTCAGGTTATCATTGACCATCTGGCCCTTAAATATCTTCGGAACTTGTTGGTCCAAAATCATAAAAAAAGCATTAAAAAAGAAGCTTGCTGGACTATTTCAAATATCACTGCTGGAAACAAAGAGCAGATTCAGGTAAAAAGGCTTGAATTTATTTGAATTTGCGACAGTTTTTTTGTTGCTTGTTGAATTTTATAGGAACTGCTTTTTCTGGCTGATCTTAGGGCATCATGCTCCAGTACTTTGTTATCTCTATTCATAAGAGGAGTGGCTCTTTCATGTTAAAATAATTTTATTTATTGTAGTGTTACTTTTGAAAGTCAAATCATTTTGCTTGTTGACTGTTGGACCTTGAGTTAATTTTAAAGAGTAAGTATTGTTAATCTCTTTGCTTTGATATGGAGTTATCATTCAGTTTATAACTCAAGGCTGGATGTTTCCTTTAATTTGGAATGTGCAGGCTGTGATTGAAGCTGGAATCATTGCTCCCCTGGTTGAGCTACTGTTGAATGCTGAGTTTGAGATAAAGAAAGAGGCTGCTTGGGCAGTTTCGAATGCTACATCTGGTGGAACTCATGACCAGATTAAGTATGTTTCTTGAAATTCATGTTTTTGTTTTTCGTTTGTGATTTGCCTGTCATTTATGGATCTTTGCTGTGTATTTGACAGGTTTTTAGTGAGCCAGAATTGCATAAAGCCATTGTGTGACCTTCTTGTCTGTCCTGATCCAAGAATAGTCACTGTCTGCTTGGAAGGTCTGGAGAACATTTTGAAGGTTGGAGAAGCTGAGAAGAATCTTGGTAACACTGGAGATGTTAATGCCTTTGCTCAGTTTATTGATGAAGCGGAAGGTTTGGAAAAGATAGAAAACCTCCAGAGTCATGACAACAACGAAATCTATGAAAAGGCTGTGAAGATTCTTGAAACGTATTGGTTGGAAGAGGATGATGAGCAGCTGCCCTCAGGTGATGCACAACCAGGATTTAGCTTTGGAGGAGGTGATGTCTCTGCTCCATCTGGAGGATTCAAGTTCCCTTGAACGTGATCTGGTCAAAGACTTTCCTCATTGGGTATGTTCTGAATTGGAATTTGGAAGTTTATTTGCACTTAGGAAGGCTTTTTTGTGATTTTTACTGATTTTATTCTGATTTGGTTTGGATTAGTTATGATTTTCATTCTGGTCTGAGCCTATTATTTGTGCTAGTTTCCATTAGATGTAGACGATTCAGTTAATCTCCTGTTCTTTTCTCTTCCATCCTGAGTTGGTTGGGTAACTTGGGGTTTGTTGCTTCTCGCATTCTCATACTTTTTGCCATTTGAACTAGTGTCTTTTACTGTCGATAGCTGTGGGCTTTATTCGAGCTGTCAAAATGTGTCTTCGTTTTATTTGTTTTTACAAGCAACTAAAAGGCCCTATTGCACTTTTGTAATTTGCAGGTTTGTTGAAGTTCTTAGGCATTATAGCATGGTTTTTTACTTGCCTGCAACACTTCCTGCCTCGCTTGTTTTGAAGATTGCCGGAAGTGCTTGGTCCTCGGTCGCGTTATATTTAGTGGGTCGAGTTTCCCTCTTTCTGATGTGTTTAGCAAGTTGCATTGGGAAGCCTATTTCTTTGTTTTGGTTTGAATGTTGTAGTCCCCAGACCCCAAAAAGAATTCTTTTGGTTTGTTGTAATCGTTAGCTTCTAGAGTTTTGAGTTTGTCTAAAGGGATGATGATTAGGAGAGACCATTAGAGATTGTTGTCTTCCTCATCAATGTGTCGTTATGTTGGATCACTAAAAGTGAAATGGTTGTGAGATGTAATTTTGTCTATTTAGCTGCGTTAACTGGTTCCTGGATTCAATCTCTAGATGTTAATGATCCATCCATCCCTAATTTGTGTCCTCAAGACATTACTATCTTTTGTTTCATGAATACAGAGGGAAAAGCATACATTCTTTTTGGTCCCATCTTTTGTTTGTCATTGTTCTTCACAGTTGCTTATGAAATATGATGGTGGTATTTAGTCGGCGAACTTGGTGTTGATTTCGGTTTCGGTAATTTGTTGAGTTCCCTGCAATCTCTAGAGATATGAGAATGAATCTTGTTGTAGATTGAGTTCTGCTGATATGATCAATTTGTAGCCAAATTTTTACGGATTAGAAACGTGATGAGCTTTTGTTTTGCATTTTGCTACCATTTCCATTTCTTGTACCCTGTAGAATTTTGTTGTTGAAAAATAATAAGCATAAAATGCTTACGGGAACACGCAAATGGGAATTGGATTAGTTCCCCGTTAAAAGTTGTGGCATTTGTAAAAGACAGCAGGAAAGAACTTGGAAACTTCCATGTCAGTAAAACTCTCGCAAGGGAAATTTCCATTTGTGAAAGCCCTGCTTAAAGGACTTTTTTGTCCCATAGTTCCCTCTAAGATTAAACGTTATTATATGATGAGTAGCCCCATTCAGCAGAAGAAAATGGTAGAGACTATTCTTCCATGAAGTTAACACACGGAAGATTATTGAAATCCTTACAACAAAGAATGCTGAGCAATAGGCATTACCTGAATGAGGAAGAAGAGCATGATGATCTCTCGCGAGCCATGTTTTACTGGTGGAGATCGGCGTCAAAGTTCGATCAATGTGTGAAGCTGAAATGGGAACTCCCTGACATATCAAAAATCTCCCCTACATGCAAGATATTAAGGGAAATGGAGAGAATAGCTGCGATTGCATCTGAAGGTTTGCATGAGCTCCGACAGAAGCTTCTCACATATCGGTCGGGCGATCTGTGGTTGCCTATTGGTGGTTTGGAGAAGACAGACGTGGAAATCCCTGCCATGAATACTATTCTCTTGGTTGGGTTCAAAAATGCCGGCAAAAGCTCCCTAGTCAATCTGATGTACAGCGTTTTAGGTCAATCTGGCGTAATTCCCTTCACTCAAACCAGTCAAACTTCTTCAGGTAAAATAAAATGTATTGCATATGAAGTGACTTTTCCTTTTTTTTCTCATGTAGCGGTTAAGTGACTTCTTATTGCAAGAAATTGACACTTGGTTTAGGAACGACTTGGTCGATATGGATTCTTATTTTGTTTTAACCTTTACATGTGATTTTGATTTAACCTCTTTATGGATGTCTACTCAATAATGTAGCACTTAAGCACGCTGTAACGGTTTGAGTATTTATTCTTGAGCTGATTAATACAGTCCTACGATTTGGTAACGAGGGTTAATAGTTATTAGTACTTAAGCTGCCAGTTCAGTTGTAATGGAACCAGCAGCAATGTGGACAGTACCTGCTGTGCCAAATAGAAACTTAGTGCTAGGATGGTAACAAACAGTGTCAAAATTTTGTTTTCTGCAGGAAATACATCAGTATCTCCATCTCCTTATGCATCGTTATTCATGGAGGAGCACAACGTGTTAAGATCACCACGTAGTGGCTTCTGCGTGTACGACACACGAGGGTTTGACTATGGTGATGCAGACGAGGCGTTGGACCAGTTCTCCCGGTGGATGACTGAAGGTGTTCATCATGGCCAGCATTGCCTGAGGTCATCCGACTGCATTCCTGATAGGGACGCGTTGGAGCTTCATTCAACAAAGTGTGCAAATATGTTCACGATTCGGAGGGTTAATTGCGTGATGCTGGTGATCAATCTGGAGGAAATACGTGAAGCTGTGAGGATTGGGGATATGAAACCACTTGATGTGCTAGCAGAGGTCTTCAGAATGGCGTCAGTAGGCAGTTCCAGTGAGTTTGTTTCCTACTTATTTTCTAAACTTTTTTTAAGTCATAACATATTTTAGTATGCATATACATTTTCGTGACTCGGGATTTCCATCTACTGTTTTAGCTGCAGATGAACACCCTATACTGATTTTAACACACGGAGACAAGCTCTCGACCGAGGATCGAATCTTCATGCGACTGAAAATCTGCGAAGCCCTCGGCGCAAACGAGACTAACGGGACATACGACATTGTGTGCTCCACAGAGTACGGATTCCTTCCTGACGAAATAGACCTTGTCACAGCGTATGCATTGTCTGAAGCAGTATACAGGGCGTTGATCATTTCGGACCGGGGTCATTTGTCCAAGACGAGTTTGCATGATTGGTTAATGTTTTTGGTAGCTTGGTTCATGTGTGGGGTTGGGAGATTGTTTGGAGTGATTGCTCATTTTTTCTCTAGTGTCGGAGAAAAGAAGAAGTTGAAGTGGGCTGCTCAAAAGAACAAGTTGAAGTGGTGAAGGCAGAGGAAGTGGGTGTTTTGGCTTTCTGACTTTTGGGAAGCTAACTCTTAATTGAACTAATGTAAGAGAAGGGTTTAATTTGTGTGTTTTAAATGGATTAATGTGCTTTATGTATAATACTATCATATAGATAGAGAGATGTTCATCATCTACTTATCTTTTATCAATGATCTCTACCATTCTGCCTACAAAAATTTGTTACTTGTGTGGAAAATGTTTATAAAATAGTCACAACCACAGGATCGTTGTCCCGTGGTCGTAAGATCACATTTTTAGTTTCAACAATGAATTTCTTGCAAGATCATGTTTTTTTTTTTGTTAATATTTGTTCAGAGTCACAGATTCTAATATGGAACCAGATCCCTTGAAAATTTAATCTCTGAAACCATCATGATCTTAACCACTCCGCATTTTCGTGCTTCCATCTTCCTAGTCATTGACTATATGGTGCGATTTGTTTCTGGTTTTCTACTGCTAACATTTAAAACATGTATGAATTGGACTCATTCATTGCTATTTATTTAGAATAGTAAAAGCTGTTTTAGTTTTACGTTTTCAATTATCTTATTGTTACCATTCCATTTCTTTATAAAATTTTTAGGGTCAATCTACACATTTCTAATTTCAGCAACGATCATCATTACGAGCCCAAAACAGTCTGAGAGACAAGAAATTGCCCAATCGAACACTAAAAAAACTGATGAATTTTTTCTTTTAAACTTCATTTAATATTTCCCCTTTCAAGTTAAAACTGCCACGGTTTTTCTTTTTTTTATTTTTGGTTAAAATCTCTAGTTAGCTATTTACGTATATGATATACTTGATTTGTGTATTACAACAAACTAGGTGTAGAAAGTATTGTTTCAACTAGTATGAATTCGAATTGACTAAGTTTTTATAGAATTCGAACTTCCCTCCATGATTCTAATCAAACAGATACATTATTTTCACCGCCTGAACTTCTAGACCAAAATTGTTGTAGGTTAATTTATTAATTTAAAATCAAACATTTGTTTGTGTTAGGAACTATAGATAAATTTATAAAATAGGGCGCCCCGATAAGTTTATTCCCTACAGTATTTTCCGATTTAATTTTTATTCCTAATATTTTTAACGTAGAAAGAAGTTTTTTTTTTTTTTCAATTGAAAAAAAAATTTTTAAAAAATGGGGCAAAATTTTTCACATGTGAAGACTTTAGGGACGAAAATTATGGGAAAATACTATAATGAAAACTGTGCGGGAGCCCTCTAAAATATAAAGAGCGCGGCTATGGATGGACAAGTAAGCACGCAGTATAGTGCATTACCAAAAATCACAAAACCAAACCCAAAAAAGAATTTTAAAAAAAAAAAAAAAAACAAACAAACAAACACAATTAAACTTTACTATTTTAAAAAGATATAGACATCCAGGGTCCGGAATATGATGAATCAAAAAATTTTCCCCTATTTATATTCTATAAGAATTATTTGAAGGTTTGCTTTTCTAGACTCCCAACTCTTTTTTTTTTTTTGTTTCCCAAAAAAATAAAAATAAGCGGGTTGCTTAACGCTCAAATTACAAGTGAAACTAGTCAAAAGCTAATCCTATTCCAATTTGCAAAGCAGACGGATCAGACCCACGTATTGCTTCTTCTTGGGCCTCACACGAGCATCCAACCCAACCCAATCTATTGATCAAAAATCGCCCCAACAGTTAGGGACCATCATCAAGATCTCCGATCAAATTACAAATCTCGGAGCATTCCATCAAGCAATACGTCCGACTCCGGAAAGTATCCTTAAACACCACCAACGGCCTCCGGATATTAAGCGGGCCTTCTCCGGGCGAACCATACCCGCCTCTGATGCAAGTGTTCAGGCACTTCACCGTACAATTCTCCGCCTTTTTGGACTTGGGTCTCTGAATCCTCCGGGATTTCTTGCAATCTCCACCCGGCGACGGTGAGCATTCTTCCCCAGACGACAGCGTTTGAGGGATGTTCGACAGTGTCTCGCTGTTATCACCTCCTGCCTCAGCTGCCGCCGTCGCCGCCGAAAACGGCGCCGTGACGAGAGAGAAGATCATAGCTGCAGCCACTGCTGCGGTGGCAAGCTTGAATGGAGCAAGAGGTTTCGAGGAAATAATTACTCCGGTTGCGGCGGCGGCGGATGGTGGCGGTCTTGGTTTACTAGTATGAACATGGGGTGATGATGATAATGAGAAGGAAATAAATCCGCCATAGCCGGAAGGAGGATTAAGGGTGATGATGGGATGGAGCAACATTTGTAGTGAATTGGGATTTGAATTTTTGGAGAGGATTTATGGCAACAAAAAATCGGATTGAGGATTTGAGATCAGCATTCCGCCACCTCATTTCTCTGCTACCTCTTCCCCAAATCTTTGATCTTTTCCCCCTTTTTTCCTCTAATTTTTGATAACGTAAATTTATAAACTGTAACCTTTTTTCCAAATTTTTACTGTAAGATTAGTATTTAAAAAGATATTTTCACATTCGTTATGTTTTTTTAATTATTAGAAAATATTATTTAAAATTTTTTTCTCTATTAAAAAAATATTTTAAATTCAACTTATGATAAATTATAATATCTTATAATAAGAATCAGAAGGAATATTAATCTTTTCAAAACAATATCGTTGTTATTCTTAATGACACATACTTGATATGATTTTTCTGTGAGAGTACTCTCTTGATAAGAGCACGCCCACAGCTTTATGTCACGTTTATCAAAAGCATCAAAGAATTCTCATTTAACTTCACCATTTTTTTTTTTTTCGCTAATGGAACATATTTTGTGAGTGAGAATCGTAGATGTGTGAGTGTGACAATCAAAAGAGTCCTTTTTCCTAAACTTATTTATAATTGTCGAAAATAATATTAAGCCAAAGAAAGTAAATGAAAAAATAAATGAATATGTTTGATTTTTCAAAAAGAAAAGCTTGGGATTAAAAGGGGAAAAAAAACGAGGAAGTTAATGCAAAAATTGGAACAAATCGGTTGACTAATTCAGTAATGGAACCATGGAGGTCAACAGACATTCTTGGGAGACGCCATTGGACTGTCAATATCAAAAAATAGCTTTTTTGCTTTCTGGTTTTTTACTTTTGTCACATTCAATTCTGGCTCCAAATGGAACTGAACTATGCCCGCCATTGTTGAGTGTTAGAGAACTGATTAGTGCATGAATTGCCAGCATTTTACTTTTCTTTTTCCACTTAAAACACTTCTTCGCATAAATCTTTTCCTTTAATATTAACTCTATAGAAAAATATCGTGTCTCCGATTCTAATTACAATACACAAATTTAAACTAAATAAAGATGCTGACTTATTCCTAGTATATTCTCCAAATAAATATTCTACTACTGTATTAGAATTTTCCTTTAAAGGTGATCATGTTTTTCTGTAATAAATTCACATTAAGTTTTGAAATTTATACTTAAATTAATATAAATTTTAAATTTTAATATCAATTATTTTTTGGACAGAGATAATAGAATTATTTTCCTCCCTTTTTATTCGAGAGTGGTTTCCGTATAAATATGATACTCCGAACTATAGTTTCATTTATAGTGTGTAAAATAAGAGGAAAATTTTTGAACCGATAAGGTAAAATATCTTTTCCATGTAAAACACACTTTGAAGTAATTTCCCCTTAGTTTTGTGAAATTGCAATTCTTTTTCGGAAAAAAAAAAAAAAGGTTATAATGAGAATACACACCTTATCTCTTGAAATCCCAGTTTTACTGATCAATCTCGTCATCACCGTAGTCGACATTGTTACAATCAACACTAGGCGTTGCTCACTCTGCTTTTACTCATCGACGTTGAGCGCCACTCCGATTGCTTTTACTGACCGATGTACATGTTGTGAGACTACTTTTATTAATCAATCTACTCATCGTTACTATCAACAATAGACGCTGCTCGGTCTACTTCAGCTCCCAACAGTGTCAGTCGTCATGGCTTACGACAGAAACAACGATAGCAAACAGTGTAATTATGCAAAACACACTTTAAGAATTCTTTAAAAATCGTGTTAATATAAGGTACTTTTCATCCATATAACTAGATTTTTTGTCCATTAAAAGATTAGAGGATGGGAGATGATACAATTTTGATCGTTCAAGGGTCGTCATGTTTTCCTGTGATAAATTACTCCATCTGTTCTAAAAAAATAAAATAAAAAAAAATCCACATTAAGTTTTGAAATCATTACAATCTTAAATTTCAATATAAATTATTTTTTGAACAAAGATAATATTATTTTTTTCCCATCCTTTTATTCAAGAGTGGTTTCCATATAAAAATGGCACTCCAAATTATAGTTTCATTGAGTGAATAAGATGAATTTGTTTTAAATCAATAAAGTGAAATATCTTTTCGATGTAAAACACACTTTAAAGTAGTAATTTATTGGTAATTTTGTGAAAATGCGTATTACGGCTGAACATAATTCATTTCGAGAAAAAAGTTAAAATGAGAACAGAACGCAAGGATAAAAAGGTACAATACTATAACACATATCTTGTTCAAGTAAGGTCGTGCGAATACATACCTATATCTACTTTTCAAAAAAAAAAAAAAACCTATATCTCTTGAAATCCTTGTTTTACTAATCAATCTCATCGTCGTCATGGCTGACATTAGGTCATCGTTTGAAATATTTTTGTTAAAAATATCAGTCTATTTACTGTTACAATATATGTTAGGTTGTTAGTTGCTACTCACTTTGTTTTTACCATCGATCTACTGGTTCTATTTACTGCTACAATCGACGTTATACGCCGCTCAGACTGCTTTTAATGACCAATGTACTTGTTGTGAGACTACTCTACTGATCGTCACTATCGACGATAGGTGCCGCTTGGTCTATTTCATCTCCCAACAGTGTCAGTCGTCACGGCTAACGACAGAGACAGGAGAAACGACAGCAAATAGAGTAATTACGTAATCTGACTAATACGCATATAAAGAAAAATTATCTTACTTCCTTTTATATACTACTACAAGCTAATACATATTGATGATGTTACATAGTAGATTAACTAGTGTTAGATGTGTGGGTAAACAACACCAGGCTCATAGCAAATATACACACTACACAGTACTTGATAACTTTGGGAAAAAACAAAAAAAAAAAACAAAACAAAAAGGAAAAAGAAAAAGAACGGAACACTGTAATAAAGTGATAAGAACAAGGGCACAGTAGTAATTTGGAAGAAGCATCAGCATCTAGAGTGAACTAGGGTTTCGTGTGGTTGTTCAGAGACTCCCAGGAGGCCCCAGCGACCACCCAGATCCCCTGTCCCTAATTACCTACACATTTAAATAATTACTTCAAAAAAAAAAAAAAGAAGAAGACAATTTTCAAAAAGAGAAAAAGATTGAAAAACCTCAGAACAGAAGGATTTTCCCTTTCCCCTTTTAATAATAAATCTCTCTCTCTCTCTCTCTCTCTCTCTACCAAATATCTGATCTTCATCGCACACACTCTACTTCACTCCTCCAAAGCTCTCTCAGTAGTACTAATTTTCCAGTAATTCTTTTTACCATTTCTTTTTTTTTTTTTTTTTTTTGCTTCTGATCCCTCTCGATTTTTCACCCCTTTTTTCCGTTATTGTTTGAGTTCGCTTTTTTTTTTTTTTTTTTTCCCTGTTGTATTTCTGGGTTAGAAACCAAAAAAAGCCATCACCCCCATTTTGGATAAGATCCTGTGCTTGGTTACGTCTCTCATCCATGGTGTCGATGATGATATAGTTTTTATCTCTGGCCCTCCCTTCCTCCTTATCCAATTAGATGTTTTGAAAACGATTTTTGAATTTGTTTGGAGTATGGATCTGAAACCACAACTACTAGTTAAGGTCCGTTTGATTGATCATGATCATGTCTTTTACTAGTTTTTCATGCATCCGTTTTTTTTTTTCCTCCCGTTTTTGTTTTTTGAATGTGATCAAATTAGTGATTGGTTAACTCTACTTGATCTCTTGGTGGTTTTTCACAGAGATCAGAGTCGTCGGAGATTTGTACTTCTACTATTGGTGCCGCAGCAGCACCGAAACTGAGTTCGCCGAATTCGGGTTCGGGTTCGGGTAAGCAGATAAAGAGTTGCTCGGATTGTCACACAACCAGAACGCCTCTCTGGCGAGGAGGTCCTGCTGGGCCCAAGGTTTGTCTCCTCCATCAATCCTTTCTTCTTTTTTTTTTTTCCTTTTTGTTTAATTTTTTTATTTATTTATTTTTGATCAGACGCTATGCAATGCTTGTGGGATCAAATACAACAAGAAGAGGAGGGAGACGCTTGGTTTGGTGGACAAGAACCGTATCGAGAAAGCCGCCGCCAAGAGGAAGAGCCGGAAAATCGCAACCACCGGCGGAGGCGGCGGAGAAATCGGAGGAATTGACAAGATGAACAGCGAAGGAGTAATGCCGTCGTCCATAAGGAAGATGAGAGTGATGGTGAAGGAGAGATCGTGGAGGAAGTTGATGATGATGAGTAACAGCAAGTTGAGGGAAGAAGAACAGGCTGCTGTTCTGCTCATGGCGCTCTCTTGTGGATCTGTCTATGCTTAAGAAAACAGTTTTTTGAAGAGGGGGAGAAAAAAAATAACCCGACCCGAATCCATCCGCCATTGTTGTCGATTTTGTTGGTTAGTTTAGTTTGTAGGCTAGGAGCAGATCAATTAGAGTTTAGTCGCAGCAAATTGAAACGGAACCCAAATCTTCAATCAAATCTATCAAACTCCCCTTTGTCTATTTCCGCCATTGATTCATCATCATAAGGAGTAAGGAAAGGGGGGGTTTTTTTTTTCCGGTTTAGATGTGTATCTTTTTTCCTGATTAGGAAGATTTTGTGTAATCTTTTGTTGTTTTTGGGCGGTAAGGAAATGAATGAATGGACGCTGACCGTGATTTGAAGATTGTTTTTATTAATTTTTCGTTCCCATTTTCAATCTGTGGAATTTGTGGGTCGTTTTCACCTATTTTTCCTCGAATAGCTGCCAATTCTAACTGGCAAAATCCAAGTTCAAAATTCAAATTCAGTACTGAATTGGGCAAAAAGTAGTGGCTAGTGCCAATAATAATGTAATTAATTAATAGCTTAAAAAATCCGTCCTGTTGTCTGGGTATTAATTGCAGCTACTCTTTATTTTCAAATTTTCAAATCTCATTCTTTTAAGAACATTTTTAATAACCATCTAAAGCCGTGAAGATTTTAGAAGAATAAGATTTGTTGCTCCCAGCAAAGCGTGAGAGTGTGACCTTTGTGATTGGCAGGAAATTTTGGCATTGAAGAGTTGATACTCCCTTCATTTTTTTTTATATGTCTTTATAGAAAAGTAATCAGAACCAAGAACACATTGATTAATTTTGTTAAAATATAAAAATATTCTTATTTATTATCCCTACAATTTATCATAAATTAATAGAAACTTATTATAAATATTGTTTCATTTCCAATACAAAGGATAGTATTGATAAAAAGTGGTCAAATATATTTCTCGATTTGTGAAAACAGTATATATTTAAAAAAAATTACCAAATCCTAAAACTCCATATATATATATATATTTCAAAATAGAGAGAGTACAAAAGATTAACAAATTGATTTATGCAGGAGGGGGTTATTTAATTTTTATGAGTAAAAAAAATGGAATCTTTTGTACTGTTGGGGTCACATATATATAAGCTGTAAAAATAATTTTACAGAAAGTGAATAAAGGGAGTATGCCAGCCTGGCAGCCTCTTGGGTCATAGCATTTTTTTACTATTAGTCTATTACTCTCTCTATATATCAGATCTTCTCCCAATAATTTCATCTCAAACGAAAAATTTCTTATGATTTTCAAAAAATGCCAATAATTTCAACTCAAATTAAAATTTGTTAGGTTGTTCAAAAAGATAAAAAAAAATCTTTAGGATTTTCAAAAATGATTACTAGATAGTTTAGGGAGAGTCCAGACTAATCTAGATTGCCGAATGGATTTGACGGTCACTGAAGGAAGGAAGGAAGGAAGGTTGACGAGGTGACACGAATTCTCTAGCAATCAGTACGTGTCACACCGACTTGGTAGACACGTGGCACATTTATTCCGACTCGGCCATCTCTCCTCTTGCCTTTACTTATAACTGTCAGCATCTTGCGATTCTACAACGTAGTGGTAAGTACGTGACGAAGCCCACTAAATATCATCAAATTTGAATCGAAAAAGTGAAGAAGCGTAAAGGATGATGCAATCCAAATTAGCTTCGCGACTTTTCCAGTCAGCCACCGCCGTTGTCCCTCGTGCAACAATCTATCAGAGTCGTCGTCGTACGGTCAGCGCCGTTACCGGCGGTGGTAAAACCGCCGACCCGAATATCCACGCCGTCGACCCGGAAGAAACGAACGATGCAGCTCAGGCAGCAAAGGCAGCTCCTTCAAGCACAGGTCACTCCACCACCACCAAGGACGACGACCCGTACGTCACCCCCAAAATGCCCGGCCACTCACCCAAAGTACAGAGCACCGGGGTTAACCGCCCGGCGGACCCAATCACCCAGCAAAAACGACGCCGTCGGAGCTACAGCACGACGTTGTCCGCTGCGGACGTGGAATGCGCGGGGTTGGACGGGAGTCCTTGGCCGGAGGACGAAGATAGGAAGATGGATGGGCGGAGACAGAGGGCAGAGCAAGAGGAGGATAATAAAGAGTACTTCGAGCACCACGGGGCGTCGCCGTTGTCGGAGCTGGAGCTGGCGGATACGAGGAAGCCAATAACTAGAGCCAGCGATGGGACGGCGGGGAGCGGGTATTACGGCAACCCGGAGGTGTTGGTGTGGAAGCCGGAGCAGGTGGACACGGCGGAGGATTCGTTGCGGCGAGCAAAGGAGATATGGATGTGGAACGCCATGCGGGGCGACCCGGAATCACCACACGGTCGAATCCTCAGGAAACTTCGAGGGGAGTATTGGTGATTTTTATGACTTTTTTCCATCGGCAAAACGAATATCAGACGGAATATTGGAAGAACAAGGACTGTTCACCCTACACACTCCATTTAGGCAAATACAAATAAAGTTGTGTTCGTAATGTATCGAGTAGTGGATGGAGTATTATTATTTATGTAATCGGGGTTATATTGTAGTAATTGTATATGGCAAAATTTAAGATTCACTGGTAGTATAACATAACCGACTATACGTCATAAAGTCGAATACCATAGATACAGTGTTTGTGTTGCCGTGACCCGGATTAGCAGATTCAAGTTGACGGTATTGATACAGTAGTAGTACGTTTAAAGGCTTTTCCCATTTACTAGAAAGGAAGTCAATCAATGCCTATTTGGCAGTGCAGTAGTATTTTCATTCTGTATTAGTTCTAAACGGAAGAGGAAATTTAGGGTACAACCCGGACCGTGGAAACTATTTACATCTGAACATGCAAGAGGAAGGAGTTGTGAGCCGTCAATGTAAGAAGAAGAAAACCATCCAGCTCTCTACTCTGACATACAGTATAAAAGTATAAACAAAATGAACCTTTACAATTAATTAAAAGTAAACGGGAAACTTCTGTGTGTTTAAGCTTAAAAATAAGTGAAAACCAAAGGGGCCAAAATGCTCACTAAAACAGTGAGCAGCATGTGCCCTCTCTGACTTGGTACTTTTTAATGAGTTGGAATCCAAATGAAAACGGAAAAACGCAAATCTCCAGATTTCCAGAACATGCATCGCATTCAATTTTAATTGCTGATCTCTTCTGCTCAAATGCAATTTCCAAACCCATATGTTCCAAACTTCCAACTCCGCTTTCCCCACTTTTGGTTCCCCCCGGAAGTCCTCCCATAGATACAACTAGCTCCCTTTTTATATTGGACCACAACAGACTTTTTGAAATAAAAATACTCTTCTTCTTAGTGGTTTTCACTTATTCTACTACTACTACTTCCAATATGTAGTACGTATTTTATTGCTTAAAAAAGAAATATTGCTTACAATTTTTACACCTGTCGTGACAATCCAAAAAAGAAGAATGATGTTCATATCGACTTTGCGGACATGAAAAGATTTTAAATCTAATGATCCATCCATGCATGTGTGCTGGAATGTGCATGTTACGTGAATAATAAATTTCATTATGTCATAATTGTACACAACAATATAATTTCATTAATCAATTCTTCCATACAGTACCATTATTTTTACGTGTTATTGACTTCGCCATTATTACTGCAGCTACAACACATTTTGGCAAGGAACAAACCAAAAGAGAAGAGAATGAATAAAAAACCAAAAAAACGGAAACACAAGAGGTGGGGAGGAATAAGATGATCACCATTTGTCATCAGCTAAAGTACTACTACATCAATATGCTAGTATGCTATACCATTAAAAAAAAGAAAATGAATCATCAAATAACAAAGACAAGGGGAAAAAAAAAATGAATCAAATGCGATGCATCCGGAAAAATTAAAATGCTAGTGAATTTTATTGTAAACAACAATAATCATATGTCTATATCTTTACATATACCTGAACAACGTATGATGGATCCATCTGATATAGAATACAAACAACAGTTTCATCCGAACTGTGATCTTAATGTCTTGTACAATTTTAACAGCTCCCATCTTGATGTAATCCTTGATTAAATCCGCTGCCATTTCAACAATTGGCTGTATGAATCCCTGCTATCCTAGTAAGTCCCCCTTTTTTTTTTTTTATTTCATCTCAGTAAATGATGATGATCAAATCTGGAAGAAAATTAAGTATGGAATCAGGAGGAGGAGGAGGAGGAGAGAAAGGATAGAATTTGTGGGTTTGGCAAATGAAATGGAATTATTCTGAGCTGATGAAGATCCAGGTGGCGGTGGGCTGTAATAGTAAAATGGGAAATAAGGAACGATGGGATTTGGCGGCGCCGGGTTCGGGAAATATCCCGGCGGTCCATCCGGCACCACCGATACTTGAGCCGGTGGAGGGTAGTAGCTGCCTCCGCCTCCGGTGTAAGGTGGGGGAGGGCAGTAGTTGGAGGAAGGCGGTGGAGACGGCGGCGGAGGACAGTTGGAGGTGGACGGCAGAGGAGGAGATGGTGGTGGAGGAGAAGGTGGCGGAGGAGAATAGACGGGCTGACATGGGTTGTCGCAAGCAGAGCAGAACTCGCAGGCTACCTGATCCTTGGACATGGCTTTAATTGAGGACATGGCGGATGCCACATTGCCGCCATGCAGGAAAACCAGAAGAAGAGTACTTACTACGATGGGGATGAGACTTGTCGGAGGAAGATTTCCGGCGGCCATGGCCGGATGATATATTATTTTAGGAGATAATAATGCTGAAGAATGTGTGTGGGGTGAAAAGTAGAGTAGAGAGGCCAAAGGCAAAAAGGATAGAGAGTGTAGAATTGTAGATGAGGGGGAGTTGATGATGAGGTGGGAATGAGAGAGTATGAGAGTTAACTGGGGATGGGGAAGAAGACAGCGTTTATGGGGATTGGCCTAAAAAAAAAAAAAAAAGAAAAGAAGACGAATTGGATTCTTGTAATTTTAAATTTAATGAAGCATTTCGATTACTATTGTTTTTATTACTGGTAGGATACATTGAGTGCAAATTTGGGCAATCAAAATATGACTTTGGTTTGTTATATACTTATGTAAGAACAATAATTTTAAAATAACGGTGATGGTTAAACTTGAAAATTCAAATCGGATAATAATTAATTTTGATATAAAAGAATTATTTAAGTTGGAATTGGCTTTGATCTAAGATCCTTTTGAGTTAACAAGCATACATTCTGAAGTGTGAGATCGTCGTAGTGGGGGGGCAAAAAATGAGATGCATTTCCTTAAATTTATAAATTGGTGACCTGATTAAAGGAGGGTTTAAATACCAACAATTTGTGGGTTGATAAAAATGATTTTAGCATTCTTTTGTTTTCAAATGATATAATGTTAACGTTGATATTATATCCCCCCAAAAAAAAGTGTAATAAGTAACAGCGAAAAAGTTATTTGATCAAAATTGGAATATAACGTGTGATAAATTACACTCTTATTTCTTAGTTTTTAGTAAAACCTACTATGTGTGTGATACTATTAATTTCCAAATGAGTGCGTACCCCCACCATTTCGTGTAATCTCAACTCCCGAGGTCGGGGGCTTATCATCATCATGTGCGGCGTCGGTGCAACTTCGTCCTTCACAATTCTCTTAAATTAAGAAGCTCATCTTCTTCTCTCCACTCAAAATTCTCAAAATCAAAATTCTACTGACATGTTGTTACCAGCCAATCAGAAAATCAGCAGCAATCTTTTTATATATTCACTCTGCTACTTAATATAAGCCATTTTTATTTATCCTAATTTTAACCCCGTATGTATTTTAAATTTTAAAAAAAAAACTCTTAAAAATATTTCATAATAATCAATAAAATACAAAAACATAAAAATATATTTTTAAGATTTTTTCCGTAATTCCCTTCCTCTTGAACTTTTTCTTTTCTAGGTGATGCTACCATTTTACGGATATCTTTTGATTCGCAAAACCAATACATCCGAAACAGATGATAACAATAACAAGCATTTTGAAAGTAGCAGTATAATAATGAAATTAAGTAATAGTAGTACTGTAACTAATTAAGGCTCCACATCTTATTGGTGAAGTTTTTTCCCCCACAATAAATCCTAATCCATTCTACTTACTACAAGGACGTGCCCCATGTACGCATTAGTAAAAAAAATAAAATAAAATATAAATGTACGACAACCAGACCAAAAACATGCGGGAAATCCACTTGGGATGTTTTCGTAGCTTCGTTTGGGATTTCGCAATTTTGATTTTGTAATTTCAACATTTTACTATAAATAAATAAATAAATAAATAATAATAATACTAACTGAAAACTAGTTGACCAAAAATGCTGGAAGAAAGTAGTAGTAACCAGTCTGGTGCTATCAGTTAAGGCTATTTTTTGTTCCTTTTTTCACTCATTTTTTCACTTATTTTTAATTAATATCTATCTCATCCCAACATACCTTTTTATATTCTCAATATACTTTTTAAAATTTTCAATACATTTTTTTACATTTCCAATACAAAAAAAAACACACTCAAAAAACCTTCCAAACATAACCTAAGTCTTCCCCGCGGATCAGAAGAAGTATATTTTTTAGCAGACGTTGTGTGTCTCCAGACTCAATTAAAGTATTCATTAGTTATGTTAGGTTTGTGTCAAAAATGGCACATTTTGAGACGGAGCGTGAATATCTACTTATTCTGACTCTTCAGTGTATTCCTATTACAACACAGTCATTTCTAGTCTAATAGAACAAAAAAAACAAGTGAAAAAACCACACATTCGTGAAGAAAGGAGGAGGGCAGAAGTACACAATAAAGATTCCAGCACCATAAAACTGGAAGTCCAAGAACCAACAAACACCAAATGACCAAATACCTTTTAAAGCTAGCTCCTCCTACATTTGTTGCGCTTAGATGAAGCAACCACAGTCCACCCATCTTCTTCAGGTTCAGCAGATTGAGGGTTCCAATCATCATCAGTCATCATTTCCACCCTATATGCATTGCCATGTGACCGGGGAACAATATCTACATCCATCACCCACGACGAGTCATCTTCATCACTGTGTCTTCAGAACATGGATGCATGGCAGGTCCTTCCCTTGACTTTAGCTCTTGTATCATGCTAAAATCTCTTTGCAGGCATCCTTCGCGCAACAGCATCAGGTCGAATGTTGTCCTCTCTATACCTCTATCATCAAATTCGCCTGAAAGGAAGTCCTCTGCTTTGTCAACAACTTCCCACACCTCTTCAATATATACATTGTCTTCTTTGGAAAGAGTCTCAACAGACCCATGGCCAGTTTCTGGGCCACGTGACGAGAACGGGGGGACTCTCATTCAGCACAAACTGAAGGGCTGTCCATTTAGAAAGCACTACATTTATACCTTGTTGAAGCTAGACACTCCATTTCGCCGGGGATGCGCTATTGTTGCTGCTGTTGTTCATGTTTATGCAAATTTCTCTGAACTCAGATTGAGTCCCTAGTCCTGGAGATAGGTAAAGATTCAAATATTCAAGAAGAGAGATGATGTATAGCACAGTAGTACTTCAAATACTTATGCAACAATTACTTTCTCATATCCTAGTTAGTACTCCCTTCGTACTCAAAAGAAAATGATCACATCTACATTTCCCTAAAGAAATGAATCCATATGGAAACAACAGCTCATTTAGACAATAATCAATGAAAAAGTAATATGAACAAGTGCACACAGCAAGGGCATATATTTTACTCAAAAATTTAAAAAACATGTCGCACAAGGCAGACTTTTTCTTTCTGATTACTTCCCTCGAGTTAAAATTTTCTACCACCCTTTTTAAGGCAAACCAATTTTTCTTTCTTCAACTAAATCACATAAAAGTAAGCACCCTCGACAAGTCCAAACTGAACCCTAAACCTATTAGGCCTAGGATTAAGTTACTTGGAAATTAAACCACCGCCTAAACCTATTCCGCTAGGGTTTCAGGAAATAGATAACACCACCTTTATATAAAGAGGTGGCACCTCTCTTATAATACACATTTTCTACCTATCTTCTACATATTTTACACATGATATCTTCTACCTATCTCTTTATTCTCTCTATTCTATTATTGACTTGCATCGAAGAGTCTATCCTTAGGAGACACTCGAGGCTCCATCTTGCAGGTTTTAGGCCGTCCGCCGCCTTCTAGATCATCATCATCGCCCCTCCTAAGCCACCATGCAGATCCATGTTTCGTCAAGTGGTATGCTCAGTGAGACCAATTTGTTTGGTCCTTACAACTAAATAAATTTCTTGAAACGAAGTTGAGATTTACTGGTGCTACATGGTGATCACGATGGTGGTTGAGTTTGCAACTTGCTTGTCTTATTGCAACAAAGAAACATGGTTGCCATTGAAAAGCAAAGGCTAGCCGAGAACGACAATACCAATTCAACCGAGAAGTCGCAGCAGCAAGCAAACAGCTCATGATGGCTAAAAGCAGCCAATTGCTCGAGAATAATTCTGTGATTTTTATAATTATAAATTAGTCCTTATATATTCTATTATTTCTATTTTGACCCTTAAAGTTTCTTATTTTTCAAAACAGTTCTTGGAGTTCAAAATCCATTGAAGGGGCAGAAAAATCAGCTGAGCACAATTCCTCAATTCAAGGGTTTAAAATTTTGCAGATAAACTCTCAAGTCTTTTGAAGCAAGGGGCACTCTTGAAGATTGAAGTTTCGAGAGATACATCTCCTCAAAGGGGCACGCATCCCTCGAGCACCCTTATACTATTCGAAATGTTCGAGCAGATGTATCTCGATTTTTATCTACACAAATACTACATTCTCGAAATCGAGATAATACATCTCGAATGAACAATTTATCTCAAGATCGAGGTATTTCCTAAACCTTGTCATTATTATATGCTTCTCGAACATAAGTTCATATATCACTGACATCATAAGTTATAAGCATATTACTTTTATCATATGACTATCTTTTTTATACAAACATCATACTATATTGCATATCGAGTATCCAAACATATAGGGACCACCTTTCAAATCAGGCATTGGGGACCACCTCGCATCAAAAAGGAAACAAATAGACGGGCACCGGGTTTAAATAAGACCTGCTTGACGGGCATGACCCATAAAGATTTGCTAGACGGGCAGCGTCCAAATAAGACCTACTAGATGGACACAGCCACAAGACCTGTACGACAGGCACTATAGGCTTCTCACCTTCAAATAAGAGAGTATAGGCTTCCCACTTTCAAATAAGAGAATTTAGGCGTCATCCTCCTAATTCGGCATACACAGGCTTCCCCTTCCTAATCAGGAACTTACTAATACAAAAACCTCATCGAGGCACTTTACTCTCTTTATCTTATATAAGTGACACCCGAGAACGAAAGAGTTCGAGAACTGAGACAACACCACGAAACTCGAGAAGAAATCAACACTCGTAGCAATTCATATCCTTCTAGGCAAACTTTGAGAATATAACTTGGTATGGGAACTTGACGAGTCCAAACTGAACCCTAGGCCTATTGGGCCTAGGATTAAGTTACTTAGAGATTAAACCACCGCCTAAATCTATTCCGCTAGGGTTTCAGGAAACAGGTAACACCACCTCTATATTGACTTAAGCATTTCTATATTCTCTCTATTCTATTATTGACTTAAGCATCGGAGACTACTTCCGGGAGACACTCGAAGCTCTATCTTGCAGGTTTTAGGCCATCTGCCGTCTTCTAGATCATCATCACCGCCCCTCCTAAAATATCGTACAGATCCATGCTTCGTTAAGGGTCGGAAAAAAACATCATGAGAAAAAGATAGTAGGAACCTCAAGACAAACTCAATTTTACAGAACCAAAAAACTTACTCTTTTCGCTGGCGTGTGTGCACTACTGTTTGATCGGGCAAAATTAACCAAATGCTTATTACGGTTATTGGGCTATACCTATCTAAAAATAATTTAGTAATCTAGACTCAGGGCGGTAAGTAATTGTGGGTTCTAAGATTGAGAACCCAGAAAATTACTTTCACAGAGAGATGGGAAACCCTACCGGAAACAGGTCGGGATTGGTTTTCTCGGAGACCGTGGCGTAGCGAGCCGAGTGCCATACTAATTTGGATTCATTCTTTAATGGGCTCCATCTTGTTTTTTATTCGAACCATTTCCTTTCCTATTTTAAATACTATTTCTGTCCCACAAAAATAGTCCATATTTAGTATTCATATTTGTACTAAAAATAGTACAAAATTTAAAATTCAATGTGGACTATTTTTATGGGACGGAGGGAGTATTGAAGCACATAGCGGGCTACGAAAAAGGAACTGAATAACGGGCTCTTCGAAAATCCTTAGCCACTACATCTTCATTCATAATTTTTTCGTCCCAAAATTATTGTTAAAAATATTTCAGGATTTAAATTGTAATATAGGAAAGTATCCCAAAAAAAATGAAATGGAAATGATTGCATATGCCAGCCTAAGGGAAGATAAGTGAGATGTTGTCTATAAACACGTAGCTTCTTCCAAAAAGAACCTCAACGGCGATATAAGGAGCGCCATATCCAAAGAAACTGAAGTTTCGGTTAAGCTCCGAAGAAGAACTGGAACTGTCCGTTGGTTGATAGCTGAACAACATACCACCTCGGTAAAAGTTGGAAATCCTCTGGTTAGAAGGGGGCAGATGAGCATCACGGGTTGCAAAGAGAATTTCTTTCAGCGGGAAGAAGACATACGCAGACACGGCTGTATTCGGTGCGAAGACGAAGTGGGAAAAAAAAATTAAAAAATTGGCAAAGAGGAGTAGAAGCGTGCGAGAGGGAGGACGAAAGAAATGGCACGTGTAAAGCCATTACAATTGGTCGAACGAACGAAATGTGCTTAAGTGCATCCGCACGTTAGATATAAACTTATAATAACACAAATAACTGTAATGGTAATTAAACAAAAAAATGTACTCACCCAAAATACTTGTGTGAACTTTGCCCCCACTTTTTTTTTTCATGATTTCATTGATACGTTTTTTAAATATCAAATTCTATAAAAGGACTGTCCACTCGTTGCGCAGACAAAAGATACTAGTATAATGAAGTGTATTATTTTATGGGATAGAGACAATAATAATGATGTAAATTAGAAATAGTACTAGTACATGTTTGCATTGTATACATGTGTTGTGGAAATTGGGATTAATGTATGGTGCCGATTAACTTTAGGCTTTGTTTGTTTTTCAACTCATTTTACATTTTAACTCATTTCACCTCTTAAACACAAAACTCAATGGAAAACAAAACATTATCCAAACAACTTTCTAATTTACATTTTAAATTCCAACTTGAAACACCTTTTGTTAGTGTAATGACCATTTTTGAAAAAGAAGTAATTCAGTGACGAAATCTAACAAAGGAAAATCTTAGAGTGACAAATTTGTCAGGTTTCTGTTGTTTAGTGATTGTTTTTGGAAAAGTTTCTTTTTAAATTGACTATAATTGACAGTATTTAATTATTTAGTGATGATTCGCTCTTGATATTTCAAAATGTAGTTCAAAATATTTTTTTCAAAACCAACATCCAAACAACTTTTTGCTCAAAATACCATCCAAACAACATTTTCATTTCCCATTTAGTTTTCAACTTGAAATACTTTCTACTTTTAAGTGGCAAAATGAAATATAAAATGACGTCCAAACTAGCACTTAAGCATTTGCAACAAGACTAATCACTGGGCGGCGGCGGCATTTTCCTGTCACCAGCAACAGCAGCTGCAGATTCAGCAGCACGGGAGAACCAAGCTTTTGCAAACCATTCAGAAAACCATCCAATTCATTCGCAGGTATTTTGTAGGGACTACAATCCCACCCCGGAAATGAACCATTCACGACTTCTTGCTTGTATTCCATAAGCGCCCTGTTGATCTCTTCTCCAATACGACCATACTGCTTGCAGAACTTTGAAGCAAACTGTATATACACGTTTCACATGCAATTTTTTTTTTTTAAAAAAAACAAATATCATTAATGACTTTACAAGTAAATTTTTTTGAAAATAATTATTATAATATAGGAAATACAATATGGAAAATATTTTTTTCCCTTTTTGTATATTGGAAAATCCAATATTGAGTCGGTTTATATTTACCTGATCTGTCTGTGGCATCATTCCTAAGAGATCATAGTAAACTAGTGCCTGCGGTAAATGAAATGTCGGGATTAATCCTATGTTTTTAAAATCGGACCGGAGATTGAACCGTTAACATGATCGGGTTGGTGAGTTAGCCGGATTGACCGATTAACTCGTTCCTCAAAAACGGTGAAAACTGGTTTAAATAATATTAAATAATATTAAAAATTAATTTTTTTAAAAAAATATTTATGAAAATCCGATTTAGCCGGTACCGGTTTCCGATCAAACCACAGTTTTGTCCGGATTTGACCGAGTATTTAAAAATTCGATTCATATTAGAAACCAGACCAGTAAGGTTTCTGGTTCTCGGGCTAACCGGTTCAACCGCTCGGGCCGGTCCGGTTTTGAAAACATAGGATTCATCTGTCTCTATTATGTTACTCAAAAATGAGAAAAGCGAGTATGATGATATGGCGTACGATCCATCTTTCTCCAAATGGTAAATTGATAAAACCAATTAATTACTTAGTATATGTTATACTGAAGTTTACACCCAAAAAGCAATACATCATGAAGATATAATAATAAATGTCAATGAGAAGTGAGCTTTTGGTGATTTTGTTTATGGCAATAAGGTTTGTTACTCCTTCCGTCCAAGAAAAAAAGTCAACATTGAGATTTTGATATTTGTACTAAAAAATAGTATAAATTCAAAAACTCAATATGAACTATTTTTTTGATATTTACTTAATTAGTTGCACTTGTATATTTTCAGAAGCTAGCTAGCTAGGTGATGAATTAGAAAAAGGTTACCTGGCCACTGCAAAAGGGTCCCGCACCGACGCCGATGGTGGGGATCCGGAGAGTGGAGGTTATAGCAGCGGGCACAGGTGCCGGAATACATTCCAAAATGATCGAGAAACAACCAGCTTCCTGCAGCAACATGGCCGTTTCCACAACCTGAATATGTATATATCCGGTGCAATCAATTACTGTGAAGATTAATTAAAAGGGTGAAACAAATTAATTAAAAAAGGATGGATCAAGAAAGAGAAATGATTGCACCTACCTTGAGAGCGGTGGAAGCAGTTCGACCTTGAGGCCTAAAACCACCAAGAAAACTAATAGACTGGGGTGTCAGTCCAGCGTGACCCATCACCCCAATTCCGGCTTCGACGATGGCTTTGGCTGGCGCGACTCTGCTTGGATTTCCACTTTCTAATTTCACTGCATTCACTCCTCCTTCCTTCACCACCCTACCGAAGTATCCACTGCCTGCCATTAAAATCCATTCCAAAAATCACAGTTTCGTTAAATAAGCGTGTTGGGACAAAGAATCTCACATCGCCGTAATGAAGGATCTGTCAATTATTTATAAACTCTTTGAGTCGCTCCACTTATTACCAATTAGTTTTGAGATGAGAGTTCAAGTGACTTTGATACAGTGTGTCGCAACATTCAGTGTAAATTAAGATATGCATGCATGAGGTAGCTAGATATCATACTAAGAGTGCATGATCGAGCTGACCTGATGAGTTGAGGATTCATAAGTGCCAAAAGGCAGGTCCCCCACGAGAAAAGGGGTGTTGGCGCCCCGAACCACGGCCCGGCAATGCATGATCATTTCGTCTAGACTTACGGGCAAAGTGTTGCTGTGGCCATGGACCACCATTGAAGCCGAGTCGCCAACCAGGCAAATATCGAATCCGGCAATATCCACGTGGAGCGCCGACGGGTAATCGTAAGCGGTTGTCATCGTGATCTTTTCACCCTTCTTGTACTTGCGGCGCAGCTCCGCCAGGCTCACTCTCTTTTGTGCTGCTGCTGCTTCATCGGCTGCCTTCTCGACGTCACCGACGTTGCTGCTGCTCTCGCTCCTCATCGTGGTCGTCGTTGTCATGCGTCTTATTAATGAACAACTACTTGTTTTGTTGATCAAGGAGCTCCAGAGAGCAACCGCTAGCACTACGCTTCTTCATGATGGAATTGATGAGCAATGATGCCATATTGATCTTGACCAAGAGATTTGGGACTTGTCTTAATGAGGTTTGATATGCAAATTATGGTAATTACGAATCGTTCTTTTCTTTTCTTTCTTTCAGTTTTGTGTGAATGATTTAACTTAATTAGATAGATATTTATATAGATCATCTTTAGCTACGAGGTCATCAGCCATGGCCCGCGCGAGAAGATAAAAATATGCAACCTTCCTTCATGATTCCAGCAAGACCTGTTCATGATTTATTAGTTTGGTATTTTTTTCAAAAAAAAATAAATAAAATAAAATATCTCCATTACATCATGTTGAAAGACACCTCTTTTTTGTTAATTACAGGTTGGATTAATCAGTATGATTATTCGTTTCTCATTGCTTTTATTTAAAAGTCTGTTAAATGAAATGAAAAAGAAAAAAAAAGTTTTCTTTAATGGTTTAATTATTCATCCACCTAGTCGTACCAGATCTAGACAAGTACTTTAGAAATCAGATATAGAGAAGTTGTGATTGACTTGAACCTTGCCGTGGTGGTATTATAGTCATTTTTTCTGATTTTGAACTTCCTCTATTCCTCTCTCTATCTTTACATCAAAATCATCATTTTTCGATCCTCCACCAAACTCTGTACAAGATCAAAACAAAAGCTTCCAAGTTATCCCCTATGTTTTGAAAACCGGATCGGAAAGTGAACCGGCAACTCAAGTAATTCATTGGTTTATCGGTTCAATCGGTTTAGATCGACTTTTAAAACCGATAAAAATCGGTATAAAAAATATTTTTAAAAAATAATTTATTTTCAAAATTTTAAAATTTCGGTTTAACCGGTACCGGTTCCAGTCAAACCGTAATTTTTTTCGAATTTAACCGGTTTTAAATCAATCGGTTATTAACCTAAACTGGACTGAAAAAGCCGCCGATTCCCGGTCGAACCCGTTTAACCGCCCAATCCGATCTGATTTTCAAAACACAGGTTATCCCCTTCTTTCCCCCTTCTTGTCTTGTCTATAATATTCTGTTGGCTTTTTGAATTTCCAATGCGAATAAATACAACACTATTATAACTAGTTAATAACTAAGAACAATAATAATATTCTTGACATATGGTTTTCTTTTCTCTTGCTAAACCATCATTCTCTTCGTCCAATATACGTCCTTCTTAGTGGCGGAACTGGGGGGACGGACGTTGCGGTCGCATTTACTCAATTTTTTTTTAATTAGTAGATGTATCTTATAGTTTTAATAGAAAACTATATATTTATAATTTTTTGCACTTCCTATATTGATTTCCTGATTTATTAGTAGTTTTTTTTTTTTTTTGAAATTTTGCACCCCTATATTGATTTCCTGACTCCGCCACTAAATCTTACTCGAATAGCTCGATATTGAACTATTATAAACTAGTAAAACTTGCCTTCCCCTTGTTTGGAACAATTAAACTTGCATTTCTTAGAGTGTGCGACTCAAATTAACATTGTAAGCGCACCAATGTGTATGATTTCCCCTATTAATTATGCACTCTTTTTACCTACTACTATACCTCCCACAGTAGTTTATTCTTATTCCTAGGGGTATTTGATAAAAATGCGTATACAATTAGTCGGAGGTGGATCACTTCTGATTCTATTTGGTTTCTTCCAGGGTGAAGGGGATAAATGTACATTACATTCTTCTCTCCTTTTTTTTAAATAATCGATAAATTATCTATATTTCTTGTTTTATATATACTTAGCTCTGTCCGTTCTCCGTTCCAAAAGTATATATTATCTATATTACAATTTTAATACCATTCATAAATTATACAGTAAAACTTCTATAAATTAATAGTGTTGGGATTACAAAAAATTATCAATTTAGTGAATTATTAAATAATCGATAAATTAATAAATTATTAATTTAAAGAATTTGTATGAGAAAAAAGAACCACCAGTAAATTACTTAATTCACAGTTGTCTTTACATCTGAATCAATCAAGTATTAAACCTATCATGTTTAAAAATCCATACATTGTTCGTATCATCTCTAGGGACTAAAAAACAAGTATTAATAGTTTATATTTTACTAAATTTTTATAGTAATTATTATTATTTTTTGTTGTTAGTGTATTTATTAATTTATAGTATTGTTGGAACCTATAGATATATAGGAGATTTTTTGAAATATTATTATCTTATCATTTTATCAATTTTTTTCACTCTTTGTACTGGTTCCAAGTTGAGACTGGAGAAAATTATTAATTGTTAGAAGTTATTAATTTATAAATTATTAATTTACCGACGTTCTACTGAAAATAAAAATGATAACTAAATACCTGGAATTTTGATGAACACATTCTCGGAGATGTGTTATATTCCAATAATATCATGATTTAATTACATTATAATTTCATTGGAAGATCCTCTCTGTCTCTGGTCACCATTTATGTGATCCGATATCTTTTTTCTTCTTTTTTTTTCCCCCTTTTTTTAGCAGCCTCGTCATCTCGCAAATAATTTTTTCCCGTGTGCAGCGCAAGTGTAGGAAAGTCAGCTTTCCTCTTCTTTTTTTTTATTACTTACAGTACGCAATATATAATAAAATTATTATAAATAAACCGATACGAAAATGACCAATCACTTAATTGATACACAAAAACAATTCCCACCATTTCCACACGATCTCAAAATTTATTTGAAATAAATAAAAGCCGATGCGTGTACACGGTACATAACATGACGAATCCATGTATAGGGAAGGTTGACAAATAACTAGAAACCTGGCTTTTGAAGCTTTAAAAATTCCCCTCGAGGAAACAGAGATCCTCCATATATACATATACGTAAGAAAGATTATTTTAAATTTTTTAGGTTGAGATAAATTATTTTTTTTTCCAGGGGAATCCATCCTGCAGAGTGTCATGTTAATTATTTGGGTACTTGTAAGTTGTTTGTGGTTTGTTGAATTTGTTATAACGAGATCTTTATTGTAACTTTTATTTTGTTAAATGTAACATCCCAGGAGCTAAGTAAACCAATTCAGAATTGAAGCTGTCGCATCACACATGATAACTTAATACTAATAATTTGCGTGCAGTACCATCGAATATGTTTTTGATTGTTTTTACTTTTTTTTTATTCTCTCAATCCTGAAATGATTCTCCAATTTGAACTTGCACTTATAATTTAAATTGTATTAAAAGTGAAAATTCAAAATGAATAATAATTTTTACGACATGATTAATATGAGTGGTTCAAACATTTTTCTATTATGCTGAAAGGAATGTAAAGCTGCGGATGAAATTGAACGATCAAGAAATTAGTCTTTAGCGAAATTTCGCAATCTGATTTGTTCTTTTTAGCTCTTTGGAATATGAAATCGGAGCTACCTCTCTCTAATGGCATCTGAAACAGACCGCTTTATGTATATACAAAGTATATACATACAGTATTTTGGATAATATCACAGGCTACTTAATTAGTTCATCCTTTCCTCTTTTTTCTTATATTTATTTCTTCGAACCCTATCGAATGTGCCACGTTTTATTCAAAGCAATATAGTATACAATATGGAGCGAAATTTAAACTGAATTTTTTCTTAGAAAAAAAAAAAAAATCCAAGCTCCTTCTATACTGACCAATTAGAAAGTGGAATTGTATTGACTTCGGTTCACGTCGACTTTCAAATTAGTTGAGGAATTTCAAAGAGGTAATTTATCATATTATTACTCTAAAAAATTTCAAAAAATTGCAAGAAATAATGGATTTTAGATTTCTTCAACTTGTTCGTCGGTTTTTGCAGAAAAAGGATAAAGTCGACGATAATACTTTCAAAATAGATACGCATTTAGTGACATTAATTAATCATGTACCCCCAAAAAAAAAAAATTCTTCGCTACTCCCCAAAATTAAAGGTCACAAAATAATTTTTTTAATGGTTGAAATTGTTTACATCGACTTGTTCGTCCACTTAACAAAACTAACAAGAAAGTCGACAAAAATCTAAATCCGTTTTTAAGCATCATTTTCATAATATCTATATATATATATATATATATATATATGTTACAAATTATCGCATCCGCATTCCATAACCAACCTAACTCTACATGAACCAGATGTGATGTGATGCATTCCAGTTTCTACTTGATTGTCTACTTCCATAACACGACTGAAAAAAAAAACAAAAGAAGTTATTTATGCATGTATTTAGGATATGTTCGTGTAATGTAAAGTACATAAAAAGTTAATTTATTTGTTATATATACTATGACGTTCTATATATATAGAATAAAAACAAGAAGCAAAAAAAAAGTTATATGACAAAAAGTTGGAGTCGGGCTTCGTTCATTTGATATAAGAACAAATAAATAAATAAATGAATAAGTGGTGATGGATCTACCAAAGTAATTATATGTCACTACCAAAGAAACATATGTATATCCGAAAAGAAAGATTGGAAGCACACCGAAATTGGACATCGTGCCGTGTAAGCAAAGGAGTATTTCACTTCAGTTTTCACTGATCCATTTAGCTATGTTGACACATCTTAACGGCTGATTAATTTGCCGCAACGTGCCACTTTCAAATTAAATCGGGTTCTTTCTTAGCTGTGCGCCGTTAATTGTTAATAATATTTGATGACGTTCGATCGATTTTAAGAATGTTTTTTTTAACCCCCAGCTGTTAGTCAAGCACACTAATGTTAGTTGTTAATTGTAATAGTATCACATTAGGAAGTCCTAATATGATATGTATATATTTATATATGAATGATTATTGTCAATTTTAATTTAGATTTTTAATTTTAATAATGTTTAAACTAATACTGATAAAATAATAAAAAGAAAGAAAGAAAGAAGTTATCACCATAGGAGTAACAAACTTGTCAATTATTCTAAACTACTACTACCTTCGATCCTTAATATAAGGTATTTTGATTTGTCTTAAGTGTCACTTCGTACGCCTTTTTAATAATAAAAAAATTTTAAAAATATTTCCTAACATTCAAGAGAACAGAAAGATTGCGAAAATATACTTTTAAGATTTTTTTTTTTTTTGAATTATAATATTCATATTAGGCGAAATTTAGGTGAAATTGGAGGGAGTGATACGTTATGAAGGGAAGTTAAATGAATGGCTTCTAAATTCTAATTAATCTTACGTTATGCTATGTATTCTGCAAAATTTTCAAGTCTTTCAGAAACTAGTAGTTTAATCACGGTTCTAAAAAAAACCGTAAACCGCTGATAAATGTTTTCGCACTTCTAAAGTAATTGGAGTGATATTATTTATATCAACATCTGTAATTAGTTGATCCGATCATCAGTGATGTTACACAAATTTTTGAGAGTTGAAGTACAGTGGGAAGTTTTATGAATAAGTAACCTGTTTCATACAATTCCCACTTTGTTGTTTCTTTCTTATGTGTGTTTTTTTGAACTTTTTGGTCGATGTTACTGAAAATTAAATGATGCAATTAAAGGTAAGGTACTGAATGAAGAGGGTGAGCAGATCAAAATCCAGAGTGTTTTAAAAGCAATATCATGAACTTTTTAATTAATTTTCTCTATATTCTATCCTTTTATCCCAAAAATAAATACGTATACCAGAGATGAGATTTGTATTTCGAAAAATGAATACAAAGATTAGATCAATAATAATATCCAAAAGATGGACGATGTGAAATTGTCAATTAAAAAGAAATATAATACATTCCATCAAATGAGGGACCGGCGGAGTTGGTGGATCACGCTCATGCACTCTTAGGCCTGTTAACTAATCCTACTACTTCCGTCCCAAAAAAAAAAACGAAAATAGTATCATTGATATAAAAAAAAGGTTTGACGTAGAAAACACAAGATACCGAATTGACTCTGCATATGTATGTTGATGGACAAGCAGAGGTTAGTAGTTTTGTAAAGGCAGAAATTAAGCAGACCCCATCATCAAATGTAGGATTGTTTTGTTTGTATCAGGAAAAATGGAGAATATATTGATAGTTCAGGGTATTTTACGAAGTCTTTAGTTTCCCAATTATGTTGTCATCCATTACGCTTAAGTAGCCTGATTTGATCGGGTTTTTTCTTTTTGTCACGACTTTTATTATAATGATATTAGTATATGTAATATACTACATTTGTCTCAACAAAAGAAAATTCACATTAGGATTTTGAGTTTCAATCTAAAAGTGAAATTTCAATACAAAACTAAATGCGAACATGTTTTGTCGAGAGAGAAGCAATAACTAAGGATATGTTTGTTTCGTTTTTTTAGTATGTGTTTTTAGGTGTTTTTTATATTGAGAATGTAAAAAAATATATTAAAAATGTAGAAAAGTATAGTGGGATGGGACAGTTATTATTAAAATAATATGAAAAAAACAAACAAACAAATTTATTGTAGTACGTAAAATGAGTTTTCAAAATGAATGGGGAGGTCCCCGGAAGACTAAAATGGGCAGTATCAACGTAACGTAAGAATGGAATTTGTAGGCATAGGAAACCGACAAAACCGATGCAAAAAAAACACGCACTCACACACTGGTGAAACATGCAATAAAAACCGGTATACGGACGACGTCAAGTAGGAAAAAAAAAATTAAGAGGGGAATCCGTGAGGCACTTAACTCCAAACCAAAAAAAGCATCTCATTTAATATCCCTCTGACGGCCTCATTCACCTCCGGTCCTCATCCGTCCCTTTCCTCAACATTATTATTAATATTATACTCAATTCATTTTCCCTGCTCCCATTTCTTCTTCTTCTTCCATCCGATCCAATATATGAATTGCATCATCACTCATCATCCCCACAGCCCACCCACCTTTGTGGGTTCTTCTCTCACCTGATTCTCTTCTTTTTTGTACCGTAACTAATTTTGGGACTGAAAATCTCCAGGATTCTGCAAATGATTGTTCCGGATAAAATGGAAGGGATCACGGTGAATGCTTATAAGAGCGTTAAGGGTTATTGGAAACGGAAAGGATACAAGAAATTAGATGGCAAACGGTTCGGGAGACGGAAGATGCCGGTTATCGAACTCGGCGGCGGAGGCCCCAACCCGGGTGCCGGAAACCCGCCTAAGCAGCGAAGGAGGTTCTGGAGGATGAAGAAGCTCAAGCTCCGGCTGAGGTTTTCACCCAAGAAGCTTTTAATTGGGTTGAGGGACGCCTATGTGAATTTCATGAACCGACTGGCTGGCTCCCGGTATATTAACAGCTCCGGGATTGCTACCGGTTATTATGTCGGCGGTGGTGGTGGGGGACCGGGATTCGGTGTCCGGCCCCTGAAAGAGTACGACGAGAGGATGATCATTCAGATCTACAAGTCTCTGCTGGTGGCTCAGTCGCAGTTCGTGAATCCGGCTGCCGCCGCCGCCGTCGCAGGTGGTGGCCCGGCGGCCAGAATTGGTCCTCCTCCGCCCCTCGCAACCATTGCAGAATGTTAGTGATTATACTCAAATTCCCACAATGAATAAATCAAATCCTACATCGATTTTTTTTTTTTTTTTTTTTTTTGGGCTCACATCCAGGTTTCATTCAGAAATATGAATTATGATGATGATGATGATCCAATCCAATTCAAACCCCTTTCTTCTTCCCCTCCTTGTAAACTATACGACTACTGCTACAGTCAATGACTTGTATGAATGAATAATAAAGATTCTGTTTTATGTCGGAATTTTTTCGTACCAGAATTAGTTAGTAATCACTACTATAAATCTGTACAGAACTTTCCAAGCAATGTAACCAGCTGTTAAAAATGGTTCCAGATTACTAAGAATTGTGTAGCTAGCTGATTGATACAGTGGTCTGTCATTTCAAATTGCTCCGAAAGTGACTTATTTAAATTGGCAAATACTGTTGATTGAATTCTAGTGATTAAAACAAAGACAAACATAAGAAACAAAAAGAGAGGAAAAGAGGTATTTGGAGGGAAACGGATGAGTTGTCAACTGTCAAGCAGAAAGTTGATTGATCAGCGAACAAGTGAGTATTTGATGAATAATGGGGGTTTCATTGACTATTATTTGTACCCGTTTTGAGTTGAGTTGGCCATCAAAACAATTTTAATAATAAATAAATAAATACACTAGATGATGAAATTGGAAATTGGAAAAATGATAAGGTTACAACTTAGAAGAAGAAGAACAGCCATTGATGGTCTACGTTGGGAGTTGGGAGTTCGTTTTTAATAGTAAGTGGAGTATTTGTTTTGGTGTCACACACACACACAAAAAAAACACAAAAAGTCATAACAACAGCGCAACAATGCCATATGAAATTCGACGTTTACATTGGCTGGCATTGTTGCCTGCCTGCCTGCCTGCCTGCCTGACCGGCTCATTATTTTATTCATGAGATTCAAGCTTGAAACAAAGGAGTACTATTGTTATTACACTTTTTCTGCTATATTTCTGGGATTTTTCTTTTTTTTTTCCCCCTTCAAATGTGAGTTCTGCATCATTAATTACTGATTAGCAAGAGTATTGAAAGGGTCAAATGTAAGTTTCGAGCTAAAGTTTATGTGTAAAAGTGAGTCAATCGAAATTAAAAAGTTTCTAACGCATCAAAAACTGTAAAATACACCAATAACTCAAGAAAATGAGTAGTATTGATTTACAGCTCACCGAATGAAAATCATTTTGGGGAGGGTGGTTTTATTATAAGTACATTTTGTAACACAAGCCTCACAGTTATAGACCAACTTAATTACAATTTATAAGAAATTGCTCTTATAATTGTAACCTACCTTTTTTTATTGAAGACAATATTCTGGTTGTGGTGTAGTATCTGCTAACCACTCGGACACATATTGATGATCATGATGATATATTCAACATCGACACAACTACTGCCAATGTCCTTGCTGAGTTCTCCTTCTTTCATCAGTCATCGAACCCTTTCCTCTTCATCCCATCTCCTCATGTCTCTTTATCGATCCCAGCTTCCAGTCAGCAACCTCACTCAGTTCCAGCCAGGTTCCCATGCGACCTACAGCCCGATAGAAAAGCTCCCCATATGGTCTTTGGTTGCGCGAGACGGCATTTCTGTTACCATCTTAAGAGCCTCCTCCAAATCTCCGTTTCCTGATAAGAGATCAACCATACAAGCATATGTGTTTGGCATTAGGAGCAAATCCATACCTTAGGAACAGCATCTCTAAGAGACATTTCGTCGAACATCAGCATGTCCCCACACGGCCGAATTCAGCGACCTGGGAATGCACGCATTGACCTATACGGAGGTATCTTAGGTGGGATAAACATTTGCGAATGAATGGAAAAAGTGTAATTATTGAAAGGGACTGAGTTGGCGTGCATGAAGGAGTAAACCGAGATAGAATAAAGGTGGTGCTGCTGCTGCTGCTGGCGGAGAATGGAGATAGTGGCCCGAGAAGGCCCGGAGGAGTTGATTGAAGATGAAAGTGTGGAACAATACTTTGTATGAGAAAAGTCAACTTTTCGATTTTAAAAAAAAAAGAAGCAAATTTTTCAATAATTTAACACCGAGATATGTGAAAATTACCATTACATTCCAAAATTGAAACTCAAAGGGCCTATAACTATAAAGTTGGTGCAACAATTGTTGAAAACAACCAAGTAAATGAAGGAATCAACCATATGATATACTGTAAACTAGTAACAAGGTAATTTTCTACCCAATGTCAATTATTTTCTACACACACTATTGCTTATTTATTTACTATCTTTTTTTGTGGGATGATTTGGCATCCATATTTTTGAAACTATTTTCACTTTTCCTGTCATTAGTTACTACATGTTTATCATAAGGTCTATAAGAGGTAAAATTCACATGAAGAGTGTTTGAGATCGTGAGCAAAGTAAGTGTAACTGCGGAAGTAAATAAACACTAGATGCTTGTCCCGGAACAATATCCGGAGGTGTCTGTATTTTAAAATTATTAAATAAAAAAATTATATGTGAAAAAATATATTTTAGAGTAATAATATGTACAACAATGATAGGGAGAGCTCAAAAAAAAATAATGAAAACTCATAGTGACTGATGTGTAAGGGGCAAAAGTGTAATTTTTTGGAAGAATATAACTTTTAACGGAAAAGTACTAAAAAAAAGGTGGACTTAGTATATGCCACATCAGTCACTATTCTTTTTCACTACTTGTTTTCATAAAAGATATCATTTTTTTAATGTATAATATAATATTATAACACAAATCACGATAACGTGAAATTTTGTACGTGTAAGTAAATAACAATTCTTTTTTTTTTTATACAATTCGAATCGTATAAAAAAATCTTTTATTTTTTACCCGCGGGTCATGCACGTTGGTTAATAACAAATTACAATACTATTTAGACCATATCTCTTGAACTAACAAATAAACATTCGGTGGTGAAAATCCTTTGATACATAATGAAGAGCTGATCATCTTTTGCTCCCTCAGTATTGATCTCCAGTGATAGCATGATGGAATTTTCTTGTTTTTTCCGTTGCTAGGTTTTAAGTCAAATTTTAAGGATTAATATTTTCTTGATAATAAACTGCCATTGAGCCATTTGTCTATTGGAGCAAAAATATTAAGGGGTTTGCCTTCATTTTCATTGAGTCAATTGTATTACATTAAGCAAAAATGTTTGACTGAGGTATTATATATTTGATTGAGCCAATTGTATGATGGAGCCAATTTTCATTTAAACATTTTGTATTTACGGAGATTGGGGAGGCGTTACTCACAGTAATGTTTCATGTGATTTAAGGAGATTTTTTTACATTTGATTTTATCAACTTAAATTTCTTGTTTTAAGAAATTAATATATAGTTATAATTAAAGGATTAGTATGAAGATATAATTAACAGATTTATTTATTCCATTTTTTTTTTGAATAGTTTGAGTGTCACATGTCAAAAATAATTTTGTACTAAAAATAATTTTTGATAGGAAAATTTTCATTATGGTGCTGATACATCAATAACTTGTATGTTGTTTTAATCTAAAACTTATTGATCAATATATTCCGTTAAAACTTATTATATTTGTGAACTAGTAAGATGAATCTAAAATTCATTGATTAATATATTCCGTTAAAATTTCAATCAATTTATTGATCTTCATCGTTATTTTCTTGTCCATGTTAAATACCCAACACTTAGAGGTGGAATTTTGGAGTTGGTGGATCAAAATGGAAAACAAAAATATTATTATTAATATAATTTTCCAAATTCGATACTAATTGAATTGAATAAATTATTATTATTATCCTTTTATTCAGTGCACAACGTGAAGTTATGACTTTTCTGCAGATTTCTTGACCTTTTTAGCTTCTCATGGTCCTCGAGAATTATAATTATTAGATGATTTATCGTCCGGAGTTAAGTCATAGTTAACACACGACTTCACGAGTGTTTCTTATTCATGATCGATTGTAATGTTATGACTTAAGCATTTGCCTCTTATTTTGTATATACAAAAATATAGTTATTTATTTGACAAGAAAAAAAATTAACGCTGTACCAAATGAAATTTAGTTCCACAAAGAAGGAATAAAATGAAATAATTGAAGGAAATCCAATTGAACTTAAGTTGGTGGACTTTTCAAATAAGTGACTGATATGACTTTTATTCTACTGAGAGTACTAGAAAGATTTGCAAAGAAAACCTTGAGGAGTTTTTTTTTTTATGATTAGTAATATTATTATTATTATTATTATTATTACTAATAAAATGGGAAAGTATAGGGGTACAATAAAAGAAAGCTTAACAAAAAACTTGAATAACCAAAAGGCTGTGGTAAGCACTCGAACCTTACCAAAAACATAGGTAAACATGAATTAATATAGGAAAGCATAGTTAAGTACTTTAGTTAGTTAATATCGAACTGTAATTTGCTGTGGCGCGAGAGCCACCTCGCCGGGCCGTCAAACCGGGAAAATCATACAGTAAAAAAAGTCAAAGAGAGCCACCATATGTCTACAGTGGAGGTCACCGTCGACGACCAAATCAGGACACCACTTCTGCAGCAGCACCAGAATGTCCCCGATGAAGTTCGTCGGCAACAAACCGCCACCCAAAGAGGAGGAGGAGGAGGGGGAGAAATTACGCCTTGGGAAGATCCCGACGAATCAAGACCCGATTCCTCAGCTTCCCCTGCCCCCAAACAGCAACAGCAGCGCCTCGTATCCCTCGACGTTTTCCGCGGTCTCACCGTCGCCGTAAGTCAAACCTTCCCCGGTAGTCAACTTTGAAATCCGCAGTGCATTTTGGCTATGTTAATGATTTTTTACTTTTTTTTTTCCTTTTACTATCAAGAAAATGTTATACTACCTTCATTTTGTAATTGCAGCTGAGTTTAAGAGGCTTTTATGATCTAATTTATGATGCTCCGCATGTAACTCAATTTTTCCAGTAGACAATGATTTCGTAAAGTGTGTGTACTCTTGGTATATTATTATTATTATTATTAATTTTTGTAAAATCATGTTTATTGTTGATGAAAGCAGCTAATGATATTGGTCGATGATGCTGGAAAAGCGTTCCCATCTATAAACCACTCACCCTGGTTCGGAGTTACACTTGCCGACTTTGTAATGCCGTTCTTCCTCTTTGTGGTTGGGGTTTCTGTAAGTCTCGTGTTCAAGGTAATAGGAAACACCCTATCCAGGAGTTACAATCTTCAGACAAATAGCTCTTTTCTTTACTTCCTCATTTATATTTCAAAAGTTGCTGGTAACATTCATTGATAAAAGTTTACATCTCCCCTCGCAGAAAGTTCCTAACAGACAAGAAGCTACAAAGAAAGTGGTGATTAGGTCAATTAGGCTTTTCCTTTTGGGGTTGATTCTTCAAGGTCAGTTGGTTTCTGCCTTTTCTTTTTGGATACTGTTTTTATGGGATGGTAATGGCACCAGCTGTAGTAAGGTGTTTAGGTTTGTGACTGAAGGAGAGAAAGAGGGCTCAAAATTGTTTATGTATTTCTAAATCGGTTGAACTTGCAGTAAACCAAGTTAGAGCATCACATTCCAGACCTGGTTATGCATTTGTCAAACGTACTTTATTATTCTGGCTGGTCTATTTCAGTTGAGAAGTTAAAATTTGTATCTTTTTTCAGAAAGCTCTTTGTTGCACCCTGTATTAACTTCAATTTCATGTTTTATATGATTCAAATAATCTTAGGTGGGTATTTCCATGGTCGTAACAACTTAACTTATGGAGTTGATCTCGACAAAATAAGAGTGATGGGAGTGCTGCAGGTACATGATTTGGCCCTTTCTTTTTCTTTTCTTTTTTTTTTTCTGGATAATTCATATTTTAGTCGACCTTAGTAGATTTTTTTATGTCACGCTTAACCTTCTCTTCTGTGCTGGAACACATTTTTGTTATCATTTTATTGCTTTATAACCTGTGCCAATGGGTTGCAGAGGATCTCAATTGGCTACTTCTTGACTTCCATCATGGAAATTTGGCTGGTTAACCATGTAGTCGTAGATTCAGCTATGGCCTTTGTGAGAAGATACTATCTCCAGTTGTAAGCATTCGGTACTAACCATTCTTGTAGTTCAAGCTCATCTGCCACTGTTTATTTTATGCGTTAGACATTCTAACTATCCCCAGTGAACATTATGTCTGTCACTAGAGTTAGAAAGAAAATGAATTCTTTGTTGTTGCTTAAATACTATTTTGATAAATTTTGTTACTATTTCAATTGTACATGGAATAGGGGATGGTGTTATTTGATTCTTTTAATGTATGCGTATCCCAAGCAATATTCAGAATGATACCAGTGATTGCTCTTTTAGCTTCCTCAAGGAAATCTGTGGTTGCGATAAATGACTTTCAAGCAGGCAACAACAATACCAGTGATAATATTTGTTAGTTCATATTAGAGACATGATATCTTACTGTGTTAATTCTTTCTCTCTTATTTTCCTTGGCATCTGTTAACAATTATCTTCTATATGGTTACAGCTTGCTTGCAATCTTTCTATGCACTCTATACATGCTTTTGCTGTATTTCCTCTATATTCCGAGTTGGAGTTTCCAAATTTCGAGTCGTAAGGCTGAGATGCTGCTGTCACCCTATGGATCCGCCATTCAGTCTGTAAGTGAACAACAGAGCATGCACGCTACCATTTATGTAAATTATTTACTTTTTTACTGCATAGTACTCAGGCTGGTTAGAATAAACACTTCTGGAGAATTTTTTGTCTCTACTATGTCTTCTGTTTAACCTCTTATTCTTGAAACAAACTTTGACTACCCTATGAGTTATTATTAGGTCTGAATAGGTTAGGTGGTTGTATGCCAGTTGGTCCGTTTTCTGTTCGAAGTGGAAATTCTTTTGCCACTCAAATTTCTCCCCCATGAGAGTGTCATACCATGCTGTTTTTAAAATTTGCAGCGCCTTGATTTTCTGTTTCATACCTCTGCATTTATTTATATCTTATTTAAGGGGAGAGGGCAAAGGATAGGAGCATATACAGGCTTGTACTCAATCAGTGTACTTAACCTCGATGTATTGACTAAATACTAGGTTAATTGTGGAGTCAGGGGTAGTCTAGAACCTCCTTGCAATGCAGTTGGCTTCATTGATCGGTGTGTTCTTGGCCAACAACACCTGTACCAGCGTCCTGTTTATACAAGAACTAAGGTAATCCTCACTCCAAGATGCTTTCTTTTACTTGGGCCATCTATTTGTCTTCAACTTTTGAACACTAAAAGTCCATTTTAAGAAACTGTAATTCAGTTTGTTGCACCTATTGGTTGCTTATGATTGTTGTATCTTTTGGGTTGAAAGGAATGCAGTGTCAATTCACCTGATTATGGGCCACTCCCTGCTGATGCTCCTGGATGGTGTCTTGCTCCATTTGACCCTGAGGGCATCCTAAGGTTAACTGGATCTTTGTTTTCTTCTTTCTTTCTGGTTCCAATCAGTATGAACAAATGTTGAGATAATTGCATGATACCCCAGCAACCTCAGCTGGAAATCACCCGAAACAAAAGCAAATGAGTTTGGTGGGTATTGCAGTTTAGTGGTGTGTTTACAGTATTTGTGGTTTTTCTGTGATCCAGAATTTTCCTGTGTGCTTTGTCTATCCATAGTTTACTTTCAATTTGTCTTTTTTTGCACCATATTGATCATAGGTGACTAACTACTCGTTGTACTACTCCTGTGGTGGTCAGAACAGTAACTTTTGTCACGCTGAAGTTGTCAGATTTTTCTAAATGACCCAATGATGGGCTCCAAGTTTTAATATGTAGATTTTAAATGTTGAGATATCCCAACTTTCCTTGTCCAATGCATTCAAGGGACTAATTTTTAAGTTTTGCCATAGTTGATTAATTTTTTCTAATTTTTTCCTTTTCAACCAGACAAGCTTCTTAAAAACTGACAGGTCACTGTCTCTTTTGTAGTTCTTTGATGGCTGCCATTACATGTTTCGTGGGATTGCACTACGGTCATATTCTTGTACATTTTAAGGTAGGGTGCATTTTCTTGTACTCTTAAAAGCACACAATCGGAGCATGACTTGCTTGATTTTCAGAAGTCTTGTCTGGCTTATGTTTATCTTGTTTGCTTCAGGGCCAGGTGGAGAGAGCAATTTTGTGGTTTTTCACATCAATTCCTCTATTAATCTCAGGGTTTGTCTTGGAAGTTATAGGTACTAGTTTGCTAGAATCATTTATTCATAATCTCTCTCCATGAATACTCACAGAGGATTGCTGTACATTCACGAACAAACTCTTTGTTTTCCCAGGCGTTCCCTTTTCCAAACCTTTGTACACGTTAAGTTACATGTTCACCACGGCAGGAGCATCTGGCTTTCTCTTAACAGTTATCTTTTACATCGTGAGTTCATCTATGCTTCAGTTTTCTTTTCTTTTTCTTATATTTTATTCGCTTCTAGAGGTTATCGATGGTGATCGGGATTATTTACTGTATTTAAACTATGGATGCAACAGGTTGATGTCAAATCTATTAAGAGACCAACTTTGTTATTTCAATGGATGGGAATGAATGCTCTTATTGTTTATGCTTTGGCTGCTTGTGATCTTTTTCCAGCAGCTTTACAAGGTTTCTATTGGCGCTCACCTGAAAACAACCTGGTATGCTCTACGTCATTTGCTCAACTTTATTCATTGTGGAGCCTTTCTCCTTTCCTTTACCCTTTTTGTGTAACAGAGTGAAGATTTTAATTTTCCGATTACACTGGGTATATTGTTGTTGTTGTTGTTATTGTTGTTGTATTGCCTGTAGGACTCTGAGAATTTGGTGTTATTTTTCTCGGGCGGGGGGCTGGGTTGGGGGAGTTGGAGTTGGAGAATTTTGGGGCAGTCGTCTACTCATCACTGTGTTTTAAATATCTGTTCTCCTGTCTGAATTCATCTTCTGGAAAGCTAATAACAGCTGGAATTCTTTGATTGCATCTGTATATGAGCATGCAAGCTATATGATTGTAGTTTCGGTGTCTGAAATTTTCTGTTGCCTTTCATTTTTCAATTAGCACGATTCTGAGGTTTGCTAGAGCACTGAGCTTTGTCCAGGTCCTAAGTAGATGCTTGTGCTATATCATACTCTGCAGGTCAACTTCACAGAGAGGCTGTTCCAGTCAATGTTCCATTCTGAAAAGTGGGGAACTCTAGCATTCGTGTTAGTGGAGATATTGTTTTGGGGTGTGGTTGCTGGGTTCCTGCATATGAAACATGTGTATGTAAAGCTGTAACTATGTATAGATACAGAATATTCTGCCTTAGTAGCTAGTGAAACAAGTTTCAAATGTGGTTCAAATGACTCCAAAGCCAGAAGCACTAGAACCATTTCTTGATCCTGTAAATTTCTAACTGTTTACCATTATTATTGCATTAATCATTGAGCAATTAGCAAACACCTCTATGACCTTTTACATAAGATTTGTCTCCCTACAATTAAGAAGTCGAGATTTGCTCACTTGGGAACACAGCACATTGTTGTTGAGATTTGTTCGTACCTATTAACCCTAGAGTCTAGTCTATAGTTGTGGAAGAGCTCGTGAATCTAGGTTTTGAGTTCCTCTTGCAATAATTTCACACCTGACCAGGCTGCCAATGGTATTCATGACCATCTTAACATCTTCCCACGGATTACCGGTGGCCAACTTCTTATACAAATAGCTGTCGAAAGTCATCTTCTGCACATACTCATTCCCGCACAACTCCACCAGAGCTTCCCTTGCTCCGTTGCTACCATAAAACACCCTTTGCAGCAAATCCAGGAACCTGAAGGTTGTCAAATACTTTTCATCCCATTTCTTCAAATACTCCCTCTTCAAATCCTCCTCATTGATCATCCTTTCCCCTCCCTCCGATGCATTCACGATGGCCTCCCCGCACATCCGCCCGCTCTTTGCTGCGAAATAGATTCCCTCGCCGGAACATTTGGTCACGTACCCAGCTGCATCCCCAACTAGAGCAACACGGCCTCGAACCCTGATGGGACGGGGATGCTCTGGGATCGGATGAGCCTCGACTTTAATGACCCGGCCACCTTGAATTTTCGATCTAGCTCTTTCTCTTACACCACGTTGAAACAATTTAAGGTCTTTCTTGGAGCAGACTGTGCCGGTTCCCACCGCAACATGGTCATATTTGGGGAAAACCCATGCATAAAAATCCGGCGATACATCGCTGCCGACATACATTTCAGCCAGATCTTCATAGTAGCTCATTCTATCATCAGGAAGTTTGATCCTTTCTTGGAAAGCAATGGCACAAGTGTAATCCCCTGCTTTTATGGACTTGGCCACCTTACTATTGGCTCCATCAGCTCCGATGACAACATCAACAGCAACTGATTTCTGCACATTGTTCATGTTATAATGAACAATGTAGGGAGAAGAACTCATTAAGGGAACCTCCACATTTGTGACCAGGCCTTGGATGAGGGTAGCTCCCTGAGATGCAGCACGGCGGCGGAGGAAGTCGTCGAGGACTTCCCGGCGGAGCATGGGGATAAACTCGTGAGATTGAAGAGTTTTGCCGAAGTCAACGCTGAGGTTGGATGGGGAAATGATCTTCATTTTGGTGACCCTGCGATCGATGAGGTGAGCTGGGATGGAGAACTCGTCCAACATGCATAGCGGGATGGCTCCTCCGCATGGTTTGGCGGTGCAGGGGCGGTTGCGCTCGAAGAGGAAAGTCTCTATGCCGCTGGCTGCCAGTGCTTCGGCCGCGGAGGAGCCTGCCGGGCCGCCGCCTACAACGGCAGCCCTGAGCTTGCAGGTGATGATGGATGTGGAGGAGGAGGAGGATTTCAGCTTGGGATGATTGTTTTGGGATTTAAGTGGGGAAGTCAGGGAGTGCATAGGGTGTAAAAGGTGTGTTGGAGCCGCCATAGCCATTGGCTTCTTTAAGGTGGTTTAGTGTTTGTTTTGGGGGTTAATTGTGATAATTGCTGAATGAGGGTGGGTTTAGGGTTTGTGAATTAGTGCAACTTGAGTGTTGCTTTAGTTATTTTAATCATTATTGGCTGAGAGATTGTTAATTAAACAGCTTGAAAGGTTTGGTTTCTTTTTGAATAAAATATGTAGTAGCAGTTTGTGTTTTTCTAATTCTTGTCTGGATTTGAGCTAGAAAAAGATGTGCAGGAGGTAATTAAAGTTAAAAACTGTCCCATCAAAACAAGTTTTAGACGACATTGGGACTTCCCTAGGTATACTTTTTGCAATTAACCACCACCAATTAGGGTGTTCTTGTCGTCACTCTAAATTACCGTTTGTTTATGTCAATGACACAATGTGATGGGCAAAATGAAATGAATGAATAATCTGCTTCATATATGGAGTAATTTGTTCTGTATTTGATGTAAATGATTGGACATGAAACTGAAGTTATCCAAAGTCTGATCAGTTTGACAAAATCACTTGGCAATTGGTAAAGAATTGAGGACTTGAATCAAATGAAGCACTCCATTCCAGGTATCATAGGCCATTAGTCCAATCCTCCCTCCAACCCATCCTCCCATTTGACTTCCCAGGAGGAAACCCAACCACCCCGCATCCCCTTCACCAATCAATCCTCCACCATATGCACCGATGAATCCGCTAATACATCTCACCGTCCCTTCAGCAGGGGTACCACCAACATACAGCGTCTCAATCAAGTCCCATACCGATGTCATTAAGGGGACGATTATGTGTTTCACTTCCAAGGATGCACGCCTCGCGCTGGCGTTCCCTGCTTGGCGTGCTGAGTTAATGGCTTCCTCCAAGGTCTTCCCTTTGGATAAGTTGTCTGTCAATGATTTCTGGGTTGCAGATGTTTTTACCTTGTGTACATGAACAGCTCTGATGTAGTACAAAGTGAACTTGATCACTTCCTTTAGGAGGCATGCTAGAGTTCCATACCTCATGTCAAAGCAATCCAAGAAAGTGAATCTTTCTTTTCTTGTCATCCCTCCAGTTGATGAGTCTAATGATCCTGTCAGCTGCCGACTTTTTTCAGCTGCAATAAGCATTTCCAATCACAAGTAACGGGACAAAACAACAACTTTAGAACAAAATTAGCCAAGAAACATATACTGTGTTGTTTCATAAGCTGTTTCGAAAATCCCTCTGTTTTAACTGGAAATAGAAAATCACTTATGGTAGGATGGGCATAACTTGTCCTAGGAGTGTAGTTGTGTGACAATAGGCGTCAAGCCTCCTTTTTTGTACCAAAAAAAGAAAAAAAAAATAGAAAATGTATGTATGGAAGCGTGTACCTATGAAGCTTAAGATCACAACTGTGGCTAGTGTGAGTAGTCCAATCTTCATCGTTGTTATTCTTGCGGTCTTGCCAATGTTTTGGGCTCTTCTGCCTACGGCGATTCAACTTTCAAGGTTTATCACCTCACACGTTGCTTTTTCAGGGATGATTTTGGTATATGCGCTTCGCGAAATTGTATATTAAAACAAGAAAGAATGGAATATTTACCAAGACAAAAAAAAATAATAACAAGAAATAAAAAAAAGAAGGGAAAGAATCTGATCCAATGCCTCCATGGAAGGCAATAAGGATTGTTGAAAAAACTTCGGAGGGCTAGTGAGGCACTGATTCGAAGAAAGAACAAGAGCAGATGTTATCCTACCAAGGATGGTGCAAACTTGTCATACGCTTTATTCTCGCCTAATTAACAGGGATAGTAAGGTTCATTTCTTGTTTTGGTTCTTTCTTTCCTCCCTTTAAATGCTTAGTAGTTCTTCCCCGTATAAGTTCATCAAGTTCTTTATGTTTCTGTGCAGGCCTGAAACTCTCAGGAAGCTTGCAGTGCTGACTAGACCTCAATAGCCAGAGGCTGCTATGAGGAATGGGAGAAGGATTCAGCCAGAGTTTGAAATCTATGGACAAACTGAAAGTCCGATAAACCCCTAAACATAATCTTACATTTTTCCATTTGCGCGCCCATCAATGGGATCATGATTGTTCAGATAAAAAGGATGATCTGTCATCACAATTTAGTGTTTTTCTTAACTATAACAAATCAACATAATTTGCAATCTTCGGTTCCAATACACACACAAACATAACATAAGAGATGTTAATTAACCACAATGAACAACAATCTTGATATCAGCATCATAGATAAGAGCCATAAACCTTTTTACACGCACCACGACAATTGACTAGTAATAAACTTTGAAATAATATGGCACAGCTAGATAAGCAATCTCCCAAACCCTATTTATTGAAAATCCTAAGTGCCACGACATGCTAGGCTTAAGAAATTAAAACAGCTACCTATCACCATAGATCCTGAGCTATACTGCAGCACCGACAAGCATGTGACCATAATATACTACAAACTCATGAGGACGTCCGAACAGATGAATGAGCCCTCATTACTGAAACCAATTTGCAGAAGCCATGACAGGAGGGACAGGACAAGGCAGCTGCCACGGTTCGAGGAGGTTCTCTGGAATTTCAGGGATATCAACAGGCACTCCATTGATAATGGAAACAGCTTCAAGCACATTATTAAGCGAGCGGAGACGATCAGTGAGCTCTGCAGCCTGAGCCCTTAAAACGTTATTCTCAGAGGCAATTCCAAGGTACAGCTGGGTGGTGTTGTTGATATCCTCCAAAGCCAACTTATTCACCTTCTCCAACTGGTTCACCTGGCTAACGAGCTCATCTACATGTTGTTGCTTCCTCACCCGAGATCTCCTGGCTGATTCGCGATTGGAAATCATTCTCTTCCTCTTTTTCTCATCAAACTTGGCATACCGGGGGTCCACATCTGAACCAGAACTCGTTTGCTGTGGGGAAGCCATAGTCAGTCCTCAACTACTGGTTCTACGGGATTTAATCAAATTTCTTTAATATAAAGCTGAATGACAGAGCTCAAAACAATGCAGGAGGGATCTGTTGGTAAGAGCTATAAATGTTGGCTGTACGAATATGGGAATTCAGGATATGGATCAAAATTGTATCAGAATATTAGGAAAAGAGGGCTAGTTCATGAAAACACATAGAACCAGTAGAGGAAAACTACTGAAAAGGAGTGAAGGATGCGAATTCTCCGCATGAGGACGGTATACGTCATGAGAGTTTACGGGAAATGAACTCTAAAAACATGACCTTTAGTTACTGTAGGCTATCCAAAAATGTGTATACCAAAATCCCAAGTTAAGAAGGGTTGATCCTCTTGAAGCAGTACAATTGATTGATTATATCTGCATCACGGAAAAATGTAATCAGTTGGTAAATAAAGCAACCTTGAATATTTGTCAGAGCACAAAGCATATCATATCATCAATAAATTAAAATCAAATGAAACAAGATTAAGCTCTACAAAGACAAGGCCCACAATCCCAGTTCGATTGGGTATGAAACCAGATGTGTAAGGATAGAAGAACTATTAAGAGTAGAAACAAATCACCAAGCCAGAGCACAGAAACCCTAAATAGAAATGGAAGCTTGATGGAAATAAAAGCAAAGTGCATCACAAACGAATTAGACGAATTACAAAACTGAATCGAAAAACACAGGATCTTAGAACAATCAAGCCCTTAAAAAACAATAGATTGAGGCCATAAATTGAATAATAGGATTCACCAAATCTATATATACAATAAAAGGTCAATCCCACAAAACAAAAACCAAATCACGCCCTAAAGAACCCTAGATCGATCGACGAACAAAAACACAAACACATAGCAACAACTAAATCCAAAAGCGACCCAAAAAAAAAAAAATCTATATCTGAACAGCAGAAAAACAAATAAGAAAATAAACCAAAAAAAAAAAACATAAAACAAACACAGAAAGGGACATAAAAATGAAAAAAGAAAAAGAAAATAAAAGAAAGAAAAAAGATGTAAAACAAAGAAATGAATGAAAGCTAACCTTGAGTGGATAGAGAGAGAGAGAGAGAAGGCCTTTGCAAAGGAGGGGGGTCTTGCAAAATGAGCGAAAGGAAGGTTTAAAAGGAGAGGGGAGTGGGGTATTTATAGGAAAGATTTCTTAGGGGGATTCGCTGGAATATTCTACTCCCTTTTATTAGCTGGCGCACTCTGTGACGACAGCACACCCCAATTACTGCCCGGGTATTTCGCCCACCGGGTTTTCATTTTGCGTTTCTGCCCTGCACGTTGGAAACTCCTTCGAACTTTCTCTTCTTCACTTCTATAGCTTTTCTTTCCTTAATTAAAAAAAAAAGAAGAAGAAATAGTTTCACTGATTAACCAATCAATTGTACTCTACATGACTAAAACACAAATTTTGGATTTAATGAACATTTTTATTCAATTGAGATATTTTGGTGTATATAAAGATCACCACATTCTTTTTTTTTATATATATACTTATTGGCCAACCTATTTGGGATATTAATAATGATGAAACAATGGAAAATTTGGATGTGGTTGGTGGACAAATTTCCATCTTTATGTAATCCCACAGTGATGTAAATATCATTCTCTCGTGTCTTTATTATAAGGTATTTTCATTTTCCATTAATTTCATTTAGTATGTTATTTTTATCAAAAATAAAAATTCTAAGAATAAATTTCTGCAGTTATTGTGTTATCCAAATCAATATAATATATTTTTAAAGTTTCATTTTCAATTGAAAAAATATACTAAATGAAACTTATGACAAATCAAAATAAATAATCTGGTTTGAAATTTCGCTCGTGGTAAGCAAAATAAAGTTAGACAACACATTATATGAGGTAATTTATATAATAACAAAATTAAAAAAATTCAATATACTATTTGTACTCTGCTTTTACCAACCGTCATTACTTAAAAAAAGAAACAATAACAATTAAAATTTTCTCTTCTAACACATTCTCGGTTCATGTAGAACTAGTGATGTCTGGTCGTGTAATGCGCGACCCTGGCCCAATATATCTGTAGATCTAAGAAATGTTTGTATTTGAAAAAAAAATATTTTGTATTTGGCCCGATATATTTTAGAAATGTTTAGAAAATTTAGAAATGTTTTATAAGTGTGATCATAGAAATGTTTATATTTGGTAAAAAAAGAAATTATATTTGGCCCGATACTTTTAGAAATGTTTGAACATTTTAGAAATGTTTTATAAATGTTACTTATTAAATATAAATAAACTTGATCAAGTATATGTCTTGAAGTAAATGTTAGACGAAATATAAAAGTATCCTAATAAGTTTAAATATTAGTAAGATGATTTATTGATGTTCCCCATTTGTCATGCCAAACCAATACTTAGTTTTGGAGATTTATAATAGTTTTGTAGTAAGTTTCCTCCAAATGGTGTACGTTTAATTATTGGAACTGTTTCTTCTAAAGGTTTATAGGTAGTAAAATATCAAAAATATGATTTTGAAACTGGTTAATTGTTGAAACTGGTTGATCACAAATATGAGAATGAAAATTAATGTAAATTTGCGTAGGCTTCAAGTTATAGCAAAAAAGAACTCACCTCACCATGGCAAATAAAAAAAAGAAAGAACGTAAAAGAGCCCATTAAAAATTGAGAAATTATTTTTTTTTCTTGTAGGTGAAAATGATGTATAAAAACATAAATAAACGTAAAAACATCATTCCTTCCCTCTCCACCTCAAATTCATAAAAGACATCCCCATAAATTAGTTAGAAGAAGCGACCTGAACTATTTATATGATAAGGAACTCAAAAAAGTCCAAAAATCAAATCCAAAAAATTATATTCTTGAAAGCCCAAACACAAAAAAAACGCGCTTCATTTGAAAAAAAAAACAATAATAATAATAATAATTGGTCAACTGGGAGTATGAAACAAAATCAAAAGCATTTAAATAAAGAAAAAACACAGTTCATAACTGACCATATACGAAAAAAAACTGAGACTCCATAATAATTAAAAAAAGAAAACCACTCTAATTAAATAAAACATAAAAAAGAAATTAAAAAAACCACACTTTGTAACAAAAACCCAATTGATCAATTCAATCCAAACAGAACTAAAATCATACATAAATTCTAGGCTAACAAACCATATAAGAAATCACATCATATTACCTGGCAACGGCTACGTTAGTTGTAATAGGTGGACGCATAAAAATAATAGTAATAACACTATTCTTGAACGGAAAAAATAAAAAATAATAAAAGCCGTACAAATGATCTGTGGATATAAATTTATTTAAATTTTAATATCTATAATGGCACAGCTACAACGACCGAAGCAAGATCAATAAAAATTATTTTTTTTTCCTTTGTGTTTATATAGAGAAGTAAAGAGAATATTTTTTGAAGTCGAAATTTTATCCGATTAGGATGTAGTTGATCATCACTAATGAAAAGATTAAACATGCTAATAGGAAAGAAGTATATTTTACCACATATTCTCAATTGATGATTGATGAGGAATTTGTTTTTTTTTATTGTGGAGATGGGATTGATTAGGGAGTCGATTGTCTAATCATTAATATGACCTTGAACTGTCCAATCATAAATAAAAATAGTCCTACATACATATTATAATTCCTAAAACTACCCGCAACCGATGCAATAGGTTCCTTCAAATAACATGAGTCTCCAAACTCCTCTATCGCCTAATCATCCAAAATGAAACAGTTAATATTATCCTACCAAACCACTCAATTGGCTGCTCCGGCAAACAAAGTTTTATTGAGCCACAGTAGGTTATTGAATTTCAATTTTTTTTTTATTTTCCAGACATAATGAAAAATTAGTTGACCGCAACAATTTTCATTAAATTCATTAAGTTTCCTAGGTTCGAAGTCTTTTCAGTTTGAGGTTGGCTTATTTCTGTGCCACCGTTAGCTTCCCCGATGGTTTCAAAAAAATGGCGATAGTGCGACGAATAACCTTCTTGAATTTGGGTTTTTTATGAAGCTGTGGTTTTTTTTTTTTTTTTTGCGAAAATAGGAGGTGGAGGTAGATTTGAACTGCATTTGTCTTTTAAGTCTAGGAAACTAATGTGTAAATAAAAATTTATTTTAAAAATATGATGTGGAAATGCCACATGGCAAATAGTAGTATTTTCTATTAAGTGTGATTTTTGTTTCTATTATCAATGATTTTGATTCAAACCGGAGTATGATATTTTAGAGAGCAAATAAAATATATTTGTTGAAAAAGTTTTGTTTCATAAAAGAAACTAGTTTAATCTACTGTACCACGTAGACTAATATCCCAAAACTAGCTTAATTTTGGATGAGTCTACTGTACCACGTAAACTAGTTTCATAAATAACGATTTGAAACCTAATATGTATTTTATACATATCCCAAAACTCGTACAGTATATATATATATATATATATATATATTTATATATATATATATCTACACATGGAAAAATTATTCAGTATAGCTATTGTACCGTTTAAGATTGTGTATCTAGACACGATAATAGGGGTAAAATCGTAAGTTTGAGAAGAGAGAGAAAATTTCTATAGGAGTTATACCACCAAAATAGGAGGTGTTAGTACTTGCTGTACTAAAAACTAAGATATAGTATCTGTATTCAATTAAAAAAGTACCATTATGGGAGTTAGTTAGTTGTTGGGGTGATTTAAAAATCTATTGAGAAATGAAATAAAATAAAACGATCTATTAAACGTGTACTTAAGGAGCAAAAAATAATTAGCGATTCTTTAACACCACACTTCGAGATAACAAAACAAACAAGTAACTTGACATTATTTTATATGAAAATTTATTAATATTAAAAATTGGGGTTAATGCACTATTCTTAGCTCAGATTGCGTAGCTTTGCTGTATTTGTCGAAGTTTCAATCTTCCAATGTCAAGAATTACTTGGAATTTTGAGAAGGATTGCCTTCAAGAATCGGTGATATTCGTTAAACTCCGTCCCAGAAAAGGTGCAATATCTACTTGTTGATATTTATAAATTAGTATTTTTCACCCAAAAAAATAAGTCATATGTTTTACTGTATTAATTTAATAGAGCAGACTATTTTTTTTTGGAGTTGAGGAATACCATACATATATTTTTTGTGGCCAAATGAAGTACAGTTAGAGGAATACTATATTAGTTTTTGAATTTTTTCCTTAAATATACATGAAAAAAAAAACCTGGACAAAAATAAAGCTTTTTAAAACTTTGTGGACAAATTTATATGCCCCGGATTTAGGAAATCCGAATGGGGGGAAAACTCGGATTTCGGAAATCCGACCCCAACTCAACTCGGATTATTAAAATCCGACTTTGTATTACGTAAATCCGATATTAAGTTAATGACAAAAATTAGTGTAATTAATCTAAATCCGGATTTTATAAATCCGTTTTTATCAATAAAATATTAATTTCCGGATAGAAAAAAATAATGTGTTGAAAAATTAAATTTGGGCAGAATTCCGGATTACCGAAATCCGAATCTGCTCTGTTTTCTGAAAAATGGTGACTTCCAGTTGGCCACGGACTCGGATTTCCGAAATCCGAATCCTTTACAAAAAGTCTGGGTTCGGATTTCGCAAATCCGAGTCTTTGTCAGAACTGAAAAAAAAATTGGACTGATTTTCACCAGTCCTAAACATGTTTACAGCACCAACAACAATGAAACATTGGAAAATATGAATTTAATAACAATAAAACAATAAACGGCATTCGATTAACAACAAAATAAATCAAGTTTCATAAAAAGTTCAATACAAAAACTACTATAAATGTCCAAAATAATGAAATGTCTCATTTTTTCCCTTTTCCTTTATTGTGCGCATCCGGAGT